AAACAAAACCATTTTTTTAAAATATGTTATGTGGGACACCGGGACACCTGCAAAAAATATCTTGAGATCAACCCCACCGAGGGCCCACCGAGGACCCCGGCAGTGCATGCTCCCCGTCTCACCCAACGCGAGGACGACAGCGATTTTCTCGGCAACACGCTGAGGTCGCAAGCGACAGAGGAAACAAAGCGGCTGGTGGTACACCTAATGGTCAATCACAATGGAATAATGATAACAATAAGACCATCTAATAAGATCTAATGATTATTCTTCATCATCATCATCAGTTATGTACTAAGCATTATATATGTATATATATATGTATGTATATATATATACACATATATTTGGGGATAGGTCAAAGGTCCATGGCTTCATTCGAACATGAGTGGCTTTTCCTATAGGTGAAGTGATCCTTTTTGCCGATGACCCAAGCGATGGTTTCCACGGGGATGTCAAGGGGTAAACTCAGGAAAACATGGGATGGTCAACGGGGATGTTCCATTTTACAGGTTACCCTCTGGTAAACTAACATAGCTATGGAAAATCACTATTTTTAATGGGAAAATCCACTATTTCTATGGCCATTTTCAATAGCCTATGTTAGTTTCCCAGAGGGTATGTTTCATGTCTTTGAAAGGCCAATGGTATGCTGCCTATTCGATAGATCATGTGGATTAATTACAGCCTTTGGCGGTGGTAGATCCTCCAATATCGTTTCGGTGGCATTCCATGCTAATACTTTTGTTGCCTAATGAGGTAGTATATTTTCTTTGGATACTCAACATTGACCCATTTCAGTATCATCAATCTTGACTGGTTTCTATCTGTGATTCCTACTGTGCTCCAAATCAGTTTGGCCTTGCGGCGCAGCCATTTCAGCCCATCTGAAGTGACCAGCTGCAGAACCAGCCCTGGGCAGCAGAGTGACGCTATGCATTAAAAATCATTAAAAGCACTATGACCAATTGTGCCAGCCAAAATTGATTCTTTCAGTTCCAATGCCGACCTATGCTGCCCCAGCAGCTGTGCTCAGTATTTCCCTTCCCGAAACCGGAGGGATCTAGGGGTATCCAGGGGGTTCCAGGGGCCCAAATTTACCAAGGGGATGCTCAACCTTAACACCTTGTGATGTGTATTTTTTCGCTGTCCTTGTGGGATGGTTGGCTATCATAACATGGTCCAGCTACCATGAAAAACCGTGGTGATGTGGGATTCACCGCCACGTTTACCACCCCCAACGTCACCAGAAATAGTTCGAACAACACCCCAAAAATTGGACACCTAACCTGGTGAGCTGTATCCATTTCTGGGGAAATTGGAGATGGTTTATGGCATTGGGTGAAAATCGCTCGACGGTAATCAGATACACTGGGCAGCTAGGGCCAGCTAGAAGTTCTTCGCAGGCTGTCAGTGTATAAACACCATCACCATCCGAAGTTAAAAGCATGGTTTTACATGGGTTTTTACCAAAAATCGGGTACCCCAAATTCCCATGAATGATCATTTCCCATCTAGGAAGGCCATGTCATTTTTTGGGAAAAAACGCTTGCCATTTTTGGACAGCCCCGTTGCGGGCTGGGCCGTCCAAGGCCATGACGTGCCAAGTGCGGGACAAGACCGATGAGTACGGAAACTCTGCCCAACTGGGCCCAACTGGGCCCAACTGGGCCCAACTTTTTTCGGATTTGGAGGATCCCCTATATATATATAGATAGATATTTTCGGGACACGTAGTTTCCATTATTGCCCAGCCATCTAAGGTTTATCACTGACAGCTGACTTGCAAGCTATTTCAGCTATCAGCTGAAGGTCATTGTCCTCATGAGCGAAAAAACATTGCCTTTTCAAAACAGGCCTGAAACTCTGTCTTATGGATCTTTGAAGACTGAAGACCCGCAACACATTCGGATCCATTCATGGACCCATTCATGGATGTCCTATTCCCATTGGTTGGTTGATCAATAAAGCACCCGATTCAACAACCAACAGGTAAAATTGCAATAAAACATATACCCATCACCGGCCCCTTTATTTTTTTTCCACAAGGACAGTCATCTGTCACCATTTGTGTCTTCTCCGCTGACAGGTACATCCAAGATCTGGGTAGTCAAGATCCACATGTCAGACAGGCGGGCACCCGGCAGGCACCATGCCCACAATGCCCATTGTATGATGCCATTGGCAATGGAAAACACATGAAAACACCAACTTTTTACTATCTTTATTTTGATTTTCTCTGTTAAATGTAAGTTGTATCACGTCTTCATACCTTTAACGGGCACTTCGACGGTCTAGGTGGGTTTCTGGCAAGTCTAGCTGGATTTTTGAAGAGCCATTGGAGTGTGTTTGATCAAAATAGGCCCCGCGTCTTGATTGGATCCCATCCACATCGAGAATGCTTAACACTTGTGGACTTTTTGAGTGTCAGAGCTGGCTGAGTCACCTTCACTGGTGACCTGGAGTTGGCCACCACAACCTGTCAGGCCGCTTGTCAGGGTCTTGGCCGCGAGGGACAAAGGCCTCGAGCAGTACCTCCGCTGCTCAATGGCCTTCAGGACTCAGATTTGGTCAAAGCTATTGATCTCATGATTTCGAAAGCAAGGGTGAAAAGGGGTAAGCCCATGGTTGCTTCATCACCCCCATGTTGAGAAGCACCCCAATCCACATCTCAAAATGTATCCACATCTCAAGGATGAAGGGAATCAAGCAGAAGCCAATGGTTCCCGGGGCACCCAAACAATAGGTTGCCTGTTGGTTTCTGACTGGGCTAACAGATCCAGGCTCTCCAAGACTCGGAAAAGATATGTAAAACACGCGATTCAGTGGAAGACTCCCGGCGTTTTCGGACGGTTTCGATGGGAAAAAACGGGGCAAACATTCGATGGGTTTCTCATGGTTTCTCACTTCCATGTCAATCTACCGCTGGCCTGAAATTCTGGCCTGTGCTTCGTTTCACCTAAGAGGTCTGCGACAGTTCCACAAAGAATCCCCATGAATCCTGAGATGCCAAATTCCAAGCAATTCCAATGTTTCAGTATGTTTAGTGATGTCCATTTGTATTTGGTTGGTTGAATAACATAGATAGCTACGCCCCATAGTCTGCAACCAATTACGGTCAAGGGACATCAAAAACAAGGGACAGCAAGTGTTTTTTTCCTGAAAGGACCATAGCATGATTGACCTATAAATGTTAGCCCATGTTAGCCCATGTTAGCCCATATATGTTCATATTATTTCATATTAGTATCTTTTGTAGGTGATTATTAAGTGATTATAGCCTCGAATTCTGTGATGTTTCACCCATTTTCACCCCACGTGTGTTCTTGGCCTTGGCGCTGAAGCGTTCACCGTAGGACCAAAACAGCTATGTACGGCTAGCGGCCGCAACGAGTTTGGGCCAGGCCATGGTGCCAATCCAATTGGTGGTGGAAGGGTCCCTAAGTTCGATGGGTTTTGGGTGAACACTAGGCGTTCATAAAGGCCTTCATAACGATTGGATTCGATTGGATTCATTGTTTTTTTTTTCAAAATTGAGTTATTTAGTAGCTAGTTAGTAGATATGTAGATGGGGTTGGAAGCACATCTGTAACTGGGCCCATCCTGAAGAGGTTTCCACTTTTTTGGACAACAGAAAATAGTCACTTTGGGGTTTTAGATGGTTTGAGCATGTTTGAGCCACATAACGAAGGCTCAAAGTTAGCAGCCTCCATGACCAACTTTGTGAGTCGGTACCAGCCAAGTTGGCTAAAATTTCTTCAATAGTGCTGCAGAGCTCTGAATGATTTGCAGGTTGATGGTTTCAACATGTTTCAACAAGTTTTCATGTTGAAACATACGCTGCTTATCTGGGCTGGTCATCCAAAATAACGTTCATATGTTTCTGAAACTTGTCTCAAAAAAAAGGATACCCGAAACTTGATAATTGAGATCAGAATATATTCTATAGCGCAGTGGCCATTTAAGGTTGGCTCGACCACGCACAAGATAATTGTAAATTGAATAAACTAATATATTATGAGATATGATGTACATATGTATAAACAATTCTAAATACACATATGATATTTACATGTGCATTGTATATATATATATTTAGATATCTATTGTAATGCACATCCGTATGTGTATATATACATATGTGATTTTCGCTGGCAAATATCTTCACCCAGCCACAGTAGGCAGCCAAAAAGGGCGACGATGCTGTTCTGGAGGCCTTGATTGTTTGGAAGCCCAGCGACACCCGTTGTTTGGAGGCAATTTTCTCATAGGTACTGTGGGTACAAGAATGTCATACAACCAGCCATTCGAAAATGGTGAAAATAGCGCCTATACATATATACCGATATATTCTAGTGATGGTAAACACAGCACCGAAAAAGCACCACTGGGAATGGTAAACATAGCTCCTAAAAAAATATGGTGATGACTGGGGGATGGTAAACATTGCATCGTTTTACCCACATTACTCATGTTCATAGTATGTATTTCATGGTCCAGGAATGACTGGGCTCGAACATTTCACGGGTGATTGCGAGATGGTTTTCCCAACTGAGAACTTTTTTGATGGTGAAATCCTGTTGTGAAAAATTCCCAGTAGGTATATGTATGTATGTAATGTAATGTAATGTAATGTAATGTAATGTAATGTAATGTAATGTAATGTAATGTATGTATGTATATATATATATGTGTATATATACATAATATTTTTAGATTATGTATATATTATGTATGTATATACTATACATATATATATATATTGTGATTGGTGAAGTTCTGAATTCTTGGAACGCAGGTCATTGGGTTTCCAGGTCATCTTCACCATATTTTCATGGCTCAAACAACATCAAACAACCATATTTATCACCATTAGTTCATCACTTTTTCATGTTTTTTTTGCAGCATGTTAAACTAATTAAAACTCGTTTTTTGTTAAACTATGTTTGAAGATCCGTAAAGATCTAGCAATTCCATTCGAACAAAAGCAGCATTTTGCCATGTGTTCTCCATGCCAAAGCACCCAAGCCGCCAGCCTTCAGGCTCGTTGCAGCGATGGGGACGCCTCAGTTCGTCGTGTGGCGTGCACCAGCGTGGCGCAGGCGGGGTTTTGGTCGATGGGAAATGGTGGTTACCAAGCAATGCAGGGGATATCATTGGGATAAAACATGGTAAACCATGCTAAACCTATAATTATGAGATTTTAAACAGGTTATTGATGGTTATTTTTCTGAATATTACTATACTTGGTTTATTTAAGGGGATATCATGGGGATTTTTCCAGCAACAATCGTTGGGATACCGGAGGGTACTCTAAATGGTGGGTCGGGGTGCAGGCAAGGGTACTTAACAGGTACAACCATGTCTTGGTGTGGCCCATAAGTTGAGATATAGGCCTACAACATAGTGAAATATACCCATTCATAACCCCAACTGCAGCCCCATCTATACCCCTTGATGGGTTTCGCCACCTTTATATAGGTTATGTAGTGATATATAGTGGTTATTGACATCAGCAATTTTCTGGAATCTTAAAGTATTGTTGTTTCTTTTCTGACTGCATCGGAGGATATGTAGATGAATTTCAAATTCAGATATGTGAATCTTATATATAGAGTTCTTTTTAATTGTTTTGCATATGGGAGCCCCTTCAAACTACACTTGTCATAGAAGGATAAGCTGCATTTCCAATAGAACTCTGGGTCGATTTGTGGAGGTATCATATATATTTACATAGATTGGTTCTACAGATAGCTGATATAGACAGATTACGATTTCAGCAGTGCCTGTGACTATAGATCATTATAGATCATTATGATGATTGTAGATAGTTTATGGGAAAAACAACTACAATAGATAAAGACATAGATTTCCCCCAGCACTTGATCTATTGATTTCCCAGCACTTTCATCTATTGATAACTACATTGTAGATAACTACATTGTTAGATGATGTCTACACTTGATTTTCCCCAGCACTTTTGCTACAACGACAACTACGCTTGATTTTTCGCGTGGTCACCGCAGGTGGCCAGCAAGTCACAGGCTTTCCGAGCCCGCTCCGCCGGGACCATGGTGGACTTCCTGGGGTAAAAAGGTCACCAGCTGGACATTTGAAAAACATCACTGCTTGGTGGTTTGGAACATTTTTGTTATTTTCCATAATATATATATATACTGTATATAATATATATATAAGAGAATCCTTCCCATTGACGAATTCATATTTTTCAAGATGGGCTGAAACCACCAACCAAATAAGTTTGGTCATAACTATTATGGTCAAATTCTGATTAATTATTGGTGACCAGATGGTCACAATGATTATGTCAATGACTATAATGATTGGTCATGATTCCATGATGATCTATAATTATGATTAATTATGGTCAAAAATCCGAATCTTGGTCATCACCAAGCTAGATATTTTTTGAATGAGTAAAAAAAGCTTTCGATGTTTCACCAAAACTTACCATCGACATTAACATCGGCATTTCGCAAGCCTTTTACCATCAGATTTTTGGAGATTGAAACCTGTGAGTTCACCAAGTTGGTCAAAGCCAAAGCACCAATGATTTTCCCATAAAGAGGGCTAACATCAAAACACTAAGCAAAACCATGATGCCACGATATCTGATCTAATATCATGTATTGAAAATGAAGATCTCAAGCCACAAAGATGTACATAAGACTTTTGCCTGATTAAAGCACCCACAAGTGTCACCCAACCAACACAAATGGGCTCTAAGATTCAAACTGAGGAATGGCCCAAGAAAAATTGCTTCAGAGATTCCAGACAAGTGACCAGTCAAAGGATTTCAAGATGTTGGTTCAACGACTTTTGTTGATGGTTTCTTTCATTTTTTCGCCCGCCTGAAAGAATCAATTGCCAAGTGACCAGACCAGTGTTTCACAATCATATTGAAGGGACGCCAGTGGATCCTCCATATCCCTTGACATGACTTGACATGCTCAAATTGCTGTGTAGGGCTAGCATTTTTGAGCTTTCACACCCGAAACCCATCGAAACCAGCCTAGTAACTCTAGTATACTCATTTGTCCCTATCATGTCCCTATCATATATACGTATCCGTATATGTTATATTTATATATATATACGTATCATATATCATTTTTGATATATATATATATACACGTTATATTATACAATATACAATAATATCATTATATAAGCATACATTATGCATACATTATATATATATACTATATATAAACCTTCTAAGCCTATCATGCCCCCCGTTGAACTCCTCCGTGGCTCCCGAGTCCCGAGGCCCTCCTTGCGCGCTGCGAGGACAAAGACGGGGGCGTTCGGCGCAGCGCGGTGAAGGCCTTGGAGAAGGCGCGAGACTTTCGGCCTTTGATCACTGGGAGACCAAGAAATCCGTTCCTATAATCAATATATTATAGATATTTATTGATATATCTATAGTAAGATACTATATCTATATCTATAGTTAAATATAGTTAATTTACTATATCAATCAGATACTATTAGTTTAATATGTTTATAGTAAAATACTATATCTATATCTTATATCTTATAGTGAAAGTTACTATTCTATAGTAGTTGCAATATCTCACTATATAATTAGCTAATAGGTTCCATTCATAGGAACGGATTTGTTGGTCTCCAGGTTTAATTATAACTATAGTTACTATGATATATATGTATATACATCATACGGATATTACTTTTGTTATAATATGGATATATATATATTACCTAACTGTATTGCTATAGTTAGACCAGAGGTCTGGGTTCCATGAAAATAGCTATATAATATTTAGCTAATTTTATCATTAAGCAACTATAGTTATTTAATGTGTATTTACTATATGAGTTACTATTCATGTTACTCATGATGTTACCGAGTCTCATTTTTTAGTATCTGATTGGATAGTAAATGTAGAGGTGAAATGGGTTTTCTTGATGTATGTCCCACAAGTCATTTAACTATTAAGACGACAACGAAAAACAACTGATCTCTTTTGATGGGTTTGGAGACGAGAAAAAATATGTCAAATGTCATCAACATATTTGGCGGGTACTGAAAGGGGATTGGCGCCGACGACGGGCTATTTGTCATGAACCAGAAAATGCTGATCATGACGGCACTCAATCATCCAATTCTTTAGAAAGATTTTGAGCCATATTTATATGGGGTAACCTTCCAGTAGGTCAATGCTTTTTAAACAATAATTAATATGAAGTATGTTAGACACTCCATATCCAGCGAATGAACCTCCACATAGCTCCATTGTAATATCTCTGGTTAACCATTTATTGTGTCCATACCTCAATGTGATATTTCCATTTATCCCCTGGTAATTTAACATAGCTATGGAAAAAGGCCCATTTACAGATAATTTTCCCATTAAAACCTCCATTTCTAATGGATTTTCCAAGGCTATGTTAGTCATAACCAGATGATATCCGTTTTTTTAAGACCCAGAAAATCGGTGCAGAAAAACAATGGCAGAACGATCCTGCCGAGTCAGACATCCTGGCAGTGAAAAAGGAATGATAAGGACGTGGAAATCCATTGGTTGATCATGATAAGACATGGTTACTGTACATATGTATATAATACATGTATAATACATATAGTAAAAATGATAATAATAGTTCTAATACTAAAAATGATTATAGATACATAATATATACATACATTATATATATACATACATTATATATATATACATATATATATACACATTATATATATATATATACACATTATATATTTATATATATATACACATTATATATACATTATATATATACATTATATATATACATTATATATACATTATATATATACATTATATATATACATTATATATACATTATATATACATTATATATATATACACACATAATATACATACATAATATACATACATAATATATATATATGAGTAACCGACAAAATTAGCGGAAAACTAAAGTAGTGGGGAGTGGACATGGGATGTTCAAATTTGCGCCAAAACATTCACAACCGATAGGGGACCACCCACTTACCGATACCCTATTTTTGCATAGAGCATGGAAGTACAAACCTTCACAGCCGATGGGGGACCACCCACTTTGGCCATGTCCATTGCGGGTAGTAAGTAATTTTGTCCGCCACTCATATATACACATAATATATATATATATATATATATGTGTGTGTATATATATATATAATGTATTTGAATTGTATATATAGCAGTGACCCCTACCCCTTATCTTGTTTATTTTGAGTAAACTCTGAGGGAACAATTGCCATCCGGAAAGGGATATTCACCAAAGTGGCTCACCGTAGCCCTGCAACATTTACTGCATCTGTGGCTAAGTTGCCTTATAAGTGGCTTAACTATGGTTTATGGTAGATATAACTATAGATAACTATGGTTAATGGGGTTTATAAACCAACATACATAACTGGAGGGCCCCATCCTGAAGCTTTGTCCCAGATTTCGGAAGTTTTGAACCCGGTTTCGGAAGTCGAACTCAGAGTAGTTTCCCCACTTCCAAGCTGGAACATGACAGGTTGCCGAGAAAGATGACTCACAGGCCCAGAAAAGATGGGACAAAAAGCTGGTCGACCCATCGTTGCCAAAGTCCAAGACCCAGTTCACAGAATTCCGAAAAACATGTTTGGGGTATTTTGGGGTTACGGTTCCTGATGGCTTGACTTCTACCACTCTCTGTTAGTTGTACAGCACATCATTGTTGTTGTCTGTTGGCGATATGCTCAAGTTCATTTATGCTGGCCTTAGTCGAACGGGAAAGGCTGTTGCTCAGACCATGGTCAATCGCAGTCATTGTTAGACAATCCATGATATGGGTTTATCATGGTTTATCTGATAGGATACTGCCAAATTATCCATGGTTTACCATGATTCTATGAATCAGTTGATGTAATTAACAACTAACAACTGGTCAATTGGAAGATTCGAAACAACCATGATATATATATATAATATACGTATCTATGTATATGATATATGATATATGATATATGATATATGTTTCTATCAAATCTTATGTAAGAAGTTTGTTCAAATTATGGCGCTCTATGTCCACAATCTGGCTAAAAGCCCAACTCTTTCCGCCAACAGTGCCATGTTTGCTGGTGAAATCACGCTAAACCCACATCCCTTAGCTTTTGTCGGTGAAATCCAACTTTTTGTGGCTTCAATGGTATTCAATGGTCATTTTGATAGTTAAATCATGTTAAATCTCAATTGGTTCCAATTAACACCGCATTTTTCCAGTGAACCTCCCATTTTTCGTCCGGAACATTCCGGAACGAAGCCTGCGTTTGTGTGGTCCGCAGGTGTTGTCGGCCTTGCTGGCGCGGAGCAGCGATAGTGAGGCCTTTGTGCGCTTCAGCGTTGTCGAGGTGGGGTTTCTCACCGAGTGCAGCAGTGGATCCCACTTCGTAGTAAATAATAACCATATGATATCCCAGTATACCCCTAGTTATGGATATTTCCCAGTTATATGTGTTATAAACCACTGAAATGCTCCAGCTAAGGATTTTATGGGGATTTCATGGGATTTGGATAAAAAATGGATCAACGTAACCCGGGGGATAGTGGGATGAAACTATCAACATATTATGGAATTCGAAATAGGATCACATTTTTAAAGGTGCATAAAACATCTGTGAATTGTTTCTGGAATTGTCGAATCCCAGTTTCAAACAAGCCAACGGGAATAAGGGTGATCAACGTATCATGGATCATCCAGATGGAGATATGGGAGCATCAATGAGCCATTGGGATATGACGAACAGACATAGCCATGGAAAGATCCACCCATTTTATAGCTATGTAAACCATCTATTTCTATGGGCCATGGATTCCATGGCTATGTTAAATAAGCAGAAAGTATGTCATGATATATGTGATATATGTATATATATTTATATATATATATATTCCAGAAAGAATGGGTGAAATCAAAAGACCAAAGTACTTTCACCTCGGCAAATATTCTAGCATATTCCAAGCGCGAGATGTATACTTCACGTTCAAACAAGTTTGACAGCAGCACCAGTCTTATAACGTATACTTATCAGATCTTATCAGAGTTATGTGGAAGTAAAATTCTTGTAGACCACTCTTTTTGACCTACGTATTTCCATTTATGTTTACATTGATTTGATACTTATTACTTTAAGCGCTTCAGCCACCTTGAACTACAAAAGTTGCACCTAGCAGCTAATCGAGGCAAACCAGAACGACCTGTAGGTTTTTCCATTAAAATTTCTGGTATTTTGTTCAGATGCCCTGCGAGGCACTCAGCAACGTGTCGGCTGAGGGAAACGGGCAGGCACGAGGGCCGGGCACGTTGGGCGTTTTGTAAACTAACATAGCTGTAAAAAATGGCCCATTCATAGATGACTTATGATGACCTTACCTATTAGAAATGGTGATTTCCCATAGCTATCTTACTTTACCAGAGCGTAATCAGTGACCCCCAAGTGGTTGTCATGGCTTGGACCATGGTGCTGGTGCCCCCAAATGGTGGCATGTGAGGTGAACGCCACAAGAAAGTTGAAATACGTATCACATTGTCGACAGATGAAACCCTGATCTTCCTCCACAACGTTTAACTGTGGGGTTACTAATCACAACGTTAAACCTTGTCTTTAGATGACTGCAGAAAATCAGTTCTATCTAGCCACAAACTGTTTCACATCCAGAGGGTGGACTAACATGGACTAACCGTGTTGGCTCAGTCCCAAAGCAGTTTGGGCAAAAGTATTGCTATGAAGAGTGGGTGGAAAGGCGGTATAAGAGGAAAAACGCGAATCTGCCCAGAGGTCAGATCCATTTGCAAATGGCAAAATCTGAAGCATTCTTTTTCTAAACGATTTGTTTGGTCCATTTTGAAGTGCGAAAAGTGCGTGAAAATAACGTGAAAAGTGCGTGAAACGACCGTGAAAAACCCGTGAACACCATCAAAAAACTGGGGGGCATGACTCAAATAATGGTTTGACTAAAGTTTTTGGAAAATCGAAGATCTGGTGTGACACTTTGCGCCCTACCTTTTTTTATGGAGCATGTGCGTCATGGATACTATCTTTAGGATTCAGTAATGGCAAGCTGAAGGGAAGGGAACTTTTTGGAACTCCTTAAAGGCCGGTATTGTTTATTCTGCATTCTTGATGCAATCAAAGATTCTGCCTCTGCTCTTTGGAATGCAGTAGTGATAGGCAGTGAAATGATGGGGTTAAGTAAAGACATGGGGTTAGACTAACCACAACGTTAAACCTTGTGGTTGGAAGGTCAGGGAAAAGCAGAGATGGGAAGAGTCAGAGAGAAGAGAAGAGTAGAAGAGAGAAGAGTAGAAGAGAGAAGATCAGAGAAGAGAAAGAGTCAGAAGAAAGAAGATGCAGGTGCGCGAAAAGGTAGGAAAGTCGCGAAACACTGTGTTTTTCCAATGATTTGTGGCTCCGGAGGGTCGAAAATAGGCTCGCTAAAGCGGCGGATGCGGAGCCATCTGGCCAGATGAGAGATGAAAAATTGCACGCTGTTGTGTGCGAAGCACATTTCGAAGTCAAAATGTACAAAACACACCAGGTTCGGACCACTTTTGGAAGTTGAGATGTCGAAAAAGTGCACGCCGTTGTGGCCCGAAGCGCATTTCGAAGTCAAAATGTACAAAGCACACCAGGTTCGGACCACTTTTGGAAGTTGAGATGTCGAAAAAGTGCACGCCGTTGTGGCGCGAAGAACATGGATGGATGGATGGATGGATGGATGGATGGATGGATGGATGGATGGGTGGATGGATGGATGGATGGATAGATAGATAGATAGACAGCTGGATAGATAGATAGATAGATAGGTAGGTAGGTAGGTAGGTAGGTCAGAGAAAAATAGAAAAAGAGAGAGAAAGAGAGGAGACATCAATCACCTTTCGATCCATCAGTGGCTTCGCTCTGCCATCCGTGATTCACAACAACCAACCTCTCCTATAGGATTCCTATTTTTGAAACTTCCGCCACCGCCTTGTGCGGTACTACTTGTGAGTCTGTCCAAAAAGTAAGGAGACGGGAATCCCCAAGAACGATCCATTAACAGGCAATACCACTTGGTCACCTTGAATTGGACAAACTCACCTCACTTCTCCCGGGCCTCGGCCCCATGCAGTGCCGGAGAAGTTCTGCCGGACATGTCATCCTTGTCAATGTCAGGGTAGAATGTCAGGACATGACTGAATACATCTCAGAAAATGCTTCAGACATCTGCGGGCTATATGTAAAAGTTGATGTATGTCCGACAAGCTCTCACCATGTGTTTCAGAGTAAGTATACGCAAGTGAAATTTGCCAGAAAAAATGTCATCATATGTTGGGGTAACATGAAATTTGCCAAAGCAAAGCAATGTCAAAATATCCGTTTTCTGACATGTCAGACTACATGTCAAACAACATGTGAGAGTATTTGTGAGCATTCACCAAACAGATGTTACAATGTGTTACAATTAATCTTCCGAATTTCTGCCAGACTTCTGTCGGAATATATGCCAGACGTCATGTCAGATTTCATGTCAGCGATTTTTTTTTGGCCAGAATAAACAGCAAAAAAAATAAATGTCCTACAGCATGTGAGAACTTGCGCTCGAATGAATGTCATGACAAGTATGCATGTCATCAGTTTCGTTAAGTATATCCATTCCGTGGGGATCACACGTTTTTTTTTCCGAAAATCAACATTTTGGCACAAATCCATAGAAATTCCGCTTATATAACCGAACATTAAATTGCATTACATTACATAACATTACAGCATTACATTACATTGCATAACATTACATTACATTACAGAACATTACATAACATAACATAACATTACACTACATAACATTACATAATATTGCATTACATAACATTACCTTACATTACACAACATTGCATTACATAACATTACAGCATTACATAACATTACATTACATAACATTACCTTACATTACATTGCATAACATTACATTACATTACATAACATTACATTACATAACAATACATTACGTAACATTACATAACATTGCATTACATAACATTACATAACATAACATGACATTACATAACATTACATAGCACTACATCACGTAACATTACATAACATAACATTACGTTACAAAACATTACATTACATAACATTACATTACATTACAAAACATTACCTTACATTACATTACATTACATTACATAACATTACATCACATTACATTACACAACATTACATAACATTACATTACATAACATTACGTTACATAACATTACATAACATTACGTTTCATTACATTACATTACATAACATTACATTACATAACATTACGTTACATAGTTACATAACATTACATTACATAACATTACGTTACATAACATTACATAACATTACATAACATAACATAACATAACATTACATTACATTACATATACATATAACTCTCATATAACCATATACATATGCTGCGTTTTCTACATGTAGATGTACACATTTTTTTACAACAAATCATTGCTCCAACCATTGGTTTTTTAAGTGGTTTTCATGATCAACTAGCAGGTGGTGGATCGGTTGCTGGAGCTTGTGTCTGATCGGGATGCTCCTTGGGTGAAAGGAAACACTGTCGGCGAGACGGTTTTTGAGTTATTTACATGTGATTTATTACGAATTCATGTGGGGAAAACAATGATAAATCATCCGTCATCACTATTTTTATAGGTGGTGTGGTAGGTTTACCATTCCCAGTCATGGCTGGTAAAAATGACCTTCTTTTACCCACACTACAGAACTACAGATTCAGATCACTGCCGGCACGCATCTTCGGGATCCTAAACGCGTTCCACATTCTGAATTTGGGGAGCAGAATCCATCCGATACCCTCTGGTAAACGTTTACATAACTATGGAAAATCACAATTTTTTATGGGTAAATCAACTATAAATGGCCATTTTCAATAGCTATGTTTGTTTACCAGAGGGTACATTGAAGTGTCTTCATCTTCACATTTTTGCCTACCAAGGGTCTACAGAGGCATTCGAACGAATCCTAGCTCTGAGTAATCTTTGGGATGATCCCTGATTCGATATATCCGAAATTCCAAGGTGAGACGGTAGAACCCTTTTGTATGCTCTCAAAACTGAGGAGCCGTCCCTGCATCTCAAGATTGCCGCATAAAGCCTCCTATTCCAACACACCCAAGGTTTTTGGGAACGTCAATGGGTTGGAACACCTATCCCATAGGATCCATGTATGCTATATATGGTATTATATGGTAACATTTACCATCACTATACCCCCAATGTTAGTATATATACCATACATGGATCCTATGGGTATTGTCAATCCCAAAATTTTCCAAAACATCAGGTTTTTCAACGGCCTCCTTCTTTCCACCGCACGGTTCGTCGAGCCTTCCACGCAACAACGCCACCGAGTCGCGAGTGAGATGTTGCAGCTGCGAAAGCCTGGGGCGCTTGGCGGTGCGCGGAGAGAGGCGGAGTCACGACTGGATGACTGGGGTACCTTAATATTGTCGGGAAACCTCTGTATGGATCATATGGCATCTGAAAATGTCGGGTTTATTTATATCGATGGTATCTGAACCATGATTGGCAATGATTGGCCATAAATCTAGGGTTTCTTATTGAGATTGCACGTTCTCAATTAATTGCACAGATTTCGAGACTTAAACAGCCACGTATGTGGGAAAGTTTCTTATAGCAAACATCACCCAACAGCTGGGGTTGAACCAACCCAAACGGGGGCTTGAATAAAGAAATTGGATTTGAAGCAACCAGCTGGAGCTTTATTGGAATACCTTAGAAGAGCTTCTTGGTAATTGTATCACGTTGAAATGCAGCTTGGAATAGTTCGACCAAGATTCCCAGGCAGTCAATGATCCCCATTGGCATGCTAGCGAGTATACCCCCCAATCAGAATCTTCTTGGGATCGATGTGGCAAACCCAACTGCAAAGCACTGCAGTGACTTGCCAACATTTGGTGTAAGCTATCCCTATGATGGCATTTTTTAATCGTATTTTTGCATATTTTTACGGCATTGCGAAAGTTATTGGGAAGATCGAATCCATGGCCTAAAACTCTCGTCCAACAATAGGGTACCCGGTACAGAAAATCCTACTGTATGGTTTATTAGCGTTTTACCAATGTTTTGGGCAAACAAACGAAATCACGTATTGTACTGTGTAAGATCATGATCATTCATGATCTTAATATTTCAGATCGTATTTCTGAAGCAATCCATATCCCTGCAGAGGATTGCGCTTACGGATGCTTACGTCTTGACAATGTCCATGAAGATCGATCAATGGGGAAAGACCTGGTAGATTGTTCCACCATGTTCCACCTATACTATACTTGTACATGATATACGGTGTAAATCTGTGTAATATATTTTCATTCATTTTCATATATTTGCAATATTGATATCTACACTTCAGATACAATACTCGCATATGTTACACTATTTACATTTACTCCATGATATGTATGTATGTATATATATATATATATATATATACGCGAGGCCTTACATACTGCATATATAACATATTATGTAATGTGTACATACATACATACATACATACATACATACATACATACATACATACATACATACATACATACATACATACATACATACATACATACATACATACATACATACATACATACATACATACATACATACATACATATATATATAAAGGATTATAAAGATGTACTTCTCCTATTCTTGCGGCCGTAAATCCTCCCGTCTGCGCCAGTCGCGTCTTGACAGCGCTCTTGGGCTGCCTGGAGGATGAAGCTGATGCGGTGCGAAAAGCGGCAGTGGCTCGGCGTTCGCGACGGCGTCACGTCATGGTCTGAGGACTGATGACTGGGGTATCCCCATAGTAGGACACCTCCAACTATGGATATTAATGGACATTGAGGAATATGTTTGTATATATAACCAACAATATTATATGGGAATCATATTGGACATGTCATATTCACCACAAAATTTCGTTTTTTGACCCCTAAGATTTTCATTATATATAGCACCATTTTTGTTGGTTAAATATTTATTATAATCCCATCCCCCTAGTGTTAAACCACCCTCAGAACCATGGCTTAGTACAGGGTAAAAACATATTTGGGACCCTACAATGAGTGTGAGTAATATTAGGGAATGGGACTGTCCCCTGGTTAGAATATGGTTTATAAACCCACCGAAGTATACAACCAGAATCACCATAAAACCTAGTGAAACTAGTTATGAACCAACTTAGCTTACGGCATCACCCTGCATCTAGGCTTTAACTATTAAAATCCTAGGGACATGGGGGGATAACTGAGAAATGGTTGGTGATTTTTTGGGGCGATACCATGGAATATGTTGGGGTCTATTATTTTTGTCCATGAATTGTAGGGCTCCCGTTCTTAACCAAACAGTTTAATGGAATGACAGAGGACTTTTTGAACACTGTTCGATTGGGGATAATATCTTGGCGTACATAATGGGATGATATTTCCGGATCATTGTTTGGCATCCACATATACAATAGGATATCTATATAGTATATTACTATTACTATTATATATATAATTATATATACACAAATTGGGATAGATGAATTGTATGGGAATCTATGAGGATAGTGCAACCAACAATAGTGACAATGGTGGATGTAATAAGGAAGATGAATGGAAGGAGGGCACAACTGACATGGAAATATTTTAGGAACTATATTCTCTGTTGATTTAGGGATGAATCATCCCATACTCCGATGGCCATACATAGCGAACCATTGGCGAAGCGTTTTTGCGATTTCGTTTTTTTTTCATGGGTTGTATCATGGGAAACCATTGGTTGTTGGTGTATATATATATATATGTATATATATATATGTATATGCTATCCCCCAGGGGTCAATAAACCAAATATTTGTGGGGTATTATATACGGTATATACCATATAGTCAAGGCATTTATGTCGCATCGTTTTGATGTTTTCAGTCCACCAGGTTGGCTGGATCGTTGTTGCAGATTACAGAAATGATTCGAAATGTCACTCATTTGCTTCATGCATTGTGGCTATTCTTGGTGGAATCTGTTGGGAATGCTTTTGCCTGTTTGGCATGAATTGTTAAGAGATCTTTGTGTGTGTTTGCTCATAAACAGGCAGAAATGGGCGGGCTTACAGATCGAATTGGGTTTGTTAGCTTCCATGGCGTGTGTCAGAAAAAGTCGGTATTTGTTCGGTTGGGCCAGGGTGAGGGAAATTCTTTTGTTGCAGGGTTTAACATGTGACTTTGTGTTTATTTATAACTGTGTTGTGTTGCAACATAGCTAGCACCCAGCTAGCAAATGGGATGCACATCCAAATATGGTTGGTCGTATATGGGAATGTATAATTCTATTTATATACATATTTGATATTTGTATCCAATCCAAACGGATACTAATATAATTATATATAATTATATATATATACAATAATTGTATATAACCAAAGACAGGGAGACAAAGAAAGGGTGCTTCTGAGGGCCTGGAGGCACACATGGAAACAGATTTGGAACATTTTTTCGGTTTTTCGATGACCAGGATGGCGATCATTAAACTTCTATATTGGAGATGCCGGAGATGCTTTTTTGGGAAATCTTTGGGAAATCAGGTGGCCTAGGTGGCGGTTTTTCAGCGCCCCGGGGCGACGACTTGAGGCCACAAGTCTGGGGCAGGTGACCTTTGCCCCATTGCAGGAGTTGGAACTCCAGGCTCGGACGTCCATGGATTTTTTGTCGCCACAAAAACATGGGGAAACATGGGAATATCATTGATACCCTCTGGTAAACTAACATAGCTATGGAAAATTATCCCTTTTAATGGTTAAATCAACTATTTCAATGTCCATTTTCAATAGCTATGTTAAATTACCAGAGTATATATCATAGATAACAGATATATCATAGAATGGGGTTATTTCATATGGGCTATTCACCTGCCTGGTTTACTGCGGACTATCATGATGGGATAGAAGTGACTGGTTCCATGGCTGCCATGGCTCTGGAGTGCCCTTTTTTCTGGCGACTTTACCAACCCATCATCGGGACAGAACCCGCAAACATGTTCCGGATGTTTCATTCTGCGAGACATTGGCCCACAGGTTTAATCAATATATATATAATTATATATGTAGATCATGATATGATATGATCATGAATGCAATCTATAAAACGTCCAGGCGTTACTCTCGGTCAGAACTGAACTTTCTCCGGAACTCCTGGATCTTGATTTTCCAATGATTTTAAGTGACCTCCGGCGAGGTCAATGTTGAGCCGCCGCAGTGTGAAGCTTATCTAATCCTGTGGTCTTGGAGTCTGGTCGCTTGTCCCCTTCGTCCTAAGAAGTCCTTGCTACTTCTTTCGCTTGTGTGCAGCATCTCCTGCATTTTTAGCCACGCATATTGTTTATCATGCAAGACTCAAAAGAAAACAAGAACAACAGAAAAACAAAACCAAGAATAAAGCTTTTTCCGTGTTGGTTTTTGGGCTACGAAATCTGCACGTTCACATACGGCACTAGCGACAAAATCCTTTCGTAATGTTTTGTATCTATTATTATGGTCAAGAACAAAGAAAGAAATTTGCTTCGAAAATTGAGATAGACAGTACAGTTTCCAGTTTTGATGACACATTGAGGCCTCCGCAATGCGACAAAATAACAGCAGCAAAGGAGCGAAAGAACCAAGAATCAAAACAACAATTTGGGGGTTTCCTAAAATAGGGGTACCCCCAAATCATCCATTTATATGGCTTTTCCATTTTAAACCAAGCATTTGGAGGTAAACCCATTTTCGGAAACCTCCATTTGAAATAAGACAAAAACACAAACACAAATAACACACACATGAACAGAAACCGAAACAAAACAACGACCATCAACAATATCAACAGCAACAACAAACACAAGAAAAAAAAAGTACTATATCTAAAAGCAATCACGACCACAGCGAAAAATCTTTCTCCCAGAGTGTTTGCAAATAGCGACCACATGACAAGTTCCAGACGCAAAATGGCACAAACATGTTGCAACAATGGGCGGACAGGAAAGTGATAGCCGAATTTCACAGCGCTGCAAAAACCATTCAAATTACTTTCTTCGAGTGATCCCCACCCACTGACACTCTATCTGGTATTCTCTCTGACTTTTAGTTGACATATATTCTGACATTCTATCTGGCATTCTATCCGGCATTCTATCTGACATTGTATCTGGCCTATATTCTAGCAGTCTATCTGGCATTCTATCTGACATTTTATTTGGCATATAAAAATTCTGACATTCTATCTAGCATTTACTCTGACATTCTTCTATTTGGCGTCTATTCAGGCCCCTCTATCCGGCATCTATTCTGGCATTCTCTCTGGATCTCTCTGGCATCCTGCCTGGCATCTACTGTATGATGACATCCTATCTGGCATGTGGTCGGGTCCGTGCGTGCCCAGCCTGATCTGGAGCTCGCCGTGCATGCCCAGACTGCCGTGGAGCTCGCCATGATCTTCTGGAGCGAGATTGCTCCACTGGAGCTGGCACTTGCTGTGACATCCGCGTCCGTTGGTGCCCACAGTGCTGGCAGAAGGAGGAGGACAATGGAGGAAGAAGGACGGAGGAGGACGAGGACGTGGAGGAGTGAAGGGGAAGGAAGGAGTTACACCTTTGTTAAAATCTAGAGACCCTCACCTGGCAGGTGGGGAATTACAATTTGTAGCTCCAACATATTGCAAATACCACGGAAATGCGCCATGTAAGTGCAACCTTCAGGTTTCAAACGCCATTTTTTGGTCGCAAAACGCTTACAAGACTCGCAATGAGTGATTTCCAGGTCCAGTGTGCCGCAGGAAACCATACGGAGGTTCCAGTTCCAAAACGCCGTGAACACCACAGACAGGTTAGGGCTCAACTATGTTCAGCTCCAACGGTTGCAACGTCAGTGGTTCCAAGGGCACATTTTTTTTGGATGCATCAAATACTTGCTTGATCCCCGGTGCAATGTTTTTTTTGGGATGCCTTATACACATATTTTTTGATCCCTCACCCACCTTTGGCTTGGGAACCCAAGTGCCATTCGGAACTGATGGCAGAACTCGATGGCATTTTCTGTAACAGATTATTATACGAGGCGTGTTCCACACGTTTGAAGAATTCTAAGTTTAGACACCCCTTGAAAGATGCTACATTTTACTGCAAGTCATTTTGATCTGTCCCCTGGTAATCAAACATGGCAACATATGGCAACGAAAAATCGACCATTTACTTCGATGATCTTCCCATGTGTTATTGTTATGGGGATTTCCCAGCCCTGTTTGATGACACCGGAAGATCATTTTCCATGTTTTACCATGAACCACGAAGGGACACATTTTTCGTGCAGGAGCGACACATCGCTGAACTGGAGTTCCGGGAGCAACATGAGGCAACGACTCGGACGACTGCCCCCAAAAAATCCCCAAAAATCATGGTGGGAAGGCGGGAATCATCAGGAATCATATTTCGATGAGCATGCGAATGGATCTTAAGATACCCAACCAATCAGATCCCAAATGTCCGAAATCCTGGTCGCTGGAGCAGGAGAATCCGCAGCAGAAATTACAGCTGAACTTCTTGCATCCAACCAAGCTATTCAAACCCGTCAGTAGCTGACAATGTGTTGCAACATGTTGCAACCCATGAATGCGGCATTCAAAACCGATCTGAGCGCAACAATCAGCTTTATGTTTGCTTGAAGACAAAGACATTATTTAAGTATATGTAAGTATATTTCAGATTATTTCAGCATCCAAGCTGGTTAATATTATGTTGATTTTGTTTGCACATGGTGCCTCCGCATCAGAACCAAGGTATATAGGATGTATACACAGCATCACCGGGCAATTTTTTGTTCCCAACTTTTCGTTGAAAAACCACACCTGTGCGCCAGGTGTCGACCCGAGATCGAACCATCGCTGATCTCAAGGGGAAATACGAAAAGGCCAGTGGGCTCGGAGGAACTGGGTGGCCAACTGGGAAGGATGTGGAAGGGCGATTCGATCGTCTTATGAAACCCAACATGAATTATATAAATTATAAATAATGAATACACATTATATACAGTACATCATTTATAATATATATATATGGCCAGTTGTGACCCTTGTTGGGATGGAGTTGGGCTGGAGGGATTTTACATCCCAGTTGGATCCATTTGGTAGCCGTGATTCTGTATTGCTTTTGTACTGTATGTTGTTGTGAATTTGCCCGATGTCATCCGATAGAGATGGGAATGGATCAAAACATATCAAAACCCATGACCTTCGAGTGTAAGTTGGGGATCAACATCTAGAATCTAGAACTACCATTTGGAGGTTTCCTAAAACAGGGAATCCCCAAGTCACCATGGCTACTAAAATGGTCTAATGACTTGGATGAGGAGTTTCCTCCACAAACGTTTTATGTGACCAAGGTGCGCGAGTCTTGATGCATAGCCACATGAGCGCCATTGGCCAGTTCACCCATTGGCCATATCCCAGTTGCAGGGGATTAAAATGCAGTTCTAATCTTAGTTTGGGACCAAAAGGTAGAAACATGTAGTGTACTCCTATTTTGTGTAGTAGTCTTTTTTTTGCGTTGCATTTTCAGTGGGGTTGTGATACAATAATTATACAATATATATATATAATTATGTGATATTATATATATAATATTATACACTGTACACAGCTTGAAATCATTTGCCCATCCAGTAGATGGGACTGGGAAAGATATTTGCCAGTTGGAGATCAAGATACATATGTATGTATAGATATGTATACAGACGTATCGTATATATATATATACACGTATGAATATACATACGTATTCATTGAAATAAGTGAGTTGTAACTTACAACCGCTCTTTCAAACGTTTGAAAACTCAGGAAAACAGACGGACGTTCCCTCAATACGGACATGAAACTCACCATCTATGCCACACGGTCCTAGGGAAACCATGGATTTTCCATACGTTTGTTTACTTGAGGGTCGCTCCAGATTCCGGATCTTATGTTTGGATTCCCAACAAAATCTGGACCTCTAAGGTCTGTACCTGCTTTAGGCAGCCACTTTGTCGCAGAGATGAACTCCTCTGAATGCATGGTGTTTTGATTCTCCAGATCTTGATGAATTGGAGTAGAATCCTCCCGTCTTAACCGATTAATTCGTGTCAACAGATATCAGTCTCTGTCTCTCTCTTTCTCTCTCTCTCTATGTACAGGTAGACATATGCAATATACATATATATATATATACTTTTATACATATATATATATTGTAAACATATACAAATATATACATATACAGATATACATACACATAATATACATATACATACACATATACATATACATATACAAATATACATATACATACACATACAAATATACATATACATATACACACATACACATACACATACAGATACGTATGTATACATATATATATATATAGATGTACATACACACATGTACATATACGGGGTACACATTTGAAAGTATGAACTCAACCAACCACGAATTCAACCAACCATGAACCTTTTTGAACCTGCCTTTCCCACAAACTGGGCAGGAGACTGCAGAACTCAGGGCCAGGGTCTATGCGCTGGAGGACATGTGACTGGTGTCAAAATAGCTGGAAGTTGTGGATGTTCATCTATCGAAAAAATGGTTGTTGATAGGTTTTAAGCCATTGCCAAATGGAACCCACAGTCATTTCCAATGAGAAACATTAAAATCACCTTCCAAACCAAGGGATTCCAGGTCAGGAACGAAACCGTAAACACAGGATGCATGCTAACTTTTACACCATCCTTTGGTAGTGGGTGCTCAATGTTGGCCTATTGGCCCATATCGGGTATATCTAAACATTGACAGCCTTGGCACTCCAAGATGAAACCGTCACCGAAAGCGTAGCGGCTACGGATGGCTACAGGTTCTCTTCGCTTTCATGACCTCCGCAAGCCTGAAATGTTCTCCGCAGCTGGAATGACTATTAGCTGGATATGTTGTATATCATCCCAGTGTATACTATCAGCTGGTTTATATCATACAGCATCAATAGATATATTAACTGGATTGTATATCATCATATATCTATGCGTGTATACTGGTATCATTCTATATCTATTGCTGTGTGAGCAAAACCGACCTGTGAACATTTCATGGAGCGTCATTTTCTTGCTTTCGCGGCTCGCCTACCCGCCACCTGGATGTGAGTTGTTTTTAAGTGATTATCCCATGGTTGTCAACCATACACAATTTTTATGTATATGGGCACAACCAGCTGTATGTGTATATTTATATACATACATATATACGTATATATATATATATATAAATAAATGAATGAATGAATAAATAAATAAATAATTATAGATATATTATGAACACTAGGAATTCCTCCCCAATTATGAAAGTCTACATGTAGATATATCTATTTTTTTCCTGTTTATACAATATTAGTGCATCACTCGGTCCAGTCGGTCCAGTACATCCACCAGGATCGCTTGAAACTGGAGGTGGAGAAACGCGATGCGGAAATTGCTCAGCTGATTCATCAAATGGAAGAGCAGGACGGGATCCCCTGCAGATAGCCCAGCAGATTGGATGGTTTTTTAGATAGAATTTTAACCACGTATTACTATTTATAGTATACGCCTATATCTACATATATATATATATATATATGATTATATATGTATGTATATATATATATATAAATATGTAATATATGGATGAATGGAGGGTGGATAGATGGATGGATGGATGGATGGATGGGTGGACGGGTGGATCGATGGATGGATGGATGGGATTGGATGAGATTTGAGATGAATAGGAGTAGGATAGGAATAGGATAGATACCCTCTGGTAATTTAACATAGCTATTGAAAATGGTGATTTATGGTGGATTTTCCCATTAAAAATGGTGATTTTCCATAGTAGAGGGTAGGTAGATTATAGGATACACATGGACACATGATCGACTTCCTTGGTCATTCCTTGGTCCTTGGTCCGCATGCTCCCGGCGAGACACCTTGATTTGAAACAGGACATGGTCCACAATATCCAAATACTAGCCTTGAACAAAAGAACTGGCACGTTTTGGATCCCTTGTTTGAACCCAAGCGAAACACTTGGAAATCGGGCCCGAAAGTTGGAACTTCCAAAGGAACGAAAACTGATTTTATGCGTGGAGTGAATGTTGCCTGGCAAAACCCAGGAATGGATTGCGGGTGTTGGATCTGTCATTCCACATGCAGGCAGAATGATGGCACTGTGCAGATGGGAGGGGTAGTAATTGGTGGTTCCTCCCACGGTTGCAAGCGGGTTATATGTTTTTTATTTTTGCACATATAATATATATATATTATGTATTAGATATGGAAATGAATGATAGAGTGAGACTGGGGGGGTGAGATAAACTAGCAATGTATTCTTAGATCCATGGACCTAACAATCCCTTTGATTGTACCTTTGTAAAATGCTCAGGCTTCGCGCTTATAAACAAAATGCCCTTCTAGACAGAGATGGTTTGGTTTAGAATGCCCGATTCAGGTTCCATGTTTTTTCATTTTACAGCATGATAGAGGGTTGCAACTAGATTAGGCATTTTCTACGGAGGAATAATTGCCGTATGTTTCCCTGGTTCTTGACCATGCTGTTGAAGGAAATGCATTTTACAGAAGGAAGTTGGTACAACCCTAAGTTTTAAGAGCACGCTTGTACTCAATCCATATAAGAGGCTCAACACTCCCTTGACACTGCATGCAAAGCGTTTGGCTCCATGTTTTTTCATCCCTTTGGAAACATTGGAAACAGGTTTCCTCCCTTTTTCCCATAACCCGGTGAGTATTTTGTCGGTTGAGTCCCCAGTTGTGTTGCTCAATCCCAAGTCTTGTGGCATTTTGTTCCCGCTGTTCAAACCCGCATCTATACTTGAACCAACTCTTGACATGATTTAACACATACTCAAAACCACCAGTTAATATCTGGTTGGTGGTTTCAAACATTTTTTTTTCCATACCAGTATTACCGCACAAGGCGGTGGCGGAAGTTTCAGAAATAGGAAACCTATAGGAGAGGTTGGTTGTTGTGAATCACGGATGGCAGAGCAAATCCACTGATGGACCGACAGGTGGTTGAGGTCTCCTCTCTTTCTCTCTTTCTTTCTCCCTTTCTCTGACTATCTACCTACCTACCTACTCTGTCTCTCTCTCTCTGTCTGTCTGTCTGTCTCTGTCTGTCTCTGTCTGTCTCTGTCTGTCTCTGTCTGTCTCTGTCTGTCTCTGTCTGTCTCTGTCTGTCTCTGTCTGTCTCTGTCTGTCTGGTCTTGTCTTGTCTTGTCTTGTCTTGTCTTGTCCTGTCCTGTCTTGTCCTGTCCTGTCCTGTCCTGTCCTGTCCTGTCCTGTCCTGTCCTGTCCTGCCCTGCCCTGCCCTGCCCTGTCCTGTCCTGTCCTGTCCTGTCCTGTCCTGTCCTGTCTGTCTCTCTATCTATCTATCTATCTATCTATCTATCTATCTATCTATCTTTGTATTTATCTATATTTGTATCTATCTATCTTTGTATCTACCTATCTTTGTATCTATCTATCTTTGTATCTATCTATCTACCTATCTATCTATCTTTCTATCTATCTATCTATCTATCTAACAATCTATCTATCTAGTATCTATCTATCTATCTATCTAACTATCTATCTATCTATCTATCCATCTACCTATCTATCTATCTATCTATCTGTTTATCCTGTCTATCCTGTCTATCCTATCTATCCTATCTATCCTATCTATCCTATCTATCCTGTCTATCCTATCTATCCTGTCTATCCTGTCTATCCTATCTATCCTATCTATCCTATCTATCCTATCTATCCTATCTATCCTATCTATCCTATCTATCTTATCCATCTTATCTATCTTATCCATCTTATCTTTCTAATCTATCTAATCTATCTAATCTATCTAATCTATCTAATCGATCTAATCGATCTAATCGATCTAATCGATCTAATCGATCTAATCGATCTAATCGATCTAATCGTTCTAATCGATCTAATCGGTCTAATCGATCTAATCGATCTAATCGATCCAATCTATCCAATCTATCCAATCTATCCAATCTATCTAATCGATCCAATCTATCCAATCTATCCAATCTATCCAATCTATCTAATCTATCTAATCTATCTAATCTATCTAATCGATCTAATCTATCTAATCAATCTAATCGATCTAATCGCTCTAATCGATCTAATCTATCTAATCAATCTAATCGATCTAATCTATCTAATCGATCTAATCTATCTAATCTATCTAGTCTTTCTAATCTATCTAATCTATCTAATCTATCTAACTATCTATCTATCTACCTATCTATCTATATATCTGTCTGCCTGTCTGTCTATCTATCTACCTGTCTATCTGCAAGCTTGAAAACGAAGCTATTCTGCGAGATGTCCTCAGGTTTTGAACTAGCTATCTATCTATCTGCCTATCTATCTATCTGTCTGTCTATCTATCTATCAATCTAGCTAATCTAATCCAATCCAATCCAATCCAATCTAATCTAATCTAATCTAATCTATCTAATCTATCTAATCTATGTATCTATCTATCTTTCTACCTATCCATCCATCCATCCATCCATCGGTCTATCTATCTATCTATCTATCTATCTATGTAAATATCTATCTATCTATCTATCTATGTATCTATCTATCTATCTATCTCTCTCTCTCTCTGTCTGTCTGTCTCTCTATCTATCTATCTATCTATCTGCCTGTCTATCTGCAAGCTTGAAAACGAAGCTACTCTGCGAGACGTCCTCAGGTTTTGAACTTGACAACATCAAAAACGCAGCAAGTCTGCGAGACTTCGTCATTTTTCAAAGTTGACAACATCAAAAACGAAGCAAGTCAGCGAACTTCCTCAGTATTTTTGAACTTGACAACGTCAAAAACAAAGCAATTCTGCGAGACTTCCTTAGTTTTCGAAGTTGACAACATCAAAAACAAAGCAATTCTGCGAGACTTCCTTCAAAAAAGGAAAGTTGCGTGCAGAGCTGACAGCCTCGTACCAATGAGTTTTGCAATTTTTCCACTCCACCTGTCTAAAGTACTGCGCCTGCCACGAAAAAGTGATGCCAGGTCATACGAAGTGCTGCACCCGTCATGCAAAATCATTTCAGCAAACCTGAAGATCTGAGGCTCCAAAATGTAACCCCTCTCAGGAAATCAGCGCTCGGACCTCCTAACAGCTCTGATGAAGATGTCTCTTGTACTGCGCCTGCCACGGAAAATGCATCTTTGCAGATCCTCTTCAAATGCCCCACACCTGCCATCGTTTTAGGAAATGCTACAAAACCCTCACGTTTTGCTCACTTTTGAGAAGGTGCACAATCCCTTGCGCCTGCCACGCGAAAGCACATCTAAACCTCCAAAAGTGGCGCGAACATGTGGTGTTTTTTCCACATTGTAAACTTCGAAGTGTGCTTCGCGCCACAACGGCGTGCACTTTTTCAACAGCTCAACTTCCAAAAGTGGTTCAAACCTGATGTGTCTTGTACATTTTGACTTCGAAATGTGCTACGCGCATCTACGCGCCACAACGGCGTGCACTTTTTCGACGTCGCAACTTCCAAAAGTGGTCCGGAGCTGGTGTGTTTTGTACATTTTGACTTCGAAATGTGCTTCGCGCCACAACGGCGTGCACTTTTTCGACATCGCAACTTCCAAAAGTGGTCCGGAGCTGGTGTGTTTTGTACATCTTGACTTCGAATGTGCTTTGCGCCACAACGGCGTGCATTTTTTCATCTCTCATCTGGCCAGCTGGCTCCGCGCCCGCCGCTTTAGCGAGCCTACTTTTCGACCTTCCGGAGCCACAAATCATTGGAAAAACAGAGTGTTTCGCGACTTTCCTACCTTTTCGCGCACCTGCATCTTCTTTCTTCTGACTCTTTCTCTTCTCTGATCTTCTCTCTTCTACTCTTCTCTTCTCTCTGACTCTCCCCATCTCTGATTTTCATCTGTCCATATTGTCGGAAGCTTGACTTCTAAACTTCCTTCAAATGTATGGGATCATCCTTCCCATTGACTAATATTTTTCCAGATGGTTAAAGCCACCAACCAGATATGAATAGGGAGCACCGATTTGAGGTATTAATTTCTCACAACTTTGCAAAAATTCCAGTTCGCCAGGCGAGATCTCGAAGTTCATTGCCAAACTGCCGGAGCTGGTGCCGGGGCGAGGATTTGAAGTGAGTTTCAAAAGGCCCAGTTGGTTATAGTTGGCTATAGTTGGTTAATGAATTTGTTGGGATCAAAATCTACAGTATCATCTTCCAAAAAATTACGCAAAATCCCTTCCGTCTAATACTAAGCACCCACCAGAAACGAAGGTTTAGTTGGGGGATTTACACTTATTTGGGATCATTTACGGGGTGTTTCATATTAGGGGGATGGTATTATTTTGGGGATCTTAGAGGTTTTGACCCTGCAACGTTGATATCACCAATAAATGCTAGGTAAATCAGAGCATGGTGAGTGCCATGAAATATTTCTTCAACATCAACAAATGTTTAACCATGTTTCTTCTGCACCATTGTGGTTTAACCATGTTTCACCAACGTTTCGTAAAGAGGCCCAGGACCACCTCCGAAGGCCCTCTGGAGGCCCTCTCATCATCTAGCGCCGTAGGCGGGTGCCGAACACTACGGCAAGCAGATCACGGCACCCATTTGGGCTCTGAGGCGATATTGACCGGGAAGTCATGGATTAAAATAGGGGGGTTAACCATCAATGGAGGGTTTCTCTGTTTCTTTTTGATGATTTATGGGGATTTTAGATTTTTTTCTGAGGATTTATAGGGATTCTACCCGATTGTGTCAGGATTTCATGGGGATTTCATGGGGATATCATAAGAGATGTAACCAACCACACTTGTTGAAAATGGGGTATGCCATATATCTCCAAAATGGTAATTCTGGATTTCGAGGAACCAAATTTTCAGACCCACATGTATAGCTTGGGAAATCTGCACTGGAAGATATTAGATGTCTATAATCATATGATATAATATATATATATATATATAATATCCATTTATATCCCATTAGATATCTATATTGAATAATATATTACATATGAGCAAGGGTCAAAAGACGCTATGAAAGGCTTCAATTACGATCCGCCATCACTACTCAAAATATGTGATTTACTGTGTGTAGCGATAGGGGGCCTTATGTAGCGATACCTCTTTTTAGACTTTGTTTATGATTGAAGCTTCCTGTTGGGCGCATGACTTTCCAATCTTTTGATGTCAGAGTGCGACACTGGAGCAGTCGCAGTGGGCTGGTCTTCCTGGGTAGTTGCAAGATGGCCTGTCGTCAAGTATATATGAGATAGTTACATTAAACAATATTGATATATTGGGTATGTTGATCTATAAGGTATGCAAGAAACTAATTCATAACGCATCATGAGCTTGATGATGGTGATGATGCTGATGATGATGGTGATGGTGATGATGTTGATTCAGATAGTGACCGTGCTGAGATATGTTGAAAAAGCATCCTTGTGCGGTCACGGACGCTTCTCCAAAGCCACTGTCCAGGAGTAGAATTGCAACATGGAGCTTGTCAGAATTTCGTGTCACTTGAAACATACACCTGAGATCACACATTTTCTGTTCCCCGTAGCGATGCCCGAAGCGATACCCCTCGATACCCAGAGCGATACCTGAAATCCATGAAATTAGGGAGTACCCCACATGGTCACTTGAAACTATACAACTTGTGCTATAGGTGGAAAAATATGGGAAGTATGAACAAGGGTACCCTCAAGTTCTTACTGGGTTAGTTCTTAAAGGGTTCATTTGGTCAGGGTTTTGCCGATTCATTTTGGCGTGGTATTAGGTTGCAAAGGAGGCGGGGTGAAGAAAAAAAGGCGCCGGAAACAAGGCAGCACAGGCAAGACAAGCCAAGACAAGCCAACACAAGCCAAGGGCAGCCTCCGAGGTCAGATGACCTGCAGTGAGTCCGGCTGGTGTCTAGCTGAAGCTGTCGACGTCAGCCTTGGTGATCAAGTAAAAGTTTGAATTTCCCTGGAGATACCATCGCAAGGGGAATAAGAATCCGATTCCTCATCTGGATCCTCCTCTTCTAGCAGCAATTCTGCCTAGTTGGTGAAAAGGGTGCTGGGACTGTGTGTAGCGATAGGGGGCCTTATGAAGCGATGCCATGACCTCACCACATGAATTGAGTTTTGACCGTCGCACATATATCGATATTGATGATTCTGATTGTCATGTACACCGGCTGTATCTCCACCTCTGTGCCCAAATGATGAGATCCAGCGATATGTTGGACTGTCAGTGCAACATCTTGCAACCAAACATAACTTGATAGCCCGTGCAGGTATTCAATATCATAGTTGATCATAAATATTGGTACATGTTATAACACATATTCATTCAAATTCCCATAGTTGATCATGACTTATAGTTTGACGTGTGCCTGCAATCAAAGTTACAGGTCCCCAAGTCCCAATCTGACCTTGCACACAGCGTCACCCCGTTGCATCGTTGCGTCACAGCTTGGGGGGCAGCCCTTGGTCGACACGCGGTGGTTTTCTGATGGCGTCCGTCAGAGCATTGCTGTGCTTGGGCCTGGAAGCCAAGGGGAGATGGGCCGACCCTACGATGGTAGGGCCATCCAAAAATGCCAACCAGATTTTCTAGAATTAAAAGTTATATAACTGAATATTCAAACAGACATGTTTGAACGGATCTAGAATTCTCATAGATTGTTGTATAGACCTAGATTTATTTTTGGATGATTTCAAATGGGGGATATAAAGACACATGAGCCATGAAAGTAATATCTCTGTTGATGGACTATTATGTTGGAGATTGTACTAACTAGCTTGTTGGGGAATAAGAGGAATGGGATAGGGTTCTTACTAACCAACCAGATAATGGGATGGGATAGGGTTCTTCTTCACGCATGGCGAAAACCTGTGTTTATTGACTAAGTGAGTCTTCACATTTGATAACTGAATTTCCAGTGTTGTTAATGACGCCAACCTCCAGTTTTGTTAAATCTCCAGACTCTTTTGGTGGTCAAAACCCCCACTTGTCTCAGGACAATCACTGGTGTTCCTTGGTTCGAACCAATTTTTGCTCTGTAAACTTACAGTACCAGTTTTTTTTTTGGTTGTGTGTGTGTGTGTTACCAACAAACTTCTGATAAAGCCAGCAGTTATCTGTGAGAACCATGGTTTTCCGGAGAAGATCAGGGTCCTCTGCCGCATTTTTGGTCGCCGAAATCGCCAGGCCTAGCTTGGGCAGCGCCGCCGCCCGCACCGCTGAGCTTCGCGCCGGTCTTCGGGGATTATGTTGTGCTGCAGCAAGCCCCGGCACAGGTGGGGAAGTGGGGGAGCAAGCTCCATGGTCCACCGATCCACCATCCTAAATTAGACAATTTTTGATGGGATAAACCATCAATCCATATGGGAGAGTGGTGACATTGTGTTACTCACATTTTTGAGCTTGATGAGTCATTCATCATCTGGGTTTGGGTGTCAAATAATTATCAAATTATCAAACATTGTTTGTTTTTTCAAGATTTATCATAGCCTGATGAATATGTATATATGTATATACATATTATAGTGTTTATGATGATTGAATTGATATTTGGTTGATTGACATTACCTATAACATGATGACAATCAACCTTAATCAACATCATTAGTTAGCTATACTTCAGTGTAATGAAATAAATTGCGATCAATATTGACTTGACATCGTAACTTGGTGATTATAAAAGCATCATTATATTGTGATTTTACATGACATCACTGGATATGAAGTGATTACGGCAGAACCAATTTGTGTGTTCCAATGGATCCAAACCAAGATAATTCTGTCCACCAGCGCTATGAGTAGGCTTCACATCAAACGGCGCTACTATGGTGACACCAAAATAGCTGCTGCTGGATTCAAGTATTCAGCCCATTCAAATGCTCCAGCACAAGTGTTGACCTCAAAAAATGTCCCCGTGTTTGTTGGTGAACTCCGTCGTTTTCACCGGTGGTTAATTAACTCCCACATTTGGTCACTCCAACTCACAGGTGTAAGGAGAGAATCGAAGCGACCTGTCGAAGGGGCTAAGACTAAGACAACCACTTTTTTTTGTTTGGACTTCTATGTCGTGGGTTACAATTTTTCTGGTTTAAATTACGACCCTTTGTGGGTTAAGCATGTATTTTTTCTAAGTCAACAGTGTTTGTTGATTTGAATCATCTCTTTTTTTGGGCTGAATTACCATTTTATGGTTCTAGAAATTGCACCCCCAGAACCATCGCAGGCAGCCATTTTCGGTGATGTGAACGATAGCAGCCTGACGTCGGTGACGGTGAAGGTGGAGGATGCGGATGGCAAAGTCATGCTCTCCAAAGAGGTCCTGCGGACTGCCTGGGATGCGGTTTTTGCCGCGCTTGGATATACCATGTTTGGGTTCAATGTTAACTTGGGAATTTAGGGGTCGTAATTGAAATAAAATTGCAATCTCTTTCGCTAAACCAAATACACGGATATTTTGTTTTGCGCCAGCAAAGGGACCCTTCAAAGATGGGATGGTTGAATAACAATCTTGTGAGTCCATTTGTATCAGCCATTGCTCGGTACCAGCCAATCTCGCATGCTTTGTTCTGTTGGATAATCCTGGGGATTAAACTCCCGTGCTGCTTGGTGTTGACATCCCATTCTGTAATTTTGGCACAACTCACGACCTAGATACTCTCTGTGCTGCTGGTAAACCTCAATTGTGCCCGTTTAGTTCGCCACCTTTTTTCTGGTGAACAGCCCATGATTTCCGGATGCCAAGCTGCCCACGGGGATAGCTTGCGAGTTCGTGCGATGGTCGATCCATGGGGGATCTTCAAAGAGGATACATGCAATATGAGGAGCAGTGCTGCTAATATGGACTTCAACGATATATATATATATTATATAACTATTATATAATTACATATACATATAATCATACATATACATATACATAATCATATATATATACACTGTATCTGATCTCTTCAGTTTTTCACGCTGAAGCATGCGACATATATGTATATATATATACATACATACATACATACATATGGCCACAGATACTTCAGACAGCACAAGCATACATGAATGTATACATACTGCTATGTATTATATGATATATAGTATTATATATATAATAATTATATAACATACATCATGTTGTAAAGAAAGTGTAGCAAGAGCAAGACCATGGAGCTCGTTTCGAGGCATCAGTGCATGGCGGTCACTGGAAAGTTCTGCTTCCTCCACAGAAAGCAGGCGTCCCCTGCGGAACCACTGGGACCTGGGGCTGCGGTGTTGAATGGCCGTGTAGATAGGACAATCATCGAACTAAATGGCAATTTATGGCTGGTTGGTGGTTTGGAACATTTTTTATTTTTCCATATATTGGGAATAATGATCCCCAATGACTAATATTTTTCAAGATGGTTAGAACCACCAACCAGATGGCAATTTATGGGAAAATCCATAGGAACATCCCTGCTGGAGGTTTCACTGAATCATCGATTTTCCAGCTCGCCGCGATGACGTTTGATGACTGGAGGGTAAATATGAACCTTCAAACCTCACAACGGGCCACGCTGTCAAAATCTTCGGAGAGAACTGAGAGGTTGATCCGTTCCCAAAGCCAGCAATTGTTACCCTCTGGTTATTTAACAGTTTGCCATGGAAGCCATGACCCATTTATAGATGGTTTACCTAGCTATAAAATGGGTGGATTTTCTATGGCTATGTTAGTTTACCAGAGGGTAATCATAATTTTCCCTTGCCAAAATTTTGGGGCCGTTTATCATTTTTGGACAGCCAAATATCATGGTGCCGAAATGATGTGAACATTACCATGAAGGATAGTACATCCGCGTAATTCTTCGATTTACACCAGTTTACCAGTTTACCCCCAAATTTGGGGGTTTCCTAATAGATGATTTTTCCATGAAATAAACCAACCATTTGGGGGTTCCCCATTCTTTGTCCTTGGTCCCACAGAAGAAATCCCTGGGCGCTTCACCGTGGTGGTAAACAGCTGCCATTTCTTTCCGCCTCCAAGGGTGACCAAACATCAGCAAAACTTATGTTGGGATTTTAGTGAAGGTTTCCTGAAATAGGGGTACCCCCTTGCATCATCCATTTTAGTGGGTTTTTTCCTTTATGGTCAACATCCAATGCTCACTTGGGGTACCCCCATGAGTGTGGAAACCTCCAAGTAGCTCCACGTTCTCCTTGCGTTCTCCAGGTGGTGACTGGTCCATCAGTGCTACAGCAGGAAAGAACTCCATCGCTGGGCCACCCAGTTGGATGTCGTATGTAGTCCGCATTCCTTTGCGGTTATGATTGATAACCTATGTATATATAATGTATCCTATATACTATATGTTATAATATATATATATACATTATAAATATATCCAAATATAGATATAACTTTTACAACTGGTGATATCCTTTGGCCTGAAGTGGCCGCCAAAGATATGCTTGTGAAGCCCAAAAAAACTGGCAATTCCAGTCGAGTTGGTGAACATGACAACCAAGACATACCAAGACTCTTCCGGCATTTTTTTGAGATGTGAACTACTGGGGCACTGGCTTTCGACCAAAGACCGCAAATGGTGAGGGCATCCGCAAAATGGACAATATATGAGTATTGGATCAGGAAAATGAGTCCCAAAACTCATGCCTATCCCGGCCTTTCCTTACTCAAAGAACTCAAAGGCATAAGATTATGAGAGTTGGATCATTTTTGGATCCTGTGTGACCGTCAACGATAGGTCTTGAAACACGTGACCTTTGGAGATGTTTGGCAACTTGGCACTGCGCCCAGGGTCACGATACGGTACCGGTGTGAACATGGGGGTTCAACCCATCAACAGATAGGGATTTCGGATGGTAGGGGATTTCATAGGATGAAAGATATGCATTAATATACCATAATTAATTTATTTTCTGTGTCTGAAAATGGGGTATACTGTACCCCCCAACAGCAACTTGAATGATAAACATAATTAGAAATCACAATCACTGAATTCCGGGGTACCCTGTTGACAGACAAGCCTATATTATGAAGTATGTAAAACACAGGTTTGTCTGACAAACTTTGATTTTTCCCAGATACGATGAATATGGCCATTCATGGCCTGAATCAGGCTTGGGACTTGTTTGATATCCAGAATGCTCTGATGGTTTATGAAGACTAAAAAAATGATAGTCATTCCAGAATGAATATGAAACATATTGAAACATGATAGCTCAATACAGTTTATATTCATTCATTTCATGTTTCATTCAATGCCATGGATTGCCTCGGTAGGGATGCCATGGCGCCATGGAAACCGCCAATAACCAAGAATTTTAAGAGTTTTGCCAATGGCTTTGGGGGACAACTCATTTTAGATACCCGGTATCCAAGCACAATCCAGGTATTGCTCTGGACAGAGCAACATGGCTCTACAGCTGCACTACACCATGTCGCGCAACATCAGTTTTAATGCCATCAAGGCCGGAAAGTCTCATGGTCGCAATGGTTTTCGTCGGACAAGAAACCAATGGATCCCTGGTTCAGGTTCAAATAGGTATCCTGATCTGGAAGAAGCCACAACAATTATCTTATTTGGTTGGTGGAAGAAGAAAAGATGTTCAACCGCGGGGGGATATCCACCAGTGACAGTTGAACATCATACGATGTGCAGGACGCAGTCGGCAAGTGTGTAATATCCATACGAAGCAAGCCAGTTGCATGACTGGAATATCACCATTGAGATATGGGTATAGGTCAAAATTGGGTATCTCAATAATAAGATGGTTAATACAAGATGATACTAAACAGATACATTCCAATCTGTGAACCCATATGGCTTAAATTTTGACCAGTTTTGACACATCCCCATATTTTGTATGAATCCGGTATGAACCACTTAGATCCAGTCAGTAACTGGGTCCATCACATCCAGACAATTATCACATGTCTGAATTTGGTATTGAGTCTCTGGAAGGATCCTTCGAGTTGTCGAAGACGTGTGTAGACCCTTAAGTTTCAGTAAAGCGACCCAAGAGAAGATCGAAAAAAATAGGGAAGAATTGTAACTTACTTTTCGATGTTTTGGGGCAAAAATTAAGGGTGTTATTTGCTGGTAGGAAAAAACCATGGAATTCAATCGATCCCCTGGGGGAGACTCTCAGTGCAGAATTTTCCAGTAGTTTGTGGATATGTGCAATAGTTTAAACACACACAGTGACATGTATACTAATAATTATCATCATATATCATAAGTATCTACATTTTTGGCTAAAAACTCTGTATGTACCTTTTTTCAGGTTGATCCCTGTGTATCCTGTCAATATGTGGCTTAACTCACAGCAAATATTGTGACAAAACCACATCCAGTCGGGAGCTCCCGAGGTACAGCAATATTCGCATCCACGGTTTGTACAGCAACATGAGCCTCGTCGGCAATCGTGGCAAGCGGCGGATACCTGGGGCCATGGTTTGTTCGTTGGCTTAACCAGAGATTAGCCTCTGGTTATGTCAAAATAGCGAAAATGGCCCAGTCGAAATAGTTGATTTACCCATGAAAAATGGTGGTTTTCCAGTTCGTTATGTGAGTTTATCAGAGATTACATTGATGAATATTTGATTAATATTGATCACATACTGATGCTTGGCGACTGAAAACCCCTACTGCTGTTCTGCATTGATGGGTATCCCAGGCTGGGATGAAGGTCGCATGTTGTTTCTCTGCCAATTCGGTCCACTTCCAGCCTTGTGTTATCAGCGAAAAACAGAGAAAGAAGGAACTACATAAAAGGAACTTAAACAAATATGTAAATACTTTTTTCAAGACTTCTTAATCAAATCAGGGATGGAAACGTTGAAATAATGCTGAAACGTCAAAGTGGTGCAGCTTTCGCGCACTTGAGGAATCCGGCACAGCCCTGGCAGAAGGTTTCAGATGCCATTCAGAGCCCCGAAAGCTGTGACACTGGATCGTGTGCTTTCTTCAAGCCCATCTGCTGCATCAGTGGGCTGATTTGATGCTGGAGATATCTCAATGATAGTTGGTTATACTAGGTTACATTAGGTTATATTATCCCCATCATATTCTTCGCATAGTTGGTGTAGTACAAAATTATGGTTGGTCCAACCAAAATGGATCAAGATGGATCTTTTTTGCAAGTCTTGACCAACGAAGATGAGGCCGTATCCACTCATCATGTGGCCAATCAGACAATGCCATTCGTGAACTGTTCCCAGTTTTTGGTACCATTGTTCAATACGTTTCCAAATCATCACTTCAGCTCCGAATTTCGTGAGATCATCAATCTTGTTGGCTTCCCCATTTGGGGAAAAGAATCTCAACTTCTCAAGCTAGGTTTTCTTCCACCTGCTGGTACTTTGCGGAAAGTCTGTCGGACCGGCTGCACCACAACACGCCCATTGGATTGATTCACACGGCGTGGGGCGGCAGAGCCTCGCCTTGAGATGTGTCAGGAATTCAGGAGATGTCAGGAGTTCCGTATGGGTCCTAAATGGTGGTCATCAAACATGAAGGTATTGGGAAACTGCTAGGTGAATTCCTCAATTGGAAAAGGAATACTTCATGCCCGGAATAGCTGACTCATCTTTATCAAAGGTTATTAATAATTATTATTATAGTTATAGCCATGTGTAGTTGGTCGGCTTCAATTCAAGGATGCTTCGATCCAAATCTGTTGAGTTATGGGGGATCACCGATCTTATGTACCATAGGGGTCCCCCAAAAAAGTGCCAAACAGTGTTTCCAGGATGCTGAAAAGGATGCATTCCCCATAATTTCCAGGCTTCGAACTTTTCTATGACTGCGGGTTGCTAGATGTATAGAATATGTATATTATATATAATATATAAAACGTATAAAATATAAACATAAATGTAATATATATATATACACATAGTATAGTATATATATATATACATATTACAATAGATGATATGGATGGTATAATATATATGGAGGTTTTCAATCCATGGGGGTACCCCATGAATGGAAGTGGCTCCCCATGACTTGGCGATGAGTTACTTATGCTTTAAAACATCCGGTTTTTCTGAAATGCATTGACCGATGTTTTTCCTTAAATGATGAATTTAATGATGATTTGTTTGTAGATGGGTGCAAACGGTAGCACGTAGAAGTAGGATAGCCCCAACAATCATCCAGAGATCTTCGCCAGTTGTTGTGGCATCTTGTTCTGTTCCCTGCAGAACAGAAGAGATCATAGCCCAGAATTCCTAGTGGCTTGAAATATTCTTACAGCAACCCCCAAAAAGACAGAACAGTTAAATCCTACTAAGCTGAGATAAATTACCTTCTATTTTTCGGGGGGATTACTCTGTATAATATGTATGTACATATTATCATATTGTAAACATGTATCTACTATTACGCATTCTCAAATCGTTTAGTCATGATGTTTCATATGTGATCATCCCTATCTACATGACTTTGTGAGGCATGATCGAAGCCTGGTTGGACAACAAAACCATCTCGACGTGCAAGAATGTTCCTGGATGGGTTGATCAGTCGTCGGTTCAAGTCGTGCAGAGTTGATTGGGATGTGGAACCCCCTGGAAATCACGTTGTGTTTTTTTTTGTGTTTTTTCTCCGAGAAATTCGATGGGAACCAACCAATAAAATATTATGTTTCTTAGCGGTTTTTTCCCACAAATTTTGGGTCAGTCACGTTGTGATTTTTAAGTCTTGGACTGGTAAACTCACACCAGTCTCGTGTTTTCACCGCTATTTTCTGATTCTTTGACTGAGTTTGTGATAGTCAGAGAGCAGCCATGAATTTAAGAAAGAGTCACCAATGCCACAACTGCGAGAATGGGGCAATAACATGCAATAACTAGAGCATCAAACAATCTGGGTCCATGATAGCGACCTTACAAGGCCATGTACGACATCGATGATGGCTAGTACATGTTATATAGTATGGGGAACTCACAAGAATCACATTCTGTCAGGTGGGTGATGGTTGGTGAATTCCCAATTCAGCCAGAACAATCATTGGGCTTTCAGCCGTCACTTCCTGAAGATTTCTGTGCCACTTCAGCGACCGTTTTCGCAGGCATATCATTTGGATGTGTAGTCCCCTTCCCTTTCTTGCACATAAGCACATTGGAAGCGCATCCCACTCATAGAAAGTGGTTCATAGATGTTAAGAGTTGAAGGGGTCTGAAACTGCGAAACCACCAGCACCGTGCAGGCAAGCATCGGTGCAGGGAACCAGAAGTATCACGATGAGCCACTGGACCGCGGGCGTGTGTGATAACTCACTTGACAGTTAATACTCTGCGTGGTGACGTGGTGGTTTCAGAATGTTTCAGAATGTTTCAGAATGTTTCAGAATGTTTCAGATATGTTATGATGATATTTGTGACTTTATGCTGCTGGGTTTTTTCGATCCCACTTGACTGCTTTCTTTGGGGTTGAAACATGTTTTTTCACCAAGCAGCAATGAGTCCATGCTTAGCCAACTATAGCCATGGATATATCATATATCTATGATTGTTTGCAGTACTGACTAGCGCATAGATATCCATTTTCACACTGACATTGATAAGTGTTTTATATTACTCAGTAGCTGGTGAATTTTATGTGACAGAACATGGCTTTTTTCAGGCCTACCAATGATAGTGAAGTCTGTGCAAGAAATCAGGTCCAGGATTCATCGTTTCCTTCTGGGTGGGCTTCCCCTGATCCCCACAGACGGATGATTTCTGGAAGAGGTTTCTGATGGTTTCTGCTTGACCAGTGATGCCTCAAACAAATATCAAAGAACCAAGGGGTACAGCCGGTACAGCACCAAGTTTTGACCCACAAGATTGATCCCAAATTGTTCAGTGTTAGTATCTACTTACCCCAAAAGATCCCATGGGAGTAACTTCGAGCCATAGCCAAGTAACCCTGACTGTGTTGCTGGGGGACAAAACTCAGACCTGACAGCAATATAGGTAGTTTCAAGCATGTGTCAAACATGGCATCATTTTTTGCCCGAACATGGGGTAACAGATCCTAACAGCAAATGGTTTTTGGAATGGCCTAAACCACCAGTTGACACATTGAAACACAATGCCGCGAATAGCAACTGGTACCCGTGGTGATCCGCTCCCCCGATTCATTTTTGGTTGCCCCATACACATTGAAATTGGTCATATCCCAGATGGGAACATTTGAGGAATCTCCTATATTACAGGCTAAACTCCGGTTGCAGATCCTAACCAGCTACAATTCTTGGGATCCGTGAAGTTTGGCACCTGAGGCGCGTGTTACCCTATGTCAACATGACGCTCAAGGGCTGGATTTGGTATCAGGGTGAAAACGACATGCACGGCTCCTCGCACTGCGTATTGGTTTGTGGACCTGGATCTTGAAGAATGACACAGAGGTTTATGGATGAAATTAATCATTTGGGGTTGTTTTTTCCCCAAAGTTCTTGAAAGTCAGTGAAATCTTGCATCGTTTTACATCCCAATCCATATCATATAACACCATATAGACACCATATAGATTGATATAAAATCATATCATTTACCCTCTGGTAATTTGAGCTATGAACAAATCACCATGTTTCATAGGTACATCAAAAAATGAACAATTTTTCCATCCATTTTCCATAGCAAACTGTTAGCTGGTTGGTGGTTTGGAACATGAATTTTATTTTTCCATTCAGTTGAGAATGTCATGATCCCAACTGACGAATTCCATCATTTTTTCAGAGGGGTAGGTCAACCACCAACCAGGTTAGTCTTTTCCATCGGGTACAGGGTATGGGGTTACCATAGGCAGCCACGGCAACAGTGCCTTGGGCTATGGCTACGGCTGCATGGCGCAGAAGTTGGTCTCCTCCTGGCGCCAGATGTGGAGCCTGGAAGCCGCCACATGGCGGTCCGTTCCACGGTTGGGGACCCTCGAAACCACGAGAAAAAGATGGAAAATCAGCAGTTTTCATGGGTAAGAATGGGTAAATCAACTATAAATATAGAAGCTATATATGGTATTTTTTCATTCTGGGTAAATCTTTTCCATAGCAAACTGTAACAGGTTACCAGAGGTTTTTATGGATTTTTGGCTCCATAAAATCCAGGATTTTTCCTGTGAATCAGCTGATTATAATATTATAGAAAGTGACGGTTTTTATGAATGATGAATGGTCAATAATTCTAATGAATGGTTAATACATGATTAATACCATTAATTAATGAATGATGAATGGTTAATACATGATTTTACCTAATTATGATTGTTAATGAATGGTTGATGAATGGTTGATGGATGGTTGATACATTGTGAACATTTTAATGAATGGTTAATAATTCTTAATAGTGCTGTACGAATGCCCAACTTTTCCCTCCTGTTCTGGTTGAACGAGCATCCTTTCCCTGTGATAAAATGGCTCACTTGGGGAGCTCAAGATGCTCACTATTGTTTACCTAGAAACATACTACCACTAATCAACATAATATCAAACCATGCAGCCATGATCACCTTTTCTTGTGAGCATCATCAGTGATTGTTTTTACACTTCAATGAGAATCAAATGGTGTGAACATAGAAAGCGCGAACAGTGCGTTAAAAAGCAGTGATTTTGGCGTGAGAGTGAGTGAAAAACCCTTGATTTTGGGGTTAACTTGGAATCCGTCAAAACGCACGATTTCTTCATGCAACTGGCAGCCCATCCGCTTATAGCTGTCTAGCATCACACCCCTTTACGGTAATGTGGTTGAAGAGTCCCCTGCGTATAGAAGTGGAACATGAGGTCAATGGCAGGTTTCTTGCTGATCATCTACGGAACTATGAAGTAATTTGGGTTAAAGTCAAGATGGCACTTTACAGTAACGCCGGCACTTTGTTCGAAAGTACTCGTTTCCCAGGTATTATGGAAGTTCAGGGATATCTATCAATTTCTTGCCAAAATACATGGTTCATAAATTGTTATGCATGTATATATATATATATACTAATATCTATATATATATATAATCATGGTTATCCAATGGCCTAGTTCCTATGGGGAATCAGCCCAACTGGCCCATGCTAACCAGGATTGTAATAGTAAGCCCCCTTTTTTTTCGGGGGGTAGAACATTTCGTGCTTTTTATATTGATGTGTCACTATTTTTGGGGTAACCCATGCAATTCCTAGTCAGGGTTTATTGTATGGCGCTGACAACATTGGTCACGAATGATGGTAGGATTTGGGGTAACTATCCCCGCCGAGAGTTTCAGTTGGGGTCGGGCAGGGTCCGCTGACTGAAGAGAGTGGCGGAAAGTTTCAGGTGGGTGAATTGTGATGAATTATGACATAACATATATATATATATATGTATATTGTCAGTATATATATATATATGTATATATTGAGTCTATCCTAATACGTGTAACAGTAAAAAAAAGGATTTCCACACAAGGACCCCCCAAAAAGTGCACAAAGCAAATGGTTATTTTGGGGAACTGGTAATCAGGGATTTGAGTGACATGGTGTGTATTCTTCACCTGCCCGACCTTCTTGCTCTCTCTGCAGCTTTTCATTCAATTTACAAATGGCAATTTGCAATTGAACATTTTTGACCGTCAAATGTCCATCAGATGCGTTGCCCGTGCTAGCGACATTTTTCAAATTGGCAAGTTGGTTCCTTCCTTGCATGGGCCATGGTCCCTGGACTGTTGTGCAATAGGCTTGGGCCTGTTGTGCCTTGAGACTGTTTGCAATTTACACATGATGGCTGTTCATTGCTTCATAGCTTGTGTGGCCATTATTTGTATTGTAGCTGTCGCCTGTCTGATTCTCAGTTGTCCGTTCCATATTCTGGAATTTTGCATGTTCAATGCCATTTGGTTCCCCTTCAGCCACCCCATTCATTGGCAACCGCCTGCCAGGCCACACATGCTGTGACTACTAGCTGCCCTTGTGCCAATGGCCATTTCAGGTACCAGGCACCAAACCTGAAGGTACTGCAGGTATAAGTGCATATTTTGGAGACATATCCCCTTACATGCCCCTTACATATCATCATAGGCCTCATATATATGGTATGTACCTTCAATCTGGGCTCCTGAAATGGCCACTGATTGGGGAGAAGTTATTGGACCTGCAAACGGTTGCAGCACAATACATTTTGTGAGCTTTGCCATGTTTGCAGGTGTTTGCAGCCCATTTCACGTGAAGTTCAATTGCAGTTAGGGCCGGCACAGTTGATGTCCAACAGAAGAGCACTTGGCGTTTGACATACCACTCCACACGCTTTTCTTGCATCACTGTTGAACTGACTTCACACCCTGTTCATTAACACGCGCGAACTTCCAACTTGCAAATTCTCAATTTGGCGTATGGTGCATTCCATTACCGTGGATCTTTAAGGATTTTTTCAAGCAGCTGCCCAGGAACCTAGCCATTTGTATTTCGTGCATGTGCACACTGAGTGTCATTTGGTATTGGGCCAGCATTTTCCATCTTGCAGTTTGATTGTGTTGGTGCATGACTCATTGAAGTGTTTGCTTGGCTTTCCAAGGCGAAGTTTTGCAGTGGCCTTTGGGTACAATGTCAGGCAGAATGCCCGTTAAAATGTCAGTAAGCAGCCAAATAACATGTGAAGTAGGATGTCAAAACTTTTACCAGATAAGAAGTCAGAAAAACGGCCAAAGGAAAAATTCCACATGGAGTGCCATAATTTTAATACATATGTATGAAATTACATCTATTTATGCATGCCAGGCTTAAGGTTATATACAACAAAGAGAATGTCAGAATATATGTCAAGTGAAAGAATATTTGCCAAATACTCCTTCAAACAATGCGCCACAAAGTAGACAGATTACTTGTCAGGTGGAAAGTCAAAATTTGTGCCAGAGTACATGCCAGATACAATGCCAGATAACATTCCACTAGAATGTCAGTTGTTGGAGGTCACTCGAAGAAAGTAACTCAGAAGTTTACATTCACTGCGATTTTGCGATTTCAACTGTTTGTGTCTTAAGGCTTAGGGTGGGGCTGCTAGGCAAAGATGCCGTGTGCAAATTCATTGGCTGAACAGATGCCGATCAATCCCTTTAGGTGCAGAACTGGCATGGGCTCTCCAGGATCGGTTCCAGTCAAAAGAATGTTGTGCATTCACAATGTTTCCAAGCTGCGCATGCAAGTGTTGTGGTTGAATTTCCGGTGGTGGGCGCAAGAACTGGGGCCAAAAGACTGCTGAACCAATGTCTTGGGAGAAAAAATTGCATGTCACATGTGCATCAAGTTTTTTTGAAGGATTGTGAGAGTTTTGACCATGGGATGACACGTGGTTTCTATCATTCTTGCTTTGGCAGGTCGCGAGCAATTAGGCAGAGCTACACCAGAAACAGCAAAAAATGGCACTTTGCAGGGAGGATTGTGGTTAAATTTGGCTGTTTCCCTCGTGCTCCTTTGTGTGCTCAGTTTTGTGCTCAGTGTTACAGCCGAATAGGCTAGAGCCAAGTCGGCTAGAGCCAATATATATATATATATATATACTTGTCCAGTTTGGTCGATGGCTTGCATCTAACCAGGTGCCTTGATGACTAGCTACAAGTAGTGTATACTCAATATGGGAATGGGTGATATGGGAATGGGTGGAATGAGTATAATTCCATAGGAAAATATATATGGGAATAACTGATATTACGTATTCTTATCACCTGGAGAATCTGGAGCTGGTGAAAAACAAACCTCTAATCTGAAAAAGATGATGTTTTCGCATAAATTCCAGGTGTTCAACCCCCATTTTTACTGCATTTCTTCAACGTTGAACGACTGCTGGATTTCTGGCCGAGGAGACCACGGATCCCTTGGCACCCTTTGGATTTGACACCTGGCTGGGTCACTGCAGCCTCCTTAATCATGGATGGATGGATCCTTTCTAAGACATAATCAGTTTTTAATTATGTACGAATTATGATATATTATGGTGTACCAACTAGTCTTATATCCGACATAGTTGGCGTCCTTATTCTTAGTTATATTAGTTGGTATACTAAGATCATATCCCATATCAGTGAATCATATACTGTATGTGTTATGATATATCAGTTATTCTAAGATATTAGTTGGTAGGTATATGCCATATTATGATATTAATTGAACACTGTTTGTTACACATGTTCAGCCTTAAGCCTAAAGCCCGGTCAAATAACGAAGAGATATCCATTGATAGTAACGGATGTTTAATGGTTAAGCCCATTTAAGCCCTGTGAATATCTACTTGGTACATCCTTAGATTGGAAAAAAGGTTCTGTTTCTAAAAAAAGCTTTTTGAAAACGGGTTGGAAATTCTTAATTGATGATATCTATTTATATTAATTCTTAATTGATGGATCCTATTGTGGTATGAATGCCACATTATCACGGGAGATTTGCAAAGTAGTAACGCATTTCCTCTACATTCCATGGTACATGTATATAATTTATTTAAATGCAATGAATTATGTGTCGACCTCCATTTGTAATCGTGTATATTCAATGGTTGAGCCCGTGTGAATATGCTTCATATGTATTGTTAACTAATTATTATGTTAAATGGTATACATTAATAGTTTTTTGGCGGGACATCAGCAAAATATATCTCCTGTATATATATATATATATGTATCATGATACATTAATTAAGTATACTTTAGTTGCTGACCATTTTCTACTACTGGTTGATAAAGTATTAAATATACCAATGGTTCAATAGCTGATATATATATATAAAGCCAATGGTTCATTATTTGTGAACCATTATTTTACTTAAATTGATCGTTAAATAACTATACTGCTATACTGTTTAATGATTAAATGGTTAACTCATCAACTATATTCCTAGATAACGGATAATAGAGTTCATTAAAGATGCAGTATACCAACTACTACTTATTATAATTACTATATATATATATTACAAATTAATAAATACTATATAACTCATCAATTACTTATAATGATAATAGAAGGTAGTTCATTCATTGGACGAATATCAAAGAATTTCACCCGCCCAGGTGACCTTAGCCCCCAGTGGAGGCGAAGGCGGCCGCAGCATGGGTGCCATGCGATGGGCGCAGAGCGCCAACTATGGCGTGGCGCCCAACCCGGCCATGCCGCGCACGTGGCCGGGCGAAAATGCGGGGCCTTACGATATGGAAATTAATTGGAACATGTGGGAAAACATGGGAATATCATGGGAAAAATCATGGCAAAAACATGGGAAAACATGGGAATATCGTGGGAAAAATCATGGCAAAAACATGGGAAAACATGGGAATATCATGGGAAAAATCATGGCAAAAACATGGGAAAACATGGGAATATCATGGGAAAAATCATGGCAAAAACATGGGAAAAATGGGAAATAACCCCATCATCATCCAGTCAGACCATAGTAACAACTATGGTTTGGGGTTTAAGATATGGATGCCATGGCAGTCACTGATGTTGGGGGTGAGAACTGATTGTTGGAAAAAAATGGTGGTGGCTCAAAGAGGATGCCCGAAAGAAAATGTATGAGCAAACATTGCCAATTGCGGTTGCAGAATTGTGGGTAATATAAAGTAAATATTTGGGTCAACTGATGTTAACTTTGCCATCAATGAGGATACACAACAGCTGAAACCAAAATGTTGCAGAGTATACGATTCACCATGATGTGGGTTTCAAATGGTTTGACCTGTGATTCAAGAGGGTTCAACCATCAATGAACCAATTCTTCACTTTTGGACTCCATTTGATCGTCGTGGACTATACTACTTAATTTCAGTTGTTTTCCCAGGACATGTTTCAAATAACAATCAAAAGATGTTCCGAAATTTGAATCTGATTCCCATACCCTTTCCGTTGAATCCATAGGTCAACATGCCATTTGTTGTTTCCAGGTTTATGGCCCAAGCCTTTGTGCCTTGACGTGACGTGCGAAGCGGTGATGATTGATCGTTGAAAACATGGCTTTAGAAGCGAGGATGTAAGGCACATCTGAGAAAAAAATCGGAATATGGGTGGAATACTATAGTTTATTGGCATTATCTAAGTCTATTGACTTAGGATCTACGTCTACCCCAATAGGTGGATTGATGCGATGGTCGATGGGGTTATTTGTTGAAACCACAGATCAGCAAGGTCAGCAATCATCAGATGCTGAAAACCTCATTGTTGTCAGCTTGACATGGGGTTGGTCGTTCTGGACCATGTGAATCCCCTTGAAAACCTTGCAGTGTTTTGTAAAATGACAGCAAAGGTCCCCGGTATGGACCAACAAGATGAGACGTTTTTTGGGATCTAGATGTGAAACGGTCTAAAAGATTGATTCACACCTAAGGATAATCATTTTTTTGGGTAGTATATGGGAACCCGGTTTAAATGACGCGCATCCAAATCGTTTTGGTATGAAGTGTATCATGATTTTGAGCAAAGATGCAACATTCATGGTGTCCCCAGTGTGCCAGTGTTGACTTCATACCATTTGAAAACTGCAAGCGCACTTAGGTATGATGTTATGACAATGTTATGGTTGTTGATTAGGGTTTGAACTTTAATTTGATAGACAATATACAACCATCGGAATCATAGAACTTCCTACAAGCTATCAGTACCAGTATTTTTGTTGCTGGACTTTCAGACAGATTCTCACCTAAGACTCTTAGTCCGAAACTGGGTTTGTGCCCCGTCTTATACAACGTGGGGCGCTACATAGGAAAGTTTGCTTAAAAGTTGGTTTACTTTGGTTTATGGCATAGTATATATTTAATATATATATATTATGTGGTATCTATTCATAGATGGGTGGAGGAATCATACCAACTTGGGCACCATACCAACACAACTTGGCCCCGCGGCCTGTCCGCTGGGCACTTTTTGCCCAGGACTTGGATGACCCATTTAGCAACATCACCTGCTATCGGACACTTGGCACCATATGTAGCGAAGTGCAACGAAGTGCCATCCGGGTAGAGATCATGAGATCGAAGTGTGATATCTGATGATATATTAATGGTATATGAATGATGGTAGATGATGATATATGATGATGCTCAACTGAAAGACTCACAGATTACTGTATGAGTACTGTATAAATGACTCATTTCTGTTGGTTCATAAACCAGCCAAAACCAGCCAAGCCAATTTCTGCCCCCTTCATAAGCTGAAGAATACCTACATGGATACCTCAGCTGCTCAATTCCTAACTTGATTTCTATGGGTTTAAGCATCCAACCCAAATGAGCCGTGCCCAATTTACCCTCTGTCATCCCCAAACCAACTGATAGGTTGAGGCAAGCCTCCCAGTCTTGGAATACTTCATAATCCCGCTTCAACCACTCCCTGCAAAGGAAGGAAGTCCTGACAGAAAATTTATGCATGGACCATGGCTCCAAGATCATGGGAACATTTCTAGATTTTTGAATGCCAATCAGTATATATCCCTACTTCCAGTGGTAAAATCAAAATTGTTGCTGATGGAATCCCTCGTAGCCCCATAAATTGTCCGTCAGGAAGGGCTGCTGTGGTGCAGCCAAGGAGGGCTGCGAGAGTTGCTTGGGACCAAATGGCTACTGTGCCAATCTCAGTGCTCCTTGGCCAGGCCGTTGTGGTGGCTGCGTTCTGCGTAACCGACACCCGTGTTGGTTGATGAGGACTGATGGTATTCCATGGAGATTTAACCATGGTTTAGCCATGGTTGATACAGAATTGATCAACGATGACGATGATTAAATGGGATGTGGGATTATACTACCACACTACTAGTACCCAATATTTTGGATTATCATTATACTACTCATGATCCGCTACAGGAATCCCGTTCTTTTGGGATAACATTTCTCAAAGTATGTCAGGTCCAACTGTTCAACGTCAAATTTACGGATAATTGGCAACAAACATGGGGAATGGTCAGGTATCTCAACCATCTCAACCAACAAAACGTTTGAAAAAAGGGAATGGAGGGAGCAACATCCAGCTCACGTTTGCAGCGATGAAATTACGTGAAAATATTTTGGTCACCCTGGTCGACATGGGATTTCTTTGCCTTTGAATTTCCCCCAAAGTCGCAACATTTTGGACTTGGACACTTGACACATTGCCATGCCACATATAGATTCTATATAGATACATATAGCTAAAATATACCAACATTAGCCATAATTAAGTATGCTTCGTAATGACAACCTTGACCTTGGGTGATTTAGATGTACAAACATGAGTTTGCAGTTTACGGTTTACCATGTGTTTCCTGCAAAAATGAAGCAACAAAAGCTGAACACCCATTTGTAAACTTTGTCTACTGGGAAAATTTACAACAACAACCTACCCCCTGGTAAACTAACATAACTATGGAAAATCACCATTTTTCATGGGTAAATCCAATATTTCTATGGCCATTTTCAATAGCTATGTCAGCCATTAGCAGAGGGTTTTTGTTTGGTCAGAAAATCCTTGGTGAGTTTCCCAGCAAGAGCCACCCAGTTTTTGCCGCCCCAGGCGACCAACTTCTACATGGGACCCATTCACCCACGCGACAAGAAGCCCGTGGGTGCCCTGGACTCACTGGATGGGTTCCCAAGACTCATCGCCATGAAAAAATCTGATGAGTTTTATATAGATATAGATATAGATAGATATACTATAGATAGATATAGTATTATAGATAGATATGGATAGATATAGTATAATATAGTATCTTAGTTTTAGATGGTAGATACAGATAGATATAGTATATTCATGTATATTCCTTTTCTTTATTCAGGAGCTATGTGGGCCAGGTTTCTGTAGAGTACAGGCGGACATGATCATATACGTATATACCCTCTAGGCGCCCTACAGAGTATAGCTCTTGAACCAGGGTAATATATTACCCATAAATGCTTTATAGTATTATAGTACACGATGTTCCCCCCCAGTGATGTTTGTTGGTGGAACCCCATCGACATCCATGAACCATAGTTATACCCCATGAATACTATAGTTATCTAATGTTATCTAGTTCGTTATATCTACCATAAACCATAGAATTCAGCCACAAACATAAACCAACTGAACGCGAGCTCGACTGGGGGCTCCATCCTGCAAGATCCTATCAACTAACGAAGTTCCATATTCTATCATCCCACAAAGTGGCCCCCCAATTGTAAGTTGGGTGAGCTTCACTCATCCGACCATATCCATCACAATTCCACCAGTTGTTGGAGTTATAAACCAATATTTTAAGCCATTGTTTGCGATGAATTTGGTGAAGTATTGACATATCAAATATCATGAAACACAGCAACATGAAAAATCTAATGTTACCATAGTAGCATATAACTGTGGATGGTTTGAGATTCCTATGAAACACGCTATACAATGGGATTATCATGGTGGACCTTCAGGCGATCGCTTGGCCATGGCCGCTGTGAGCGTTGCATATGGAAAAGGAACGGCCTTTACGGGGCCGACCCTTTCTGGTGTCCTGGCGGTGTCGTGGGCTGGAACATGGTGAAACCTTGGTTTCACTTTTTGTCGTTTATCGATGAAACCTTGGCAACGCGTGGATCTGAAGTTTGTTTTTCAATGTCAAAGTCTGATGATCCTGAATTGAAAACCATATTTTTAGGATATGTTTCCACGCTCTTCGGTAGAGGGAAGCAGGGGCTTTGCCCATGTAGCTGAAAGGAACTAAAGTCTACGTTGAAATGTTGTAGATGATTGTTAGGCCCATCTAATATTTCGTTTGGTGAATGTGTTGGTATTCAAATGTATTTCAGGTAATGACGTAAATCTATATCTCAGTATGTATCAATCATTATGCGTACACATGCTAGCATACATACAATATTTGTGTTTGTACGTAGAAATTAACAATATCACCAGGATGGATGTTTGAGCGTATACATTGCCAAATTGCTGTCGCTAAAGCGAACACATATGCTGCTATTATATTCTCATGATATCACCATGATGGCTATTCGCTTGACAAGGAGGGATGATGTTGAGGGATTATAATAAATTATAATTATAGTCATATGCCAAGAAACCCTGGCATGGAATTAAGCCTGTTGATTTTGGGGTCCTGAAATTTGAGGGAGTGACGGGAGTGTATGGGACATTTGTGGGAAATTCAGCCATCATCGCTACCATCTTTGGGATTCCCTTTTTTAGCTTCAGTGTTTCATTTGGAGTGTAGGTATTCGGCGGATATTACCCAAGAAATCACATCCATTGTTTTTTCTTGTTTCATAGCCCAAGCCGCACTGCCTTCCCAAGGATGTCATGTTGCGAATGGAAAAATCATTGTGGAGTTCAACAGGCCTGGCGAGTATTCTTGAGCCATGGGAACCATGCCATGCCAATGCTCCCACAATTGTGAAGATTTATCTTGGTGTATCCTGATCATGCAACTCGCACATCAATACGAATCATAATTACCAGAACTCAAATTTCTTCAGTACTTTCGGTGGAATCTCCATATGTATATATAATTATCAATATATATATAGTTCTATATAGTTCTATACATTTCTATATAATTCTATATAAAGTTTGGTTGGTCAAGCTCACCTCTTTCACCGTCATCCCATGGTGGAAGCCCGGCAGGTCGCTACTGGGCTCGGACCACTTGTTGGTCAACGACTACAAGCGACTCGCCGATGGCCATGGCTTGGATGCGATTTGGTGGACACCACCAAGCAGGGAGCTTTTAACCAATATTTGTGTATAGCCATATATGCGTATAATTATATATATATAGATGTATGTGATGTATATATATATACATATATTTATATATATAATACATATGTATTATATATATATTATATATATATAAATGTATTTTACACACACACACATATATATATATATAGCGATATCAGCAAATTCTTAGGTGGTGTTGAAAACAGTCTTTTTCATGGGCTTCCCGGGAAAATTTTGACCCTACCATGAGTTCAGGGATGCGATTCGGGATTCCCATGGTAGGTCTGGTGATCCCAGTCTTGTTTGGAGGGTCACCTGGGTCACCTTTAGAAAATCATGTGGGAAACGGACGAGTAAACCGCCACTTAAAACCTCCACTTTACTCCGTTACATCATGGTTTGATGAGTCACTGGGAGTCCAAAAATGAGTGCAAAACTGAGCGCAGCAAGCTGAGACAATCGCTCATGACACGTCAGATTTGTCAGCCTTTAATGGATGACCAGTGATTTGTGGGCGAGAACTTGCCGAGGGCTTTAGCCTCCAGCCGCTTGGAAATTTTGACCAACAAGTCCCTCTTCTGTCTGCAGACCAGCGGCCGAGAGGAGCAGGGTGGGCTGGGTGGCCGAGGATGTTTGGATGTTTTTGGATGGCATCTACAAGAGGTTGGAGCTTGAAGAATGTTTAATTAGGTTTAATCCACTTAAATTTGGGCATAGTCATGCAGCCATGCATACTCGATAAGTGGTGGGTCATGTGATTGGTGACTTTGTTTTCTACAGCCTTAGCGGTGAGCAGAGACTCCCAAGAGACGGACAATAGATGGGTATGGATCAGAACGACGCCGTTCATGTTTGTGCTATAGGAACTACAGGTTGGTTTTTTTTGACCTACAATCACTTGGTGTTTTCTCAAGCGACTTGATTTTGGTTGCCAAGCTATCTGACACGGGGATGGATTTAAGTTAGCTATGTTTCATACCACATTGCTAGGGGGGGTTAGTCCCTTCTCCCTAATATTAAACACCCCCTTAGAAACCATGGTTTAGCAGGGAATTTCCACATCATTGGGATCATTTATGATGTTTTTACTCTTAGGGTTATGGGATTATTCATGTCCATAAATTTCATCCCAGCTATTTTGATATGTTCGCCGGGTCCACGGGGCCCAGGACACGGAATGCATAGATGATGGAAGTGGACGTCCTGCTGGTCATGGAGCCTTTGAGGAGCGGAAAATCCAGGGGAAAAACCATGGGAACACCGTGGGAAAACTTCGAAAATCATCGGAAGACCATCGGATGTGGGTGACTGGAGGTGATCACTAAGTGGCTTGCGAAATCAGCAGGTTGGTAATTGGTCTCTAAGTTGATTCCTATGAAACACGAAAAAAATCATGGGATTATAACGGGATAAACCATTTAATACCATTTATATATTACCATTTACCAACTGGTGGAGGATTTCGCAACCATCCACAGTTGAACAATGGCTCGCACGAGACCAGGGAGTTGGGTTGTGGTCAACGCAGCCACAAAGACCGGGTCTGGTAAAGCTGCAAAAAATATGGGTCAGAAAACTATCTTGTCTCATATATATATATATATGATTCATATGTAATATCTGTGCGTCAAAGAAATGCTGTATGTACCTACGCTAAAATACCTAGATATGTCTGGATCAACAAGAATCAGCAGGACGAGAAGACCTGGGTGTCGGTGGATGTGCAGCAGGCGCGTGCGCCACCAAAAAAAATCTAGCTATGGATTTAACATATATGTTGAACTTCAGAACTGCTTCCTTTGGGATGTTGTTTGACATTGACGTTGTATGTTGTCAACTGCATGAACAGTGTGAATCTTTTTCAGATGGCATACTTTGCAATGGCTAGAAAGGGAGAAGTATCGAGGCGTGCCTTGTGAGTTCTCAAAACGAGGGATGCCGATGATGCCGATGCCGGATACCCCAAAGCTGATCCGAGATGGGATCTTGGGGTTCCGAGTGCGCGACCTTTTCCTGTCGCGGATCAATGATCTTTCATGTGGTTCAATTGCAATTGCTTGATTGTAGACACTACATATGATTATATATACATACATGGAGTTGTTTTGATACATATAGTTCCTTATAGAAGTTTTGAGATTTGAGACCATAGCCTCCATCTACTTGGGCATTTCTTGGGTTTCGGACAATCCAACAGATCTGCCCAACAGAACAAGCGATTAACGACGGAACTATCCCAAAATGACCTTATATTGTTTTAGCTTGGTGAATTATTATAGGTTATCCAGGTTTATTGTTTTCTGTTTGATTTGAAATGGGTATGGGTCGCGCTAGTTTGCAATCCGACTTACGCATGATAAGCCCTGAACATGATAAGCACGTGCTGGTTGCAGTTTGGTATATTTTGCACTGACCCCAAATGTGACCCGTTGGTGTGGGTAGATATATGATGATATATGATGTAGATACGCAATGGCACCACGAAGAAATGGCATATTAGATTCAAGTTGCATGCATCAAAGCACTTTTTTTTTTTCCGCAGGCGTCTCCCACGTCTTTGTCAGTGGACTTGTCCAAGACACAAGGTGCGCTACTGACGTAGACTCCACTGAGTAAACTCATGACATTTTTTGGGGTACCCTCTGGTAAACTAACAGTTTGCTATTGAAAATGGCCATAGAAATAGTGGATTTACCCATTAAAAATAGTGATTTTCCATAGCAAACTGTAAACGTTTACCAGAGGGTAGCTATGACAGCTATGCGGAGCTATCCACAGGATCAGCCAGGTCATGATTTCTCGGTTACACACTTTGTAGGCTATGGAGTCATAGCCGCTAATCGCTGTATAAAATATATATATATATATACCCATAGGATCCATGTATGGTATATATGCTAACATTTGGGGTATATTGATGGTAAATGTTACCATATATGGCATACATGGATCCTATGGGATAAATATATAACACCAGTGGTAACACCAGTTGAAACCAGTTGACTATAAACCAGTTGAACGGAACTAATGAAACCAGTTGACTATAGTTATGCTGTATAATTAATGGAACTAATGAAACCAGTTGACTTGCAACCTCTTGATAAAGACAGTATTGATACGTGTTGATCAAGCTTGAAACGTCAGTTGATGCACCCGCACCTGTCCAAAAGGCAATTTTGGGAAAGTGGGATGGAATGGAGTTTCACATTTCGAGACCCTACATGCATATAGATATAAGCACAATATAGGTACATACATTTACATTACATTGCATTAATATGCATTAATTACATTGCATTACATTTTCATGCCATGCCATACAATACATTTCATATATATATACCTAACATGAGTACCTCGCCAAGTTGACCATTCTCTTGTTTTTGCCCAGACGAGGGTTTGGGGCCCGGGCAAATTCCCGGCGTTTTTGACCCAGGAGTTGCGTTTGGGATTCGTTACGCTTGGACGGGCGATTGCTGCGACAAGAGGCGGAGTGCTGCGCCCTGCAGTAGGGAAAATCCCTGCTGTGGGGTAGCCCAAAACAGCAAGATACATCAAGAATCAAGAATAATTACCCCAATTCTTAAATTCTTATCAATTCTTTCCAAGTCTTGGATGAAATACATGGAACTTTGATGAACTTTGCCTATCTTTGCCTCCATCCCAGGCCAGCCACTGGTGCTGCGTGCCCCATCGCCTCTTGCCCTTTGATGGGACAGCAGTCCCAGCTTCCGGCCAACCCCTTCATCGCGCGCATTGAGTGCCTAGGATGCCTTGGAAATCGAGGTTTTTGCGAGCCTGAGTCACCATGGAAATCCATCAAATCCATCAACATGGAAGAAAATGGAAGAAACACCAAGCCGCGCCAATTTATGGCAACAAATGTGGGGAACAATGAATGATAATGAATGAACATGATGTTCGAACCGGATTTTGGAGTTTCAAATTTTGAAACGACCTGAGATATTCCCAGGAGTTTTGGCTAAATGGCTTGATTGATTTGGTGCAAATCAACGGCCACTCACCCTTTGCTTTTTTTTTTCGATTTGTTTTTTCCGCCTTAATCACCGTGTTTCTGGATTAAACACATTAAGCATGATTAAACTATATCGACCTTACTGTGATGTCAATGGAATGATGATTGATAGGGGTAACTAGAGTGAGTTATTCTTACCATTTCTCCAGCCAATGTTTGGGTGCAAGCAGTCCTCATCAGCTCCAATTCGTGGCAGGAACGGACGTTGCCAGTGTGTGGCACCGCAGAGATGTGATGAGAGCCTCTCGAGTGATCAGATCACCGCAATCGTTGTGTAGCCGCTTGGTGATGGGTGGTCATACTGGTAGTTGGTTGTAAGATGCTTGGTGGGTTTAAGCTTTAAGCACCTTTCCGAAATCCACTCATCTATACTCATATTATATATAGTTTTGTTAGGTCATGTTGATAAAGATGGTGATTGTTTTTGCGATTGCTGAATCGCTGGGATAGTAGACATTTGGGATGAAGAGGAACACCAAGTGCTCTCGCAATTTTGCTCCCACGGACCCCCGTGTTTCTTTGACAAAACAGTTCACTTGCGAAATACGGGGGCAATCCAGCGCTTGACACAAGCTCCACATGTAGTCTTGTCAAATTTGTCAAGCAACCTGTCGCAAGTAGTTAAAGTATGTTGGGGATTGTTAGCGTATTTTTTCAGTTTGAAAAATGTATTTGATAGATGCGTTGACTAGAAGTTATCTTGGTTGCATAGTAGGATTTATAGATTTAAGGTCCTGATCGTTCTTCTGAAAGATCGATGCTGAAGTTGGAGACATGGCTTAGTAATGAACCTGTTCCATTTTTGGTGGCCCGTTTAAGGGGTTGTTTATATTTTTTCAAACGAGGGCACGGGATTACAGTCATTTCTATTTGGTGACTACTGGTATATTTCCATTTTGATTGGTCAAACCGAGTCAAACCCTTGCAAGATTGAGGTTCCTCAACGGATGGTTTCAATAGAGACCCGCCTTGCAACTCCGCGCGGAGCTGTGCAATTGGTACGCTTCGTCGGTCCGCGATTTTCATTTGCGGAGCTGGTCGCAAAAGAGCTGCGGTGCTCCGGAGTAAGATGTGGGGTACAGTAAAGCCCAGTAATGCACCCAATGATTTGCCAATATGATCATATGATTGATAGTTCCCAACAAAATTGCAGACATTGGATAGTTTTTCCTTTACTGCTTAATTGTCCAACGATTTGCCAATATGATCAAGCTTAGCTATGTTTAAACAGTAGGTGGATCCACAAAGTTTCCCCCCAAATCCTCCCAGTCATCATACAGGTATTGATAGATACATTATACCTGGAGCTCATGGGTTCGGTACAACCTGGAAATGTAGGATGTACATTAGTATACATATGGAGCATAGTTGATATAATTTACCTACCATAAAAATTGATACATGAGGATCTCAACATCATATGGATGAGTCAGAAGCCATGATATGTCAATACATTTCATTAGGGGAATGAACATCCAGAACTTCCCCCGCAAAATGCTGTTGATCATCATGGTTTTGAACCATCGCCATGAAAATTTCTCATTTCTAGGTTATTGTTATGTAGTTATTCAGGACATTTCCCATTGCCAGGCTAGGTTTCATGAGGGTATGTCCTTTTATCCACCCTGTTTGGCCGGAATCCCATCATGTCTGGATTTGAAGTACTCGTACAGTTGGATTTGGTCCAGACATGATGAGATTTAGGTTAGATGGCCCCAAAGGGTTTGGAATTGGAATTCACTTATGTATATATAACATATATATATAACATATGTATATATATATATATAACATATGTATATATATAACATATATATATATATAAAACATATACATATATATATATATATAAAACATATATATATATAACATATATATATATATGTAAAGAACATATATATATACATATTCCTTGTGATTTCTGTTGCCATCACTATGTTTGATGTCATCATTCTTGCTGTCGGCATCTTTGTTATGGCCCTGTTCCGGACCAAACGGCCCACGGGGATCTGGGGATCCGAAAACTCAGGAAACCCCCATAAGTTGAATATCTCATTCACCATCAATACTTATTATCAATGGATTGGTTTAAGGGAAAATTTTAACCGGAAAGCCCCATGATCTTAGTGGGAAAATCGATGGTTTCCGGTTAAGATTTTCCCCAACAAACCAATCCATTGATATTATAACAAGTTAATAATGCCACTATTAATAGGTACAATGGTTATAATAGGTACAATGGTTAACAATCCGTTAATTGGTATAATGGGTCATAACCATATTATAACCATTAATAGTGCCACTATAACAAAAATGACATAACATGACTCACCATTGTAGCTACGATGATTAATGGTTGATGGATTTGATATAGATTCACAGAAAACATGATTCGTATATCAAGTATTCTAATGATTAAACATATAAGAATCTATTACACTACTAATTATTAATGTCTAAACAATATGACAGTTGTGAGTAATGTTATGTTTATAATTTATAACTCTTATATATTCATTAAACATTCAACATACCCTTTGGTCATTTCACGTAGCCATGGAAAATCCATCAATCCATCATAAATGGAGGTTTCTAGCAGGGAAAGTCATCAATGGGCCATGGCTTCCATAGCTATGTTTAAAAAGAAACAGAGGGTAATCCCATTATTAATCATTATTAATCATTATTAATCATTATTAACCGTTATTCACCATAAATTAGACCATTACTCACCACAACATCTCACAACTGTCATCATCGCATCGGCCAGGTCCATGAGGATCCAGGAGACGGTGGACACGGCGGGAAAATGAACATCTGGAAATGGGAATTTCTCAGCTTGGGTGGAAAATAATAAACCATGTTTATCGATTTTTCATCATTGAGTGGGATTTGTATATATATATATGATATATATATATGTATATATTATATCATGTATGTATATTGATGTATATTGTATATTATTTACCTTAAATGACTAGATAATGCTAGATATACGCCTGGTTGGTGGCGTCATGTTCATTCTTTTCATCCTTCAAAATGGGAAGGACCGACCCGATGTTGTGACAATTAACGGATGGTCTGCCAAACGTTAGCCGTCGTAAACCCAACGACAAATGGTGTGGTCAGGTTTTCAAAAATACGGTATATATCCGGTACCTTTACGCTCCAGTTACTATGTCCAATGTGTTTTGCCAACCCAAATGTAGGCAAATGATGATGAATATGATATGTAATGATATGTAGGTAAAGCCAAAGTCACAAGCCATAATACCAAAAGGCCTACCATGTGCGGGCAGCTAGTCTATAACATTACAAAAAAGGAGGATCCAACTCTCATTTCTTGAACACAGACCAAACCCACCTCTTTTCTTGGTTTTGGCCGTTATGGATGATTGGAGTAGATTCACCAGTAGAAACATGGCCTTGTTGATGAAAATGTCATGGCTTTAGGCCCTACTTGTTTTCGAGGGCAAAGTCCTGAATTCTTGTTGTTTGATTTTGTGTTCTGTTGTTGATACCCTCCGGTAAACGTGGCAATGGGAAATCCTCATTTATAGATGATATTCCTAGCTGGAAACGTCCATTTATAGTGGATTTCATTGACTTTCCATAGTTTCCCATATGCGTCCCAAGAATGAATTTTTCGTTCGTGGATTCCCCAGCAGCATCTGAAGCGAGGCTTCCACCGAGAACTCCATGGAGGCGAAGGTGGAATGTGGATACTATCTGGACCTCATGGTTAGTAAGGGGAATTATCCCAATAGCCTTATTTGAAGTTAGTGAAATATTATGATTTGCCCAAATATATGAGCCAGGAAAAGACCGCTGTTGATTGGCTAATAAAATGAATATAAATGAATTATACTAACTGATTCATTAGGGGTTATTATAAGCAATAATAGGAAGATGTACTAACCAACCAGTATAATGGGATGGGATGGGGATATTTTTCATGGCTTATATGGGTCGGAATATTGTATATAAACATATATATATATGGGGATATCCTCATAGTATATATATATGGGGATATATATATACATATGTATGGGGATATATATATATGGATATATATATATATATGTATGGACATATATTTATATATGTATGAATATATATATATGGATATACACACATATATATATACATACGTGGGTGTATATATACATATATGGATATATTGTCCATATCATGATGGGTATTATGATTCCACATTGACATTGTAATTCATATCGACATTCGATTCCCAGTAGAATCCCATTGACACCCATAAAGTCATATGAAAATCCGTGTCACATTTTTGGATGACGATATGATGAAATGGTGATTTTATGGTGATTTTATGGTGATTTTCCAAGGGTTTTTGGTGATTTTATGGTGAATTTATGGAAAGTCTAATGGTGGTTTAATGGTGATCTATTGGGATTTACCCTCTGGTAATGGCTGACATAGCTATTGAACATGATCATTTATAGTTGATTTACCGCACTTAAAGATAGTGATTTTCCATAGCTATGTTAGTTTACCAGAGGGTAATGGCTATTGTCTCATGTGTTTATTGCTCCCATGATGCCCCCATGACATCATCTTGTTACCCAGCGCTTGGACAAGCCCTTGTTCATGCCCGTTGGAACTCATCGAATGTCGCCTTATTGTATATCAGGTGTTCAAATAAATCAGACATGATCCAGATGGTCCCCTCATATCTACTAACTTGGATGTGGAAAACCATGGTTTCCCTGAGAAAATGATCTGCGCATGGTGAGTTTTCCACATCGAACTGTTAGTTTGCAGGAGGCTTTCCCCTAGGAGGGGCGGCCCCGCAGGTGATAGACATCCAGAAAAGGAGAAGTTAAATCATATGTGTGTATATATATATATATATTATATATATATATATATGCATGTTGGGAAATAAATGAAAATAACAGTTGCAACTATATTAATTGATAATGTTATAGTAAGAACTAGAGCATTCAGATCTGTTGGCAAACATATTTACTGAAACATTTATTCGTTTGTTGTGTTTGGAAGGCTACAGGTTAGGTCTTAGCAATGCAGAGCTGAGATGTTCTTTTTGTCGTGCACAACGCATCGCACAAACAAACCCCAAACATGTTTAGTTTCAGACTCTGCTTGATCTCTTGTGTATGCTTACTGCGGACAAGGAGGGCCATTTATGAGTGGGGAATAATGCACACAAAAACCTGATCAATTGCACTATGAGGTCTTACAAGCAATTTCTTTGAGGAATATTATATACATATTACTTCATATAACACTATATAACATCTATATTTACGTACTTACTGTGTAAGACATATAAATGTTAAGTAATGTAATGTAATGTAATGTAATGTATGTATGTGTATATATATATATGTGTGTGTACCGACTATATATGTGTTGGTGGTCGGCAATTTGTAAGGCCTCCCACCACAGGAGAAACGTTCCATGCTTTCACTCTTCGACCTTTTTGAGCGGGTGAGCTCCGGGAGCGTCGGGGGTCCCAAAAGAATGCTGCGATGAATCCGTGATGTTTGCGAAGTCCAAAGGGGCCGAATTTTCAGACCAAAGCAAAATGGGCTTCAGACCAAAGAACAATAGCATGTTGTCATGAAATGCCATGAAATGGCTGATTGAACTAGCAAAACTCAGGATTTAAGATGATTTAATTATCAGCAACTGTGATTCAATCGCCACATTTTGGGATTTTCTGGGGCTGGATTTAGCCATCAAAAATAGCAATACAAACCATGTGGAATTTATCACAAATGCGGACTTCACCAGGTTGACATTGGAGAGACGACAAGGGATATAGCGCAGGAGGGTATCACCAATCTCCACATTGTCTGTGATATTCTATATATTCCATGATATCCCCTATTTTTGCCATGTATTTTCCTGTTGTTGGGGGTTAAATGATTCAATGCGCTTTATCGCTTGATACATCCCTACTTTATCTTGTTCGCCTAATATGACGACGACAACAACAACAACAACAACAACAACATTTTTTAATTCATTTGTACCATGTTGTATCCACATACGGTTCATATCCAGTATCCCCAATATTGACCTCTACTTAGGCCAATAATTAATACTTCAATCCTCTATGTATGAAATAGTAACCAACATGTATCCCAACAATCATCCACATGTAGCTAACTATATGATGTGGAGGATATTGCTTTAGGGATATCTGTCAAATGTTCCCCTCATCCAATTCTATAGCATATATCCACAATCTGAATCCTATTCTGGTCCATGAATTTCCTGCAAAAATTGCAACATATATAAGTTTTCTTTCTCCAAAGTACTCGTGTTATCACCAACCCAGGACAGTACGATATACTAGTAAGTATACAAAGATGTATATCTATCATGTAAGACACTCACATCAATATTTATATACAGTCTATCAGTATATATATATATGTATATATATATGTATATATATATGTATATATATATGTATATATATATATGTATATATATATGTATATATATATATGTATATATATGTATATATATATATATATTATATAATACACCCAAAAAGGTGTTGTTGTTCTCCCTTCAGACATCCCAGACATCGCCCTGGGAGCTCACCGAAGCGTCGCCGTTGGATGTCTTCGTCCATCGTCTTGAGGACGGCACGTTTCTTGGTTGCTCAGGGTTCACCGGGGATGCGGAACAAAGATTTCCCAAGGGTTTTTTATGGTGATTTTATGGTGATTTTATGGTGGTTTAATGGTGATCTATTGGCCCATTTACCCTCTGGTAATGGCTGACATAGCTATTGAACATGATCATTTATAGTTGATTTACCGCACTTAAAGATGGTGACTTTCCATAGCTATGTTGGTTTACCAGAGGGTATGTGAAAATTGGTGATTTTATGGTGGTTTAATGGCGATCTAATGGGATTTACCCTCTGGTAGACTAAGAGTTTGCTATGGAAAATGGCCCGTTTATAGATGGTTTACCTATTAAAGATGGTGATTTTCTGTAGCTATGTTAAATTACCAGAGGGTAACCATCAAAACGGAGAGGTGAATGATTAATATATGAAAATATATGGGAATGCAATGAGGTGCGTAAAAACATAAAACAATGGATAGAACTAATATAACCATAAAGAAATAATACTAGTTGATCATTGAAGAACCGGGATTGGATACAATGAATTCGCGGATTTTGGTGCCGCAGGTCGCGAACGCTAAGTTGGTGCAAAGAACGCCAATAACTGGTTTTTTGTAGATATTAATGTTAGATCTATAAGTCACTTAGACCATGATGGCGGTTAGCAACTGGAATGGGAGCACCACCCTGCAGGGTTTGATCCATGGAGGTGCAGTAGATGATGATGTGAGTATATGTACCATCTGGTAATTTAACATAGCTATGGAAAATCACCATTGTTAATGGGAAAATCCACTATTTCTATGGCCATTTTCAATAGCTATGTTAAATTACCAGAGGGTAATATATCACACATAAAGCATCATGAAGCAACCAAAGAAACACCTTGTTCAAAAACATTTGAAAATTGGGAATGAAAGGTAAGGAAGGAAACGGGCAAGCGTCCCACGGAGCTATCTAGAGCAGTTCTCAGTGGGCTTCCAGAAACCAAGGAGCGGATGTTTGCGCAACCCAAGGACTCTCCATTTTAACTTGGTAATTCTATCATCATGTGAATCTTTTCTGATGCTAGCACTTCAGAATATGAAACGGTATGAAACAGAAGACGGCAGCTCATGGTAGTATCATGCAACATCGGTTTGCCTAGAAATAGAAGACCCCATGATCCATGATTGAAGCCCATCGTTGGCCACTCACCGAGGTGGGGCTTGTTTTGCAGTAGCCATCAACGGCTTTTGGCGTTCATGATGCGACAGGCGATTGGACGAGTTGGGATTCCAACATTTGTTCAAGAGATGTGATGTCGGTGAAACGTACCTTCTGGTAATCAAACGTGGCTGGCTGGAAAATCCCTAATAAATGAAGGTTTTAATTACTATCAATGGGAGATTGTCCGTTGCCACGTCTGATTACTGGAGGGTATTCATTAAGAAACAAAATTGCATAAAGCATTGGCAGTAGCTGCCACATGATTGCAAACCGCGCGAATCATCTGCATTTTCTTCCTGAAAAACCGATCTTGAGCATGCTCGAACATCCAGATGTCCAAACGGATGTTTGTAAACGCACCAGTGGCGGCAAGCATTGCATGATCTTTCCAAGGAATTATAACATCCAATGCCCCCTGGCACACGAGCTGTTTTTATCCAAATTACATACACAAGATAATTTCACCAGATGCTTTATTTTTCATGTAAGACAGAACAACAGCATGAATAGGTGGCTGAATGTTTGCTGCATCACCATATTTTTCAGCTAAAAGCAGCTAAATGTCGAATTTCTGCATTATTTGCATTGACACCAGTTTCAAACTGAGAAATGCCAGTGTCACTGTAGACATTTGTCAGCTTTAGCTATATACTAAATGTCAATTTGGTGTTTCCTTTTTAGCTTTTCCAACCTGACAGCAGTTTGTTTCGACCCCATTGACGTGATGTGAGGCCTGCAACCGGAACGAGCTCATGCGCGTCCGATGCGTGCTCCGGTCCAAGGTTGGGGGGATCCGGGAAACACATGGCGTCCATATTGGACCCAGAACATGAGATAGAACTGGTATAAAAAGAGGTATATCAGTGATAGTTATCATATTAGTATAGACTGTATAGATTAATATCCAATTGATCATAGATCTGATGATATCTGAATAGTACATACGATAACTAATCAATAATTCAATCATGCTGATTATTTGGATAGAATTGGATATAAGATTTATCAATGATAGTTATAATACTCATGAGAAATCTTACTGTAAAACTGTAAAGGGATAGCTAATCATCATGATATGTGCCATGGTCCAACCTTAGATGATATAGCCATATCGGGGATGCTCCATCCATTGGTAGGGATGACCATAAAAACACCCATGGTTCCTGGGTCCCAAAATGAAATGGATGACCATAACCAGTATCAAGATATACCATGTTGTGACCATGACACTAATCTAATTCACTTGATGAGTATCGACCCTGAACATTTTTATATCTTTGCTTCGCATGGGATTGAAACTAAATGACGTGGGTTGATATGGAATCATGATGAATCATGGAACTGATGCCTTGCTAAAACAATCACCAAGCAATGCTAAAACAACATTTAAATCACCGGTGTCACCGGCGGGAATCAAGATCATCCAGGTCATTGTCGAGCTGGGCCTATCAAGAGAAATGGCTGCAGCCAACATCTTCTGAAACAGAGATATGTATGATTATGTGAATAGAATTTATAGATTTTATAGCGACCTCCTCGTCTGATCGGGATCCTCATTCCCAGAATCTTTCCATACGGAATAGGGGTTTCGAACATGGGAGCAGGTCCCTATAAATTCCACTAGTTATGGAATGGGTGTGTCCAAACATGGTGGGTCCCTTGACGTGAACTTTGTGGTGTGTAAGAGGCTGTAGACGGGTCAGGGTTGATGGGGAAAGGGATGGGATAGCTGGTGCATGGACGTCCATCTACATGGTATCTATAGATATTGATCCATAGCAAAATGCGTTTCTCATTGATTTCGTCAAGATTCCCTTTTGATGTTTGTTTCAGTTAAATTCTTCATTTTGTTTGCCATCAATGGGAGCATATACTAGCCAAAAGTCGTTGAAACAAATGTATTTTGCAATGCAACTGGGCGGATTTGGAATAAGCGATCCTTGATGATCCTTGAAGCTGCGGGCGAACTTGATGTTTTCCGTTTGGAAATTCCTTGCGGTTGGACAACCATCCATTTTTTTCATCATGTTGAATATCTGTCCCTGTGTCTTGACGGATCACAGCTAGAGTTTGAAGGAATCCACAGACATCTCAGGTGTGTGGTCTCATGTGTATATATAATTATATATATATATACATATGTAATATATATATACGCATACTTATATAATTATATATATACTGATATATGTACTATATATCATTAATATCATACATCAAATGTAGATAAGTTCCATCCTGGGATGATGATCGACAACGCTCACAGGAAGACCTGGGCTACTGGTCTTGGCACGGGTCCTGGGATGAGTTTTCCTATGGGAAAGTCATGGGAGAAGCCATGGAAAACAATGGGAAACCAATAGAAAACATGGACAAACAGAGCTTGGTTGATCTTGGTTGTACATGTTTCAAGTATGCACTATGCACTATATCATAGAATTGGATGATGGGAACATTTACAGGAAAGCCCTATATTTGATAGTAAAAACCATATGGTTTCCGGTTAAGATTTTCCCTTAAACCAATCCATTGACGATAGCTGCGTCCTCGAAAAGTCGAACAATTGGATCGTCCCAGTGCCATCACGAGGCGCGATTCCCCAGCCAAAAGGTGGTGCCCCCGTTCGTTTTCGCGTTCAGTTGGTTTTTACATAACTCCAATAACTCCAATAACTATGGTTTATGCTAGATATATCTATATCTACTAGAGATTATAAACCAACTTTGAACTGGGAGTTAGCATATACTGAGGATATAAAGAACTCGTTTTCATGGGCTTTATAAACCAATAAACATTTCACGTTTGGGGGGGCACCACATTAGATTTGCCACCGTGCTTCAGATGCATCCCCAATGACTCCACTATCAATGGTGGTATTTCTTGGAAAAATGAACTACTTTTTTATAGAGGTACCACTGGTACCACCATCAATAAATGGTGTAATCCATAAAAAAAATCAACACTTTACTACACAAAAAAAATGGTTTTTCAATGGTATAAATGGTGCTGTGATTGGAAATCCACACAGGAGATTTCCCAGGACTATCCCAAGTGGCACTGGGTGAACAGGTGGCAAAAAGCCACAGCCAAGGCACTGGAATTGCTTCTACGCCCGGGCGCCTGTGTGGTTTTTTTGATGGAAGTTAAGCTATAAGATGTGGGGATAATCATCAATATAACTGGAAATGTACTATAATTTAAGTTAAGCTATATTGATGTGGGGATATTTCCAGATAATATCAATTATAAGTTAAGCTATAATTTCTGGATATCACCAAATATCAATGGTAGATATTCATCGTGTAAGTTACAGAAAAAAAACAATTTCACGGGGAACAATACAATAAAATATCATCGTTTATGATGTTTGGGATGGTTTGATAATGATTGTTGATCATGGGTAATAGGGTATTGAAGAAAGAACATGGTAATTTAGAACCAACTATAATGCGAATATGATCTCACATATATATATATACATATATATATATATACGTATATATATATATACATATATATATATATTATATATATATATACGTATATGTATATAATCATCACTCTATGTTTTTTAGGACTGTTTGAAATGGGGGATACCCCAGAATTACACTTTTAGTCTAATGACAGTGCAATGACATGAAAAGCCAGTGAAACTTGGGTAACATGGGTACAACACATTTGGGTACCGTCCGTGACGTATAAAACCATCCATGAGTATCCATAAGTTGGGATCCGTGTTGGGGATCCAAGTTATTTTGACCGATCTTTGCGACCTTGTTTTTGTCAGTGCTTTTCATTTGTCCCCATGCCCTTCTCATCTTGTAGCTGTGTAGCATACGTAGCTCTCATTTTGGACCCGTCTCTCGATTTCTTCATCAAGACTTAGAAAAAGACTTCAAATGGCCATGCCACAAACAGAAACAAACAACTATAAAAATAACAACATATAAGACTTGCTGATGATTTGGGCCATAAACTTCATTGCTATTCTCTTTTTCAACGGCACCTGGAAGGCTGGAAGGTGACTGCTTTCCCCATGTGGCGGTTTCAGATATGATATACCCCTGAAGCTGAGCGAACCTCGGTCATTGAGAAAGGAGATATCCTGCTGCGCAAAGATTAATAACTGTTCTGCTGAGCTAAGATTGACCGTGATGAGTTTATATTATATTTGAGTGTCTTCAAAGCTGACTCCGGTTATGTTGTGCCTCACTGGTTACATGTTGGTTCATTTCGAATCATACGACAACACTTTCTGTTGATATGGACCATTGGGGGTCCAGGGATCCGCAAAAAAACAAGGATTGCTTTTCTTGTCCAGATCTTTCACATACCTAGGCTCTCGCAATACCCATAAAAATGGTGATTTTACCCCATATATATATACAGTAATGATTTACATCAAAATAAACCCATAAAAATGCTTATTTTATTCATAAACTAAGAATATTTTTAAAGGGAAAGTTATCATCTAAACTGTCAGATTTAAGAATACTCTATCTTATTCATATTTTAGTAAGATATTGTAAGTGTGTTGACCATCACCATTTTTTTTTTTCTGGGAGGCTCCATGGCTCTGAAAAAACCTCAGGATGGCTCCGATGGGCGCACCATGAGCCCAAAGGCCTGGTGATATGTGTAATACTGTTACTATTTTTTTAGTAAAAATACTACTGATATGTACAATAATGTACAATAATGATAATAGCAATGTGATGCTTTCTAATGTGCAAACATGTGGAATAATGATACTGATATGTACTGATCATACGCCCAAGCACCCCGATTCGGCCGCCACAGCATCTTCCCCAACTTTGCAAATGGACCAATCAACCATTGTCTTGGATTTGGGGTCAAGGTATTAAGTATTTATTGGTCTTGCAGAAGTTGATTTTGGTTTTAGGCGTTTGTGGCTTTAAGATTGTTAGCTTTTAGGGCTTTAGGGTTTTAACACCATCTGTAATGATAACACATGTTACCTGGTAACAGCTAACATGTTAATTAGTGATGATACTAGCAATTCAATATACTACTATGTTCATTGGGTCCATTATCCGTAGTTTATATGTAGTGCTGCAACAAACACTAATAACAACTATTATCCAGTATGTGAGTATTGTCAAGCATTGTTTTATTCTTAAGGGCAATGGTAATACTTCAGAATTATCCATTGTTACTCGTAGTTTATGTTACAGCAATTACCTAAATAGCAATCACAGTATCACAGTATATAATCATTGATTTTATAACTTATTATTACTATTCTCCCAAATATAACTATGGACTGATCCCTGTGACTATGATGGACTGATCACTGTGATTATGACTAATACATTTAACATATACACACTCTTCTGATTGTTACTATTATAAATCCAGTTGTAGCATTTCTGTGCATTTCTCATTAACACGCCAAGTATCATTATCCCAGTTGTAAGAAGTAATCTAAGTATTATTATCTGTTATTGGTAAAGTAACTATTATATATAATAGCAGCGATAGTCACATAACAGTTATATAAACATTTTAAATTGATAATAAGGGTTTGAACAGTTTCACAAAAAACTATAACTATTATCAATTGGTATCACTGTTTGTCTTTTATGTTTCATAACAGTTGAGGGGTAGCTATAGCTGTTCAAGGGCTCCTGCCGGCCTACCGGCAGGTCACGTCTCCGCAGTCCAGTCCATCTAGGCGCGGAGATGGGGCGGGGCAATGTGATCTATTTACATACCTCGTAGATATTGGTTTATACATGTCTTACTGTATATGTATAATAGTGTTTTTACAAATGGGACGGTTATGTCCAACGACAACTAGGTATTTCTCAGGAAGTGATTAGGATGAAATGGGGTCCCATTAACAAGTTGTAGGGCTCGAACAAAAATTATACTTACACATCACTACATGAAGACGCAACAACATACAACCACCCTTTTGGATAGATTTTTCCTGATTTGGTGGGGATGAAACCAAACATCCCTTGGAGATCAAATTAGTGGATGTTAATTTTATGTAGAGATGTACCAAGCTATATGATGTGGCTTTGTGCAGAAGTAAAGTAGGGGATTTTGTTGTTGTTTTTATCAGGAAGATTATGATCAACCATGGAAAATCCCCTACTAAAAAACAATTTTCCAAGTCAATGAGTCAATACTCGACTTACCCTCCGGTAAACTAACATAACTATGGAAAATCACAATTTTTTGTGGGTAATTCAACTATTTCTATGGCAATTTTCAATAGCTATGTTAGTTTACCAAAGGGTATAGGGGGTTTTCCATTGCCACGTTTGATTACCGAGCGAGGGACACAATGGTGACAGGGCACGTACAAGACCGGTAGCATGTACTGTGGTTATTATCAGGAACAGCAATAATTCTAAATCAAGACATGAGACATAATCCATACGCAAGGCAGTTTCCTGAAAATTATAATTAATGAACATGAAGTGATCACATGATATGAATATTCCCTTTTTTCGCCAGGAGAAAGATGGGTTTCTCTTCGAGCAGTCCAAGACTTGCCGCTGGATCCGCGTTTGGGAACATCCTTTTTTTCCCGGAGGTATCCAAATCATTAGTCCATGTTAGTGCTGAAAACTATGATTTTGGGGATCCCCCCCATTTTAAGAAACCGACTAATATAGATTATAGATTCTTTATTAGACACAATAAATGACACCTTCAGACATTGAAATGGAACTAAGATTAGAGTCCCAACGGTATGGATGTTGGGTTGAGCGGTTTTTCGTTCAGGATTATAGCGACAATCCCAACAGAGTGGAGGATCCCAGTCCCCAATCAAACCTCACAAGCCTAGGTTGGTGGAGGCCTCTATAGAAAAACATGGCTGTGTCAGGGCTGCCATTATCATCGTATAGATATGTATAGTATAGATGACATATATAATATAAAACTATGAAAATCAAATGAATTATGTTCCTAGCATGGTCTAGTCTTCATTGTATCCCCAGTAGCGTTTTTTTGATTGCGATGCGTTGCCTCGAGATTTAGGTGTTCTATGGATGGGAATCGAGTCATTTTTTCTTGCTTGGGAATTCCAATATATCCCGTGACGTATATGCATGTGTATTGTGTATATACATATGTGTACACATTGATTTGTACATAGTATCTTGTATGATGGATTCCAATCTTAAACCCAATATACCCAGCATTGTCGATTGTAAACGATGTACTATTAGATAATCATACCCTATATTCAGGATATATGATCCATTTAGGCGTTTATATGCATGTGTATTTGGCCTCAGCAAGCAACGCATATCTTATTCAATTTATGTGGCATGCAACCTGATTTTGATATTACATTCGGGTACAGATCTGATTACTGTCCTGAAAACTCAGGTGGAACCCCAACATTCGGGTCTGGAAGGTCATTTTACTATTCACATTTGGTATGTTTGGGTTCCAGGTTGGTTTTGAGTTCAGGAGTGTCTATCCCATATGCCCCAATTTTGGTTAATTTTCCAAAATTTCGGCAATTTTTCAGGCAAATGTTGGCAAATGTTTCATGCAGCGTATGGAAGGGGCCTGTGAGATCTCTAAGATTATCTCCTCGTATACTAGGTTGGTTCATAATTCACTAGCTTAAGTGATGTAAAAACCAGGCTTTTTTTCATGGATATATCATGATCTATCTCCAGTCGGATGTTCGACATACTCATCATACGACTGGCCATCCGATCTATCTCCAGGCTGGTGGAAGCTTGGGAGCCTTGGGAGTCGCGGATGGGGATTCCTCATATTTTGTACCCTCTGGTAATTTAACATAGCCATGGAAAATGGCCCATTTATAGATGGTTTACCTATTTGTATTTCACTGGTTGGTGCTTTGGAACATGGCTTTTATTTTGCCATAATATTTTGGGAATAATCCTTCCCAACTGACTAATATTTTTCAGAGGGGATGAAACCACCAACCGGTATATGTTGATGAGCGAAAATCTGTGGTTGACCAAGTTATCTCGCTGGATTTCTTTGACCCAAAAATTGGGGGCCTGAAAGTAGTGGAGGATGAAACTCATTGACAGAATCAATCCCAGATGATCCAATTTCGTTTGTTGATGTTTTTTTTGTTTTTACCTCCCAACTCTGTCCAGCTTTTGGCATGGTTTCAGATAGAGATGGTCCCTTTCGGGCATGCAGTCGCAAGAGGAGCCAGTGAGCCAGTGATGCGAACAGTTTATTTCCCACACCGATGCAACAGAATATTATGTTAGTGTAAAACATGTGTCCATATATAATTCATATACTCCACAAGCATAACGGATGCTCAAAGAAAACAAGCCGATAAAACCAGAGCAGAAAATACGGCTAGAGGCCGCCAAAGAAATGGAGTCCGACATGCACCCCCAATTGACATTGAACATGGAGGCACAGGTGTTATTCTTTCCCCAAAAGCAAAAGCTACACTCTTAGACTTTAAGCAAATTGATGGTCGAATCATGACCGTAACTTTGGATATGATTGGGCCGCCTCTCCATTTCCTAAATGCGTATGCGCCACAAAGCGGTACTGAGACCAGATTAAAGAATGATTTCTATGAAACGCTGGAACGTAATTTGGTCAGTTTCCCCAATAGTCATCCAACCTTCATCGTAGGAGACTTCAATGCAAGACTGCATGCCCGTTTTGAGAATGAAGCTTGTTGTATTGGACAGCACATTTTTGGACGTGGCTTGAACTTCTTGATCCACAATTCTAGCCCAGCTTCATTTGAGAACAGAAGCCTATTTGTAGAATTTTGTTTGGCACATGACCTCCACATTGGTAACACATTATTTCAAAAACCTGTGTCAAAGCAGGTGACCTTCAGAGAAGCTGGCGTGCTAGGTGGACCTCCCTGGTCCCCGGATAGATTTGCTCAGATTGATTTTGTTTTGGTTCCTGACAGGTGGAAAAACACTTTGGTTGACGTGTCCTCATCCCCTGAAATCTTCACTGAATCAGATCACTTCATTGTTTGTGCGAAATGCCGCGTCAGAAGGAAGCAGCTTAGTTCTACCGTGGTCAAAAAGATTACATATAGTCCCCCTACTCCACTAGAAAAAGCCAGTTATAACCAGTTCATTTCAGATACACTGCGCCAGGCGAGTGATGCGGAAGCCAAAACCTTCCTTGATTCTATCCGTAAAGCAGCACGTGTAAATTTGAGACCAACACCGCTCGGCAGACGTCGTTCGTATATTTCTGAACATACATGGGACCTGATCTTGCAAAGGCAAAGAGAACATGACAATGGCAATCATGATATCTTATCTGAACTTACTAAGAAGATCAAAAAAGAGGCTAAGAAAGATAAAAAAAGACATATCCTCGAACAGTTGAAAGATACCTTACCATCTAGAGAGCAATGGGCTGGAATAAAAATCATCAAAAAGAAGCGGACACCCAATTTCACCAAAATGAAAGATAAAGATGGAAATAGGGTCGGCCCCCGCGGGCGTGCAGGAGCAGTTGCTGATTATTTACATGCTGTGCAGTGGAAAGCTGACATCCTACCGCCGTCAATTACTAAGAGATCAATCATCCAAAGTGACTTGCCCTATAATCTTGATCAAATAACTATGACAGAACTTGATGCAGCATTACGAAAAGCGAAGAACCACAAAGCTGCCGGCCCTGATGGCATTCAGGCTGAATTATTCAAATATTTGGATGTACAAAACAGAGCAGCTCTCCTTTCCGTATTGAATGGGTGGTGGTCCAAGGAAGCTATCCCATCAGATTTCTTAAATGCCCAAGTTGTTTCTATTTTTAAAAAAGGAGACACTGAAAACATTGCTAATTATAGACCCATCTCTCTGTTGAATGCTATTTATAAGATCTTTGCTGAAATCATTAGACAGAGGCTTTCTGACGTAATTGACCCATACATTTGTAATACCCAATTCGGGTTCAGAAAAAACCGTTCCACCACGGACGCGTTATTCATAGCCAGAAGGTTGCAAGATTTGGGAGAACGATCTGGGGACAATATCGTGATATGTATGTTAGACTGGAAGCAAGCCTTCGACCGGATCTCACACCCGCGGATGATGCAGGCCTTGGAGAGGTTGAACTTACCAAGAAAATTCAGAAATCTTATTGCAAGTTTTTACACGGACCTTTCCTTCCAAGTGAAACATGAAAATTTTCTATCGCATGCTAAATCTCAAGATGCCGGCATACGTCAGGGATGCCCACTCTCCCCATTTCTGTTTATACTCGTCATGACTGTTCTGTTTCACGACATTGGCGTAGAACACTACAGGGACCTTTCAGAATGTAGGCTTGACCAAATCAGTTTTAATGAAGTCCTGTACGCAGATGACACGCTCCTGATTTCCCGAAACACATTTGGCATGAACTTGTTGCTTCATGCCATAGAAGACGAATCAGCTTACTACGGACTAAAACTCAACCACGACAAATGTCACGTTTTGGCAATGAACGGTCACAACTGTATTCGTTTTAAAGATGGATCTCGCATGAAGCACGTGGAAGAAGCCGTTTACTTGGGCGGAATTTTGACCAAACATGTTAACATTGCGTCAGAAGTGTCCAACAGAATTGCATCAGCTATGGCGACTTGGAAGAGTTTGGATATTTTTTGGAAAGAAGCACAATGCAGTACCAGAAACAAAATTCTAATTTATAATGCAGTCATTCAATCAAAACTTCTCTATGCCTTGGAAACAATTGAGATTCCAGTGGCTCTCCTTTCACGATTAGAATCTTTTCAGTTGAAAGGTTTGCGAAAGATTCTAGGCATGACTACGACCTACATCAATCGTGCAAACACAAATGAGGAGGTTTTCAGAAGAGCAAACTTGCACATTGCAGCGAACCATCATGGAACCAAAATTGAACCAATTCAGGACATTTTGGCCCATCGTCGCATCGCACTTGCAGCGAAAGTTTTGAGACAAGACAATGACAGCCCTATGAGAATGGTCAGTTTCAAAAAAGATACCGCCGCACCTGTTGAGGTATTGTTCCGACGGGTCGGCAGACCCAGGAAACAATGGACGCAAAACACCTTGACTATGATATGGCGTAAAATTCGTAATGACCAAAGTGATTTCAACAATTCCAACGCACAACTTGCTCAAATACTGCAAGCAGCTATCAACAAAGAAATCTAGTAACATTTTCCTACCAGGCTGTATCCTGGACATTGTAACTAAGTCGAACTAATCTATAGTTCTACTTCAAGGAGTTCCTGTACTGAGGGGCAACGATGCTGCGGGGAGCCTACGGGTATGGCACCTGCCTTTCTAAGTTAGTTTCACATCCGTTTTTCACAAACCATACCTATGGCACGCAAGAAGAAGATGTGCAGAAGGGCACATGTATGTTTATACTATATTGGTTAATTGTTATGAATATATATATATATAATTATATATACACTAAGTCTATTAGATTGCATATTGTATTTGTTGCATATTCCTGATGATAGTTTAACACTATATCATTAATGCTGTTTTAGTCATTGGAGACAAATACAGTATGCATTACGCATATATCACTCGTTGCATTTAGTACAAGTTATATATAGTCTACAGTCTATCTGTATTACATTATTAATATGACATATTATACATGGACTACACACCATAAATGATTGCTTTGTGTTTCATATATGATATATACAGTACACTTCGATACACTTCGTATCTATCTAATATTATTTACATTACACTATATACAGTGTACACATACATGATTACATACTCGTACTGTTTTACAGATTATGTTTTACCATATTGTAGATACTATACTATTGCATATTTTATATTGTACTAACGTGCTCTAACGTTTATGTAAATTCACATACTATGCATCAAACAGCGATTTTGAATTTTACATAAGTTGTTCATATTGAGATTACTTTTCTTATACCCATCCTATGAAAATATATGTATTGCATTTTAAATTCATGATACATATATTATATATATACATATATATATATACACACCCTGTAAGAATCAAATGTAGCAATGGAACATCCCCCGTTTCACTCCGAAGATTTCCTAGCCCGCCATGTTTGATTATCCATTGTTTTCCGTTATATCCCGTTATGAAACGCGGTCAATCATCTATATAGATAACAGATAATTTGAATAGATCATCTATATAGATATAGATATGTATTTCTATCACTATATAGATAGTAAATAGTTAATCATCTATATTTATATCACTATATAGACGCCATTCTCCAGAGTAGATGATTGTAGATATAGAAACGGGTCATTCTGAAACACAATCAAAAATATCATCCTCAATGTTTGATTACCAGATGGTATATATGGAGAAAGTATGGAACATGGATAATCCTAAGGTCTATGATATATTATCTATCGCATTTTATCTTTATATCCTTCATAAAATATTATTCTATATCTATGGAACATGAACCATTTATGGATGATTCACCTATGTTTACCTATTAAACATGCGGATTTTCCATAGCTATGTATGTTGAATAACCACAGGGTATATAGGTATATCAATGGGAATTCCAGGATCCTAAAATGGGTACTGTACCATATAAAGCCATAGTTTGGAGGTATATCCCCTTGCAAAGCCCTGAGCAATAGGCCTTATACACGATAGGTACCTCCAATAAACCGGTACCTGAAATGGCAATTGAAATGGCTATGTTAAATTGCCATAAGGAAAATATGTACATACTGTAGCCTATGTTTACCTAGAAAGTCGGGCCCCCTAAAGAACTGAATTGATGCCAATAAATCCAATAGCTATGGCAGCTATGGTACGCAAATAACTATAGTCAATCGGGTTTATAAACCAACAAATCTAATTGGGGCCCCACCTTATATATGATATTCGTCATTGTATGGAAATGATTCATTTACTGTAGCTATTTCCCTATGTTTGCCTATGTTTACCTCTTAAATGACCATAGGGTATATACAAATATGTATATATATACACATATATATATATACCGGATGTGCTTAACATAGTCTAATAGCACCAGCACATGGATTGGATTGGCATGACAGGCTTCTACCACAAGCTTTGATTATTATTAATATCATCATTATACACGATATATATATATATATATATACCAACATAAGACCAAATAAGAGATATCATATCTATATACACAACCATTATATGATATATACAACCATTATGTTATATATTATAAATTAATATAAATTATGCATATATTATTTATATCTATATATGTATATATATATATGTATATAACTCTCTCTCCCCAAGCATCGCCATCGCCACCCACCTGGCGACGACTTCAGGTCCCTCAACTCCGACGGGAGTCACACGGAACGTGGGGATCCCCAGCCGTGATGCAACGCCGCGCAGCCCGGGAAAGGCCCGCGCAGCCCAGGTGGATCAATGGCAGTTTTTGTTGATCATGATGCTATAATGCTATAAATGGAAGGATTTATGGAGGAACGAACTTTTATTTTGTATTTTTTATGTTGTTGGATTTCATAGATTACGCCGGAAAGTGAAAGTGAAAGATTTCATAGATGTGAACATTATATAGTATCAATTGCGCCACGTTCAACTTACTGTTGAATGTGGGAATATACACTCAAGGTGAATGGCCGTGGCCCGCTCCACATCCAATGCCTTAGAACATCGTAACTATGTCAATTGACGGCCTTTTTAAAGGCCCTAGATTCTCTACTGATTTTACCATCAAAACTCAAAACAAGTGTTTTTGTTTGTTTTGTTCATTATTTATAGTGGTTAATTATGGTTTAGCATGGTGATACATGACAGTCGAACTATGGTTTATTATCAACCTCATACCAACGTGGCCTAGGTACGCACCTCGCGTACGGGAGACCTAGTGACTGGTGGCCTGAGGATACTCCTGGATGCTCCATCCAACATGATCAAATACCGCTGAGTTTTGGGGTACCCTATTTTCGCACAAACCGATGTAATGTATATATATATATACTGTATATATTATCATAAAGGTATTTGGGTGCGCGTTGAATGTTTCCGACTAATAGAGATCACCCCCGTGACGAAAAATTGCGGTGGTCAGAAGTTGAGATTTCATCTAATCTCAGCATTCCATGCACATCTCAGATGTGATTTTCAATCTCCAAAGCATTCCATGTCGACAGATCGACTGGGGAGATTCATCCAACATTCATCCGACATCCAAAGAACTCTGAGGTCCAAGCCCAGGGGAGATCCAAAGTACTGCAGCCTTAGTCCGCCTGGCGGGTCTTGGAGTGCCGTTTTGTACCAGAAAGGTTTCACCAGGGTGACTGGTTTTGGTGCCTGAAAATGGAGGGAAAGATTTGCCATGTTTTAGCCACCAAGAAAGAAGGGGCTACCGATTTGGAAGGATCAAAGATGAACAAAGGCTTGCACTATTTTCAAACACACCCAAATGGCCAAATGGTGAAACTATGTTGATTCAAGCTGCTTATGGGGAAATCACACCCCTTGCACGGATGTGTTTCTGTTTTGTTTCTTTAAACCAATCCTACATCATTGATTGCTCAGAATCTTCCACACGTTGCTTATATCATTTTATATCCCCTGTACAAAATATTGTGTGTATACTCCCTATATATAAGTATGTATAATTATATATATACCCATAGAATTTCCCTCTACATTATTTTCACTCTAACACATATACTGCTTGGTGGTTTGGAACATGAATTTTATTTTTCCGTATATTGGGAATTTCGTCATCCCAACTGACGAACTCATATTTTTCAGAGGGGTGGCTCAACCACCAACCAGATTATATAATGAGTTTAATCAACCAATAATTTGAGTTATCATTAGTAATAATGGTTGATTAATTGGTTGATACTTATTATTACCACCAACCAGATATAACATACATCTGGGTAAATTTAATCACGACCTCACTGTTCTCCCTCACTATAATCATAGTTAGTAGGGGAAATGATCCCCAAATGGCCGAACTATTCAGGTTAGTGAAATATTTTAATTTACCCTCTGGTTATTTAACATAGCCATGGAAGCCATGGCCCATAGAAATAGATGGTTTACCTATATATTAAAAATGGTGATTTTCCATGGCAAACTGTTAGTCATTACCAGAGGGTAATATGCATATAACATACCCTCTGGTAAACTAACATAGCTATGGAAAATCACTATTTTTAATGGGAAAATCCATTATAAATGGCCATGTTCAGTAGCTATGTTAGTTTACCAGAGGGTAAACAAAGAGAAAAAATCACCTTTGAACTCCCCTTGTCGCCAAGGTGATTTTCAATAGCTATGTTAAATTACCAGAGGGTACATATGAAGTTCCACTCTCATCCGCATCGCCGATGAATTTTTCACCAGGCTGCGGCGACCTCTGCACTGGGTGCACAAGCGTTACTCGGCATGAACAAGCGCCCGAACAAGGTGCACCCTAAATAAATAGATAATTAAATAGATAAATACATGGATAAATAGACAGGAAAATAAGGCCTAATAAAAAAATCAGGTTTACTATGGTTTACTAACCAACAACTAATAAGGGTTTGTTTATTTCTATGAGCGGCTTTCATTGGCTACTCATAGAACTGGGAGAGTTGGTGCGATCCCCATGACCTGTGTTTCTGCACACAAATTTTCCAAGAACTGTGGTTGCACTGATTGGATTTGTGATTCTGATATTGCCAATGATCGGATTTTCGAACTGGTGATATTCGAAAAACGGACATTAAATAAACGTTGGGAATTATCATCAGATTAGCATTGATTGTCAAGGTCTGAACATCCCACCATTGGTGCAAGCTGGTTCAGCCGCGGCTTCTAAACCCAAAAGTCACCCCAGGATTGTCATATGTTTGATGCTGAACCATTGACCTTGAGTGGCCACACTCTTAAACTATGAGTGCGGGAAAATAACCCAGGGTCTATAAACCGATTTGTCATTACATTCCCGATTGGCAAGTTGGCCCTATACCCCATGGACAACCATGACAAAGCCATATCCGTGATTTGTTGGTGAAATCCAATTGGTCCTGGTGAAATAATGTCAAATCATGTTGAACCATCATTTTTTCCTGATCAATTCACCTTTTTTCTGATGGATGGATGGATGGATGGATGGATGGATGGATGGATAGTATATGCCAAACAGTGGCATTTTTTTCAGATCAAATCCCCAATTTTTCCTGGACAAAAGCCCTTCGTCCAAGCATGTCCAAGCGTCCAAAGGTGTGTGAGAAGTCCGAGGGCCTTTGGCCGAGGGGCTAAGATCCATTTTCTGAAAGGGCTCGATATACATATACGTGGAGAATGCTGTTTCCACCCCCAAAAAAATGTTTTTGGGGTTCTCAGGTATAGACAGGTATAGACAGGTATACATATACTATATATATAGAGATTATTTTCCTCGGGAATTATGTGTATATATATATATATATGTGGATATATATATATATATACGACTCTGACTCAGCCGACATGTCATATAGATTCAAATAGGTTATACACTTATGCCAAGAATTATGCGTATTTGAATCTTATCTTGTGTAATATATATATAGTATATTGGGATATATTGCGTGCATTCTGATACACAACAAAAAGTCAGTCTGAGAATGTATTTCGCCATATGGACTCATTACTCTTTGCAGCTGATTCAGCAACAACAAACCAGCCATGGTCATTGCCTGCCAAAGAAGAGGATGGTCGTCCCCTCAACGCGTTTCAATATAGGCAGTATAAGAAACCTCATTCATTCTGATGGGATGGCGTTCCCCCCATACGCGATGAAAGGCGATGACACACCCTGATCATGACACACATGGCGATTGTTTAGATATACCTGTACCAGTCACGCACGAGACAGAAGTAGCAAATGCAACATTTCTTCAATGATTGTCCCATGTTTGATTCCCAGGAGGTAAATGCTCATGTTTGCGGTGAGATCCTTATCTTGTTGGTGAAACAAACAAAAAACAACAACAAAACAGCTTAAACCACCATCGATTCATGGCCGTGAAAATGCTGCTGAGGCCAAGCCAAATCCTCGGCATCTCCCAGCATCCGGAGGTCGCCAAACCATGGGTGTCTGGGTGTTAATTTTTGGGGAAGGGATTCATTAATCAACCATTAATCAACCCATTTTTTGTCAATCTGGATTTAACAAACCATTAATCAACCTGGATTTGCTAAAGATCAAACACAAAAAAAGAACGATATGTTCGGAAAGATATGTTCCCATTTGTCCAACATGTGGGGAAACTAAAAATATTTAATTAGGTTTAGACACTCTTGTTTCTTTAGGGGGGACTCCATAAGAAAATCCAAGTCGAAAATGGATAGTTGATCAACATTGATCTGATTATAATTCGATTAATCCTGAATTTCCTGAATCGAATTCCTGGTGAATGAATATTAGGTCTAGGCTCGACGCTGAGGTATCTATGGTTTGAAGCCACTTCATTTAGCTGGGTGCTGGGTTGGGATTCTAATTCTGGAGGATGATCCCTAGTTCATCAAAATAAGCTTTGCACCCTGGAAGTAGTTGTTGCGATATATACGTCACATAGACATCTTATTTCTAGATCAATCCATATCATCTCCGTAGTTTGGTGATGTTTGGATCAACATTATGACCTTGCGAGCCCGATAGCCCCAGACGGCTGGATGATTGGATTTGTCTATATGGGGTTTCCAGAAATGGAGGTACCCCAAACATGATAGTTTATTTCATGGAAAATCCATCTATAAATAGATGATGACTGGGGGTATATACCCCCATTTATGGAACCCCCCCCCGTATTTATAATAAATGCTACTATGCGTTACAAAAAGGCTTCCAAAGCCATTCATGTGCAAGAATGATCTAGGAACTGATATCAACAGCCATATCAACACTAACAATTCATATGAGATTGACTAACTAAGAAATCAGAATAAACATACCATACAGTAAATATACCATAATATTCATCAAGCCAAAAACAAACACTTACAACATCTTACAACACATCAACTCCCCTAACAGCAACAACTCCTTGGTGCCAGGTCAAAGTCATCGTCCACAACTCCGTCGTCTCCCAGGTTCAGCATGGGAAAAACCTGTTGCTCTGAAAATCCCCTATTAAAAATGGAGTTTCTCATGGGAAATTCATCCATCAATGGCGTTTTTTTGTGGAAAATCAGCTGTAAATGGCGGCAATGCTCAGCCCGAATGGAGAATCACTGAGGTTTCCCCCTGCCTGCGCTTGACACAGGTAGCGTCGCAACCTGAAAAATTTCTCTGGTAAGATTGAGAATCCTGAGTGGTGCAGCAAGAAACATCTCAAGTATTTGTATTTCACTGGTTGGTGGTTTGGAACATGTTTTTATTTTTCCATATATTGGGAATAATTAATCCCAACTGACTTTTTTTCCAGAGGGGTTGAAACCACCAACCAGTTCACATGAAAGATCATTAAATTCTAGGTATAGCGACACAATAACTCAATAACTGGGCCGGATTGGGTGCATTTTCTGCCAGGCAAATTCCGCCGAAATGAGTCGAGTCTCCAGGCCAATTCAGCCAGAGTCGCCTTCTTAAAAGGCCACTGTTTCGCCTATGCCTATGTCGTAATTGTGTCCAGAATTATGTTCCAAAATTATGGGCTCTGGGCAAGAAATGAACCATCATCGTTTATTTTTTTGTTCGCCTGTGACAAAGCCAATATATAAAAAGCATCCTTAAGATGTTCGGATTGTGAAAGAACTGACCCATTTCATCGCATTTCTCTGTTTCGGTTCCATGGAACTCCAAGCAGCTGCCGTTCCAAATTTTAGGCTTTGGAAGATGACCGGATCGAGCCGTGAACTCATGAAATCGATGAATCTGACAAGATTGGTATTCAAGACTAACATACATCATTTTTTTTGGTGGTTTTATATAATCATTTCGGTGTTGGTTATAGTCCAAAAATGTTTTTATTACCACATGATTTGGTAGTCATAACAAACTATCCCAATTTCACAAGAGATGTGCGGCAATAGCAAACCCTCCAGTGTTTGCAGGTTCATGGCATAGGGTGTACCAACCAGTCAAGTCTGGAGCCATTCTGACAAGTCATGTCATGTAAGTAGTTGCTGCTGTAAACCCAGCGACAATTTAGCTTTGACATGGTTTGACCCATGAAAATATGCGGGTTTATTGAACAATTAGTCAAAGAGGATCATCAAAGAGGGTGATATCTATGTCATATATGTTGTGAACTCAATAACTACAAGAGGGGTATGGAGCTATGGAGGGGTGTGATGAGGATACCATGGGGATGCAAACACAAACAAGCAATGGGTTGTAGTAGCCAACAGTCTTTCAGCAGCACTTGCGAAAGATATGGATTTTGATTGATTTTGAATGATTTTGATGCCTCCAAATGGTAAAGTTGGGTAAGTTGGGTATGGTCTATAGGGTTTACCATGGTTTACCACAATGTATGTCAGGTCTTGTTCAGTTCCAAGCAACAGGTGGCCCAACCAGTGATTCGTAGGGTAGACGGGTAACTACAGCTGGTTGGTGGTTTCAAACATTTGTTATTTTCCATAATATATGGGATAATCCTTCCCATTGACTTTCATATTTTTCAGAGGGATTGAAACCAACAACCAGACAGTATTTACCAGTCAAACCACAGCAGTTCCCGCAAGTGACCTGAGTTCCCGTTACTCGTAAGATCAACACTGTTGGCATTCTACTCGTTTTTTGAGTTATGTATGTATATATATATATACATAAACATATACACATGTATGTTATAATTAGACATATATATATATATATCTTTACATATGTATAACTGGATCACATGTTATGCCAGTTGTACTGTTTTTTTTAGGGTCCACCAAGAAAAAGCACACAGATTCGCTTCACAAAGACCCGGTGGCCGCAGAGTGAATCGTGACGCGTCGTTCACGCATGCAGAAAGATGGCGCTCAGCACGGACAGACCATCCATGGTTTCACATCTCATCTATACATTTATTATCATTTATTCTGCGGTAGTCTGGCAATAGGAAACCCCCCTATAAATATAACTTTTATAGCTGGGAGAATCATCGAACTAAATGATGGATTCTGCAGCTAGCCACGTTTGATTACCGGAGGGTAACTATTCCAAAACTCATCCAGCATTGATCCTCCACGTGAAGGGCTCTTCAGCCGGAGGCCGACAGCCCAAGCTTTTGGCTCAAAAGTCCGCCTGTGTGCCATTGCAAATCCCCCAGATGGTCAAGGGTTTTCCTTCCATAGAGGCAAAATTGATTTTCTTTCAAACCCCATTGCTCCCGCAGATGATCAAGGGTGCTGGCCATAGAGGCAAGATCTATTTTCAAACAAAAACTCCGGGAGTCCATGATTTTTGTTGGGAACATTGCTGAATTCATGCTCCACGAGTCTTGGACAGGAACACACATGCACTTTTCTGGGGAAAGCAACTAAACAACTACCACCTAGACACAGCAAAACAACTACCGGCACCTCTGCCGCAGTACCCTATTTGATCTCTGAACATGTGCGCATTGAGCCCTGTCCCGTTCTGAATTGGTAACATGTGGTAACAGATCATTCGCAATCAACTTGAATCAATCTTATATTACCATATATATCAGATTAGTATATGGTCACCAATTTATGGTAATCAATATTCAGTGCTTTTCCGTGCCCACCAAAGTGGGTAGTGGATGCTGCTCCCATCATGAAGGCAGGGGCCGGGTCACAATTTTCATTGGGACTCATTATGACTCATTGGTCATTAATGATAGTCGGGAAGATCTGGATCTTTTTCAACATGTTCAACATTTCATGGTTGATGTTGATAGCGATGGACAATTCTACGACTTAGCTGAGGCGAAGCCTACTCTGGGCTCCCATGTGGTGCTGCGTGATTTGGAAGGAGCTCAGAAGGTGCGGTGAAATGCGGTGAAGTTGGCACTGGCCGGGCTTGGGAGTTGTCAGCAAAGTTATTATGAACACCCAAGGCCCAAATTCTGTCTCCTCAAGTACAAGACATACTGGTATATATATATATATACTGTACTGTATATATATATATATAGATGTATGTGTAAATATATATGTTTATATATATATGTACACGCATCAACACGCCCTTCAAGAGCAGTGGCTGGAAGACACCCCTATTGGTTGATGATAAAAAATCATCATTGATATGATGCGAATATACAGGGATAAACAATGGTTTGTTGCTGATTTCCCGGGGGCCATGGAATTTCCAGTATGTTGGGGATGATTCTCATTGACTTGGGGAGTTTTGAACACTACGCAGACGACATGTACCCTGGTTTTGAATATCATTCCCTTCACAGATCAAGGGAACATGTAACAACAGTGAGCAGCAAAGTTTTTTGTCGCTCTTTCTTTACTCTAAGTCATCCCACTTTAAGTTGAATAATGTACAGGAGTACTATAACCCAATGGACAATTTATGATAGTTGACCAGATCCCAACCGGTTTGGTTCCCCCATTCCCATTCCCCAAGAAATAGCGTAATGAAGACCAAGAAATAGCCTATGTTAAACTCTTGAATCGTGGGTTTACCCAGCTGGATTTTCTTCATTCTTGTTCACCACTTCCACCAAGATTCCTGAGGTTTTCCTGCTGAGTTCTGGCGCAAATCGGCAAGAACTGCGCATGGGCAAGCAAGAGCCCAAGCACTCGACATCGCAGATACTTAGTTCTTAGAGATGTTTTTAGTACACTTCGTACATGTTCGTGAAAGAGCATCATGAGCATCGCACTTAGCTAGATGCCTCATTTTACCACTGATTAATGGGCTCAAGCCCGCACCGCAGCCGGCTTTCCCAGCTGGACTTGGGGATGGGAGGTGACGTGGGATGCACATAGCCATAGCCATGCTGGAAGTTGTAGCATGTTGTAGCCTGAATTTATTGGGACTCATTTCTGTCTTCGGCATATAGGAGCAGAAAAAAATCCGTTCACGCTGCCCCAATGCCCCAATATTGTGTCATGTATTTGTTGCTTGAAATCACAATCCATGTGGGTTGCTAAATCACCAGAATCTCCCCCTTAAAATAGAATGTATTGGATCTATGCATTTCAGAGATCCTTATTATGGGTATTTCATGTTGGGGAGGATGGGATCATGATTATGATTATAAGAATTCCTGTTCACCAAATCCCATGAAATCATATGAAATCCCTGTTAGAACACCCCATCAAATCCATTAAATCCATTAAATATCATTAAATCACCATGAAATCACCATTAAATCCCCACTTAATCACCATTCACCAGACTAAAAACTCGTTGCCTGCCCGCACTCCTCGTTGCGTTGCCCAGGTATTCAGCAATTCCCTTGGAGACGCTGTTGAGTTGTCCCTACGGCGCTATCCTGAGGCGCCCATAAAGGTATGGTTCAGTCTTTTTTTGCTATACCGCCCCCCCAAAAAAGGTTATACAATGATGAATTTGAAGGTTCTCTAGTACCACATTCTTTAGCCAAACAGAATTATCATGAATTATCCATTGAAAACAGTTTACTTGCAATGATAATATGAAGAAATTGGCACCCTGATCAGTTTGAAAAATCTCAGACTTACTTGGTAAGTTCGCGTGAAGACTCCTGGTCAGAAGCTCCTGCTCACAAGATATCAGAACTAATCCCTTTCTCATATCAACTTCCTGGCCGGAAACCGCCCATTGGGTTTTCCAGGCTTTTCGCCTGGCAATTTCCTGAGTAAGAAAAACATGGATTCCAATGGATGTCACCATGAAATCCCCATGAAATCCATTGAAATCACCATGAAATCTTTTGAAATCCTGGATCCTAAAATCATCCTGGCCCACTTTGCAGTACGTGAATCCACAACTGGGGGCCCGGAGGATGGGATGATGGTGACTCAGATTGTGGGACAGCATTTAAGATAATGGCCAGGTTGCTGAATCAGACATATCATTTCAATTTGTTTTTTATTTAATTTGATACTCATTAATTAATGATATCTGGATGAATTATATTTGACCTCAACTTCAATGATTAAAGATAATTCATCCAGATATACTGCCATGGAAGGCGAGAAGCTGATGGTGGATGGCAACGGGTGCGACACAGTCAGGACCCAAGGTGTGAACTTTCTTACCGGCTGATCTTCCTTGAAAGTGGTGCCCCCACAGTTACCCGTGGTCATCAAACATGGAGGCTTTAATAGGAATATCATGGGCAAATATAGGACACTATTGGACAATCTCGAAGAAAATGGAGGTTTATAGCTGGGCAAAGCATCGAACCAAATGGGGAAAATGCCATTGCCATGTGTGATTACCAGAGGCTAGCTAAATTGGTCTACAAATATAGTGGGATCCTGCAGTATGGATGAATTCAACTGGAATGATGGGAACTGGATAAACCAATCTACAACTTGGCAGCCTTTGTACCTTGTCACATACCTCATCTCCTCATCTATGGCTTTGTGTGAAACAGCGCTCCAAAGTCCAAGTGTTTGTCATCTTCCCCACAAGATTGCAATGATTTGGGCCATACCTGCTGTTACTTGCATTGAACCATTGGAAATGATGATGGAGAATGGGGTTCTGATCTGGGGTGCCAATGTTTGAGCCATGCCAGACTCCCAGACCCATTTTCACCTACATCTGGGACATATATGGACATGGCATGTAGCACTGGTTGGCTTCCATTCCCGTTTGTTGCTGTTCAATAGCCCTACATTGTTAAACAGCGCCCAAAAAGCCTCTTTGTTTATCGATTTTTGGCATTGCACTTCCTAGTTTCTCTGCATCCAAGGGAATCCCTCTCTGCCTACCCGCTGCATAGCTACCCGGCTACCCGCAGGATTTGCGTAAATATTTTGAGCAGTCATGGACCATGGGCACTTCCTGTGTTTCTGCATCCTCCTTACTTTCCTGGTTGCAGCCAGAGTTACCACACTTCAATGATTCGGCTTAACCTCCGTGAAGGATAAGCTGAATGGCTATGAATAGCTTATTTGTGTTGCCATGGGGATTGGCATCTCATGCTTTGTAGGGGCCTATCGTCGACCACAATCATGTCGCCATTCGGGCCCATTCAAATGACGTTGTTGTTTGATTGGTGTTTTTGTTCGTAGTTCTACCGAAAATTGAAAGCTGATCCCTTTGTTTGGTGTCTAAATCATATATATCTGGTTGGTGGTTTCAAACATTTTTTATTTTCCATGATATATGGGATAACCCTTCCCATTGACTTTCATATTTTTCAAGATAGTTAAAACCACCAACCATATATTTTCTTGAGTGCAGCCGCCAAGTCGATGTTTTTCCATGCAGGTATTGAAGTGGCCGAAGAGACGGTGGAGGTGCCGATCAGCTCAACCAGACGCTTGGGTAGTGAAAGGTGGATATGTCAATTCTGGTTGGTGGTTTGGAACATTTTTTTATTTTTCCATATATATTAGGAATAATCATCGCAACTGACTAATAGTTTTCAGAGGGGTTCAAACCACCAACCAGCAATTGTTTGCCATAGATTTGGGAAGATCATAGCCACCTTTGCGTATGTAGTTGCTGTATTGACACAAATAGACTTCGCAGATGTGTTGATCAGCTGTTTCCAAACTGGGTGTGAGTCAACACCAAGGATTTTTCATAGGAGGGCTATTTTTTTTCCCCCATGTTGCACATTTTTTTGGATGTCTGTGTCCTTGCTTCTTTGCTTTTCTGCTTCTCTGTATGTTTTTTTCTTTTTTGCTTTTCCCTGCTTCTCTGCTTTTATGTTTCTTTGTTTCTCTGCTTCTCCACTTTTCTGCTTCTCTGCTTTTTTATTCTTTTTTGCTTCTCTGCTTCTTCACTGTTCCGCTTCTCTGCTTTTTGCTGTTCTGCTTTCTGCTTTTCCCTGCTTCTCTGCTTCTTTGATATCTATATATAGAATATATCTTCTGGAACTCTGGAACCTATGTTTTGGTTCAAACTTGTTTTTCAATTGTTTACATCCATGATTTTACCAGCGAGATTACAGCTGCAAGGTTCCGCGTTTGCATGTGCCTGGTTTAGGTGATTGCCCTTGGAAAGGGAAAACTATACAACACATCAACATTCCTTGACCACTGATGTATCAGATTTTAGGTAAATAGCCTCACTGGCCGACCATCTTTTTTTCATGAATATTGCCATCAGGTGCAAGAGAACAATCAGCACCTGGCGCAGGATAATAGTGTCATGGGCTCGGTTGCTGATGATTTTTGGCGAAGACGGGTGGTACATGGTGTTTTTTTCATTTTTGTTTTCACCATGGGGGATTTCCCCAGCAAAATCTACGGATTTTGGGCATTGTTCTGTTGTAACAGCGGCGTCACATTTGTTTAGTTGGAAAGGACGGGGTCAGTTCTCTTCTGCAACACCATTGATCATATCTTATTTGGCGGTAGTATTGCACTTTGTTATCCTAATTTCCAGCACATCTTTTGACTTCTTGGATGCACGATCCGCAAAGAAATTGGTGCACAGTGCATGGGTAAAAACTATGTTCAGAAACTACAGATACTGAATAACAGATATAAACAAAAAGTATCCCATCCAAATTGTGGGACACTCCAATATGATCACCACATGCTTGGACTTCTATCATAGATAAACATTATCCATTTTTTTGGAAACCCAACAATCCATTGAAGATAGATATGATCCAAATTTCACCACAGTTTTTCATCCTCTCGGCAATCACTGGGATTGTCATCCCTGAAACCAAAGCGAAACCAGGCCCAGTCGTTGTCACCTTCGGAAGTCAGAGATTTGAAACAAAAGTGTGGGAACTCAGAGGAGTTTGGCTGATCATCACCATGGTTGATAGACACCAGTATCTACCATAAACACCATTCATATCCACCATAAACCCAACAGTTCTCTTAGTGAACTAAACCAGCCCCGCAGACGCAAGTCCATCGAAGCACCCAAGAGTTTACCCCTGTACTGTCAAATGATCAGTCCAGCTGGGTGCAATGATGAAACCTCACTACTCATAATAATTATTTTTGTCATGACATGTCCATAATTGGCTAATTGGCTCACATCTCAATTCAGCCACAATTCGTTTTGGAAAAAACGGCCACAATTCCTATGTTCAAACGTTGCCTTGTTGCCTTGATGCGAAACGGCTCATGTTTGTTGCATGGCTGTCGAAAAAACCTTTGTGCTTTTTTTTGGAGCTTTGGGAAACGTTCGGTCTTCGGAAGCTTTCGAATTTTTGTTGGGTTTCCATTCCTCCATTCCTGGGATGAATTGATATTGACTTTTTTTTGACTTTCATCTTTACCGGGTGACTCAACTAAAAACTCGAACTTCGGTGTCGGTGCTATCATTTGTTGATATTTGTTGCTTTCATCATCATGTATTTATTGGTCAAAATTTGAGTTTTCCACACCCTGTTGGTACATGGATGCACATGGTCTTCAAGCCCTTTATATCTTGTGTATTCTTATGTCTGAAGAATTGACAACAGCTATTGCAAGATCTTGCAGCGCTTCAGGTGTTCGGGGTCTGAAGTCGTAGAAGCTTTGGCGTTACTCGGCGACGTTTTTCATGTCCAAAAATGGCTGGTGCCCAACACGGCCATAGCAACTTTTTTTTTGGTCACACCATGGGGGTTGGGGTACCATTCTCAGACCCCCACGTTGGCAATGTAGCTGGGTACACCGTAGTTGCTCACCCGTTGCTAACCAGGCCAGTCACTCCCAACAGTACTTGTAGACAATTAGAGGAAACCCCGATATGTGACGCTAGAATACACTATAGAAACCTACAACCTGAAGCTTTCATGTAGGGTTTTTCCAATAACTCCATTGACGGCTGTCGCTGAGGTCAAACAGTGCCACCTTTGCATCCAAGACCAAGTTTGCGCAGGCCGGAACATGATGTTCTGCTTGAGTGTGTCATTTTTTTTGTGAGATGTTTAACGTTTTTTGGGCGGATGATCCTGATTGGTTTTTATATACAAAGTGTATTTTCGGGATGGTTGAAAGCACATCAGTGCCTTGTCACCAATCTTCGCTTAGCAAAGACGGGTTGCCAAGTCGCTGGATGGTATCCGATGCCAGGAAAGATTGGGATGTACCCTCTGGTAAACGTTTACATAACTATGGAAAATCAATGAACATCACCATTTTTAATGGGTAAATCCACTATAAATCACCATGTTCAATAGCTTTATGTTTGTTTACCAGAGGGTAATCACCAAAGCTGATGACGTTGCATATGGCTGTTTCAGAAACCTATTCACCATTGGGATCCAGAACTCGTACTATCTCGTTTCCGTGTGTCGAAAACCTTCTTGAAGTGGGGGGCTCCCGGATGTTCCAGCAGTCTATTTAATGGAGACAGTTGAGATTTGGCTAGTTGGAGGACTCATCACTTTTGACATCTTTTGAAACTGTTTGATTTGCAGATCAGATGATGGCGGCCATGTTGGAGCTGTTGAGTGGGATAGCCGCCTGGCCTAGCCATTGGATAGTAGATCTATCAAGATTCAAAGTTACCAAACACAAAAACCTGCCGCCAGGTACAATTTAAAAATAGGTCCTTAAATCTTAAGTAACCTAAAATTCAGGCGTTTTTGTTATGCCCATGGCTGGCATTTTGGCATTTTGTCTCACACGCGCCTGGGCCGAGCCTCGGTCCTCACGTTGCTTCAGGAGAAGTATTTGAAGAAGAAAGCGCAGAAACATGTGCAACAGGCATGAATCCATTATGGAATCGGACGGAATCTGATGATGAATGATGTCTGAAAAAATGATGTCTGCTTAAAGTAAACATGCATATAATTATACACGGATTCAATATGTTATAATTAATGTTATAATACTGTAGTGTAATATGTTCTACATCTGGTGTGACCTTGGCAAGCTGGGAAATATTCGATCTCTGAATGAGTTGAAAAGTCGTCCTCACTTTTTTGGCCGTTAAAGGGACCAAAGTCAAAAACACATCCTAGAAACTTTCCTCATAGAATTGACTGACTGGAGACCCCAATAAAAATGCAGATTAAAAACCAGGGTTTCCCATGATTGATTTTTCCCTGAAGTCAACCCATTGAAGTTCCCTGAGCCGGTCACCTTGCACTTGACTTTGCCTGGCCTCTGGGTCATTTTGATCGATTTCCAGCACTTGGGAATACCCATATATAAGCTATAAAACTGTCCACCAGCCATACTGTATTTGAGTATGGTTGACAGCCCTGAAAGTTAGTGATATCTTGGCGTTTCTATTGGACATATGCCTTCCCTAAATCCATCTTGATAAATTGCTGAAGTTCCATCATGAATCCCCAGCCAGAAGAAAGGAAGCACTGCTGATCTACTAGTTGCTTCAATCCCTATGTTGCTACCCTGGATAATTCTCATTCAGGGCTGTTCGGTCATTTCCATCAATGGATTGCTTCAAGGAAAAAAATGGTCAGGAACCCTCCCTATTGTATTGGAAAATCATGGAAAGTCAATGGTTTCCTGTAGCCCTTGAACCAATCCGTTGATTCTTTGAATTATCAGATTGCCAAGTACCCTCCAGTAAATTCACATAGTCATGGAAAACACGCAATGAAACAAGCGATCGTTTCCAAATGGAAGACTGTGGAGTTTTCCTCATCTAGTTATTGAAGTTTGCTGGAGGGTACATTACTACTAGAAGCAAATCAACCACAGATACTGTTTTACATACCCTCTCACCATCTTTAAGTGCGGTAAACCAACTATAAATCACCCATTTTCGCAATGTTAAATTACCAGAGGGTAAATCCCATTAAACCACCATTAAACCACCATTAAACCACCACAAAATCACCATAAAATCACCATAACATCACCATAAAATCACCATAAAATCACCATAAAATCACCATACAATCACCATAAAATCACCATAAAATCACCATAAAATCACCATACAATCACCATAAAATCACCATAAAATCACCATAAATTACCATAAAATCACCCATTTTCCATATGTTAAATTACCAGAGGGTATCCCATGGTATTTGCTGAGATCGCCAGGTGACGCTGCTGCGGCCGAGCGTCATGGAGCTATGCGGCTAGCCAAATAAATGTCGCAAAGTGGGTTAAAGTCATTGGGATGAGCTAACTTGATGAATAAAAACCACTTAGATAATGAGCTAACTTTAACCAAGTGTAGTTATTTTAGATAATACTTTTTCAGGGGGAGACATCTACAGTTTGTGTTCGGTGAAAAAATCAACGGTCGAGATCTCAGGCCAGAAATTGGTACCTCGGAAATGGATTGTGTTCCGCCTCGTAATTCATAGCATGTTTCAGTACCCATAGGATCCATGTATGGTATATATATATATACTAACATTGGGGGGTATATTGATGGTAAATGTTACCATATATAGCAGCACCATGGATCCTATGGGGTATAAAATCAGGAAGCAAACTGACGTAAAATCCCAGATGATCCGTTTCTGAATCGCAGTTTTGCCTATAGAACGTGTAGAACAAATTCAAAAAACAACCACCCATTCGTGTCTATTGAATAACCATGGAGGGTGGGTATTCAACCAACGAGCTGCGCAGACGTTTTCCAGCTATGCACTGATGTGAAAACCAGGCCTCAGGGGATTTGATGAATTATTCCATTGAGAAACAAGAGGTGTGATGCATGATTCCGCTCTTTGTTACAGTGTATTATTGCCATATTTACCACAGAGAAGCCTCCCAATGCCTCCGAACATGTTCAATGATGTTCATGTTTTTTTATCCTATTTGAGATGATATCTTTACCCGGTGGATGGTGACATGGGAGCTGATCTTGGGGGTCGAAACCACCGTTAAAAACCCCTGGGGGTTCCAATCAATATCTGCGTGAACTACTTTTGATTGGAAGATGGATTTACCCATACTTATCAACCATTTACATCTAGGACTCATAACTCTCCAATGGATATAAGGTAAGTTGGTCCGCAACTACTCTCTAACGGATGGGTTTAAGGTAGATGTATCTACAGTTGGGTAAGCTTAAAGCAACTTATGACTGGCGGGCCACATGATAAGCATGGAGTATGTTGCCATTTGCCCAGATGCAAGTCATTTCGAGATTCGCGACATTGGAGCCAGAATGTAAGGACAAGTGCATAGTCCGGGCATTTGTGAGTGCAAACATCAAACAACAATACTTCAGGATACTTCAAGGATCTTCAGGGTCTGTGTTGAATATCTAATCCATTCGAATCCCCTGGAAATATGTCCAACAAAAATCCCAAATCCTGACATCGGAGCCCGGACCCATCCGGGCCCCTCGAGGCGAAACGTACTACAAGCAGTCCAGGAACAAGGCCCAATTAACGGTGGCTTTTTATCCCCATTTGATTGATGACTATAGAGGATTATACCCCATAGGATCCATGGTGCTGCTATATATGGTAACATGGATCCCATCAATATGCCCCCTTTATGTTAGTATATATACCATACATGGATATACATGGATCCTATGGGTACTATAAACAAACATCTATAAACGGGGATTACGACAATCAATGGGGGGACTCCCGTTCTCACGGATCAACGACTGACGACCATTTGTATCAACGAAGCCATCGTCCCTTTATAGATATTGGTTGACAGTGGCCTCCCTGATAAGAATCCGCGAATCCGCAACATGGATAAAATATGGTTACTATGGTGTTACATATATAGTGTTACATATATGGGTTTACATATATGGAATATGGTATAACTATGGGTAAAATATATGTTACCTCCGCAAATACTATGGTTACTATGGAGGCTTATTCTATCCATACTACCCATGCCTGAGTAGCTTTGGTGGGTGATGAAACCTGGCTGGGAAATCCCTCTATGGACATGTACCATGAGTGGTTATGACTAACATAGCCATGGAAAATCCCTTATGAATGGAGGTTTCTAGCTGGGAAAATCATCTATTTCTATGGGCCATCTATACCATGGCTATGTTGAATAGCCAGATGGTATGTGGGCAAATCATCTCTAAACGAAGCAATTTTTCCAGCCAGCCATGTTTTAAAAGACTGGAGGTGAACTGCTCCCAGGTCAGGACCTGTCAGCTTTTCACTGACTTGTTTTGGCATAGTCACATACTTCCCGGTAAACTAATAAAAGGCGATGGAAATCCATCGATTTGCGATATATGAAGGCTGGATCTTCCTATTCTGGTGCCGATCACATTGTTTTTTGCGGGACTGTTCCACACCTAGGTTAGTTCACAGGAAGTACTGTACCCTTTGAGAATTTAACAGAATATTGCATTTTGTTTGTTGATTCAATCTATTAAAGATGGCGATTACCCATAGGATCCATGTATGCTATATATGGTAACATGGATCCCATCAATATACCCCCAATGTTAGTATATATACCAGCACCATGGATCCTATGGGTTATGCTAAATTATCTAGGTATAGGACATTGTTTGGTGGTTTTGCATCGTTCAGGTTTTCTGAGGTTTGCAGGATCACTAGCCCATGGCCAAGCCGCAAAAGTCACCAGCAACACTAGTACCTCGGTAAACCCTGCAACAAAGCCATTTATTTGCATTGGTGTGTAAAGTTTGCACATAAACAATTTCCCAGAGAACCGTTCAAGATACCGAGATTTATTTTTTAAAGATAGTTTAACCATGTCAAATTATGTTAATTGAAGTGATGTAATGTGTCTTGGACATATATATATATATTAACAATGTCTTAAGGCATACATATTATAGATATTATAGATATTACAATTATACGTATTGTCATTAATACCTATTATTACATAAATATGTATATTTTTATATATATATATATATACACATATAATTACATTAAGCCTATGGATCCAGATACTTTCAGAGAAGGAACTTGACCCCGAAATCATGCGCCAGTCATGCTTCCTCAAAAGGTACGTCATATCAAGTTGGTTAGTTGTAGCATGTTATATCCCCATTATATCCTCAGTAAGTCCCCTATTAAAACATGAGTTTCCAGTTGAAATGACCATTGTACACAGAGAGATTATGATGAAACTCATCAACTTGTTTATTTACTAGGTTAAATAACCATTGTTAAATAGCATAAATAACAGTTTTCCCATTTAAACGACCATTTTGATGAGTAAGTATCCCTGTAATTTTTGTTTATGCTAATGCCGGTGTTACGGGTGTGGTGGGAAAACGGTGCTTTAGTCAGCAAAAAGGATCCAAAAACCACACTGTTGAATGGAAACTTGTGGAGTTGGATTTACCAAGGGCTGCTTGGCGTAGTTTTGCGCCACAACCCCTGGCAAATGGTGAAAAAAAGGTCGCGTGCCACCTCAATGGTGACCCGTGCCACCTCGCAGGTCTGTGGCCTCCGCTACGACTATTTGTCCTCTCTGCTGTGCCAAGCAGACGCCTGGGCCACCAGGGGTCCCCAGGGGTCCTTGGTTTATTGTGGGCACTGTTCGGTCAGTTAGAGTTTGCAAGTTTGGGATTTTTGCATTAATCTTCAAACATGTGAGGGCCGAGGGCCCGTAGAGTTAGTGATACTATATATATATAATATACCTTGACCCTCCGAACCTGCAAAAGAAAACCTGGGGTTTTGAAAAATCTAGGGTTCACCAATCCCTGCCAGCCAATCTCTGGTGTCATTTTGGTCTGTCTTGGGCAATTCCAGAGCCCCAAAAAGGGTGTCAGAACCAGTTGAAAATCAATAAACCTTGAGCCAGTTCTGAAGGCCCGTACCTATGATTTAAATATATTTATATATTTAAATCACGGGTTGCACACGGATTGCCGGAGGTCCAAAATCCTGACCCAAACTTTTCGAAGTTTCATGCTTTCAAATTCAAGAAAATAGCGCTAGTCATTTGACCCCAAGAGTTCTTTGCATATTGGATATGTTGACCTGAAGAAAGGCGGGAATTCGAGAATGTATAAGGGGGAAACATGGAAAGCCCAGGGTTTTGTGTGCAAACTTCAATTATGGTTTGGTCACTTGTAAACCCATGGTTTTACTTTACAACCGTCTTTTTGTTTAGAGTTTAGAAGCTCAGGGTAGTTCTATGACTTGCGGTTTACCTGATGTGCCGATGCTTATTGGGGATGGTGGATTGACCTTACTGCATGTTACAGAGCTAATGGAGGGGTCAGAATTGAAGCATGTGTTTGGTTACTGTTGATGGTATCAAATTATTATATATATATATAAATGTATAATATATATATATATGAACATGATGTATTTATATTTTTTTTAAGTGGCTGAATGTCCTTCTGTGTCATGGTCAAATGTTGGATTGATAATATATTTGTGACTAGTCTTACATATTCAAAAAAGGGAATGGCCATGAATCCATTAACAATATTTGTATACCATTGAGGATTGCCATGGGCCATGCTGGGATGAACGGGCTTTCTGTTTTTTTTCAGGTCCGAAGCGGTGCACGCTTTCTGGTCTTGGACTGCGCTGCTGGATTGGTGCGCAGGGAATGCTGGATTTAGCCTCTGGTTATGACTAACATAGCCATGGTATAGATGGCCCATAGAAATAGATTATTTTCCCAGCTAGAAACCTCCATTTATGAGGAATTTTCCATGGCTATGTTAAATAACCAAGAGGGTAATGTATAGATTAAAGTTATGAATCCATTGACCAATGATATATATATATGTAATACAGTGATTATTAATTTTCTTGATTATTGGTTAGGACTGTATTGGCTGCAACAACTTGGTAAATGGTGATGTAGATCCCAAGTAGCGTGATTGTTCACTTTTGAAGCGCCCTGAGGGGACAAGCGAACCTATGAAAAGAAGGACTGCATTCGATTTCGGATGTTTTGTTTGAACCATGGACTGTGTGCCTGCTTTGTTTGTTTGTTTCGTTCTGTTTTGTTCTGTTTTGTTTCGTTCTGTTTTGTTTTGTTTGTTTGTTTGTTTGTTTTTGCTTTAGTGCTTTTAGTGTGTCTTTTTCTGCCCTTGCCTTCCAGTTTCCATTGTGTTTTGCTTTTCTTGCTTGTTTTTTGTTCTTTCATTGTTTATTTGGTTCTCCTTTGTTCCGTTTCCGTCGCCTTTATATTTATGTTTTTTTTATCTTGCTTTGTGTGTTATTTTGGTGCCCTCTGTTTTTGTATGTGCTGCACGTTGCCTGCTGATTCTACCTGCTCCCATTCCTTTGGAGAGCCAGAACACTTTCTATCACGGGTTTTGTTTTCATCCATTACCACATTCAATTCAACCACAAGAGGGACAAGCGCCCATAGAGGATCCTCATATATATATATATATCATATCTACTGATAAGGATTGATATACCCATTACAAGGATTCCCATTTAATGATGCTGTTTGCAGCTGAAATCCTGGTCGGTATGATGATGATCTTGGTCACAGGTCGAAGCAACAAATCTTGGTCATATGTAGGGATTTTTGTCGAAATATCATTGGGAGAATAATTGGGATGGTTGGAAAAGTACTGTTTTTTGATACTTCTGAAGTATATCATGGGATACCTTGTCTCAATGGGAATTTCAGGATCCTAAAATGGAGGTACGTAAACGTACCATATTGTTGGCATGAATTCTAGGGATATTCCCTGAACCATAGCCCTGAACCATCGGCCTTTTAGGCCGTAGGTACCTCCAATGGCCATCGCTTCCTGTTGCGCCATCTGTGCTGTCCGTTGTGCCATCAGGTGGCCGGCGCCATGGCACAGCAATTGGCGGGACTTGGAGAGGCCTCAGTTTCAGGGGCTGGGGACTGTTTTCCACACGACTTGGTCATCATGCGTCCTATAAAACCTATAAAATATAAAAGGACTATATTTAAAAAAACCTAGAAAATCCTATAAAATCCATGTTATATATATATATATAATCTGTAGAATCTATAGACTATAAAGAGTGGTATAGACGATAAAGAGTGGTTTTCGGACTTTTGGGGCCCTAATTTTCAGACACATTGATAAATGTTCGGATGATTGGGTGGTCTCAAGATGGTAGCATTTTTTGTGACATAGGTGGAGCATATCATGGGAATTGGGAATTTTAAGTAAGAAGATAGGGCATTTGGCCATCATTTCATGATTTTAGACCAGTATGACTGGTTGGTGTTTTCTTTGCCTTCCAGCGCCAAAAAACGGAATTATGATATTTATATCAATTGCATTTTCATAATTTTTATTGGGAGTGGTTGAAACCACCCAACCAGATGATGTTTGGAAGTGTTGTCAGGTCCATTCTGTGACTAGCAACAGCATTCTGTCCTCTGCGATGTTCCATGGACGATTGATGGTGGGGTGCAAAACTGCTAAAACAAAAAAGCACTTACCCTCTGGTAAACTAACATAGCTATCGAAAATGTCCATAGAAATAGTGGATTTTCCCATTAAAAATGGTGGATCTTTCCATAGCTATGCGAAATTACCAGAGGGTACCAATGTAGGGTTTCTCCAAAAGAGACCCATCAAATTTGGATGTTTACTACTGAATTTCGAAGGAATCCAATTTTTTCTGTAGATCCAAGGCTCTCAACTTGCCACATACCCACCCCCGGATGTTACCATCAACTTCCATTCGTTCAAGCCATGGTGAAGTTGCTTAGTGTGTTCAATCTTGATGTGTACACTAAAAAAGTAGACCCCGAATTCCCTGGGTTAAATCTATGTAAATTGTGTGTATATATATTCATGTATTGTTGATTGCCATGAATTGAGAATCAATCCCCCATTTTCAGACAGATCAATAATGATCCATATGCATATGTATATATATGTATAGAATATATTAATCATATCCTAGATTATCCTAGTTCTGACGATTTTATCGCACTATATTGAGTTATATCCCCATCAAATGGTGATTTGTTTTCCCATGAACCTTCTGGAGAAAACATCCTTGGGCCTGGCCCTGCAGATCTATCGTCTCTTCCGCGGTAGCTATCCTGAGAAGGCGCCAATGATGGGGGAGCTGTGTGGCAGGAGTTATGGCTATAGGCTATCCATATTCCCTATATTTCCCTATGAAAAATGGGGAGCCAGTTGGAGCTACTAAGAGTTGCCCAACCACATGATAGTTCAGGTCAGTAAGTGATTACCATTTATCCATTTATCCGGAAACCTTGCCATCTGTGCGACTGATTGAAAGCGTGCACGGCACAAACAATATGATGTTTTCACGAACAGCTTTCGACGAGGCATAGATGGGACGAAACCAAAACAAGTTGGATTCTAGAATTACCATGAACTACCCATGAAATCAGGTGGTACAGTTACCACCAACAACGGTACCCATTTTGGGTCTTCCTTCGTTTTGGGTTATGGCATCAGCCAACCAATAGATCTATGTATCTTTGGATATTAACCCATCCCCCGCAACTAACGTTAAGAAGTATATATATATATACATATACATGGATATAAGTGGAGAGAACATTGGTTTATTGTCACTGGACAAACCCAGGTACCCTCTGGTAATTTCACATAGCTATTGAACATGGTCATTTGTAAAATAGTTGATTAAGTTGATTTACCTATTGAAATTGGGGGTGTGCTAATTATCGGTATGTCAATTTACAAGAGGGTAGAACATCTTCAATCCCCATCTATCACCATTAAACCACCATTTTTCAATAACTGTGAATTTACCAGAGTATTTGGTACATAATTATTGGACATATACCCATACTGGTTGGTGGTTTGGAAGTTTGGACCATGTTTTATTTTTCCATATATTGGGAATAATCATCCCAACTGACTTTCATTTTTTTCAGAGGGGTAGGTATACCACCAACCAGTATTGGACATATACCCATAGTCATACTATATATATTACCATAGTTTACCAGAGATGTCCAGATTACATATTATACTAATAATATCTAATAATTTACCATCCTATGGCTATCTATTGACATCTACTACATATCTGGTAAATAGATTTCTAATAGATAGCCATAGTATGAAGATAGATGTCAATAGATAGCCATAGTATGGTCAATAGATAGCCATGGTACAAATATCTATTGACATCTACTACATATCTCAATAGATTGGTTTAAGGGAACATTTACAGGAAAGCCCCATATTTAATGGGGAAATCCATGGTTTCCTGTAAAATTTCCCTTAAACCAATCCATTGAATATCTGGTAAATGGCTATCTCAAGATTTCTCCACCGAAGCGACTCACCGAAGGGACTCTTGGAGTTGGACCTGTCGGAGAGTGAGAAGTCCTGCGTCAGAGCCATCCATTTGGAGGAACACCGGTGGGTCAAACGGGAAGAGCCAAGAAAAGGGTGGTCAAAAGCCAAGAAATAGGTGAATTCTCGTGTTCAACATGGTGATAATATCGTGTTCAAAACCCATTCACATGTTTATTATTGACATTAACATTGATGTGTTATAGGCTTTTACAGGTTCTTCGAAACCCTTGTTGGTTGATTGTTACTGGTGTGTTTTTTTTCTACACTAACCAACGAATCAATATGTTGGGGATTCTCATAATCCATTAGGGGAAACCCTATTAACCATCCCATTTTTCATGAACAACATAGGGTTTTGATGGCTTTTGAACACTGCTCAATCAGGGGGATTGAGGATGATTTAATCAGGACGATTTCATGATTTCACCGAGAATTGAGATGGCAAAAACATTGGAATGATTGAATGCCAAAACGCAAACGATTTGATGACAGTTGAAACATGAAACATGATCCAACTGATCCAACCCATCTCCATTTAGGAACTTACATAGCATCATAGCCAAGCCCACCGCTGAGTGGTTCGCCAGCAACTATCGGAGGATATCACTTACAATGATGTTTGAGCGAACTGAAATGATGATACCACTGAAGCTATGAATCGTCTATCTTGGCTGTACAAACCTACATTTTGGCACAGAATCTAAGATGAGCTATGTAAAAAAAAAGCACTGGCGACTTGCGCAACAAGAAGAGGACAACCGAAGAAGAAGGAGAAAGAATAAGAAGGAGAAGAAGAAAGAAGAAGGAACCGAAAAAGACAGCTGAAAGTATCAAACAAAGAAGGATAGCAAACAAGCAAGTAAGAGCATGGTCCGCATGGTGATTTGTTGGCCCCACAATAGAAACAAGTGCTGCGCCTGGTATCTTCCAGGCCTTAGAGAGCAGCGACCCTTGGTCTTCAGAGTTCGAGTCTTAGTTGATGGAGCTCCCAGGCCCCCAATGTCTGGCCACTGGTGTCCAATCGTCATCACTTTTCCATGCCATTCCATGCCCCTGAAATGGGACGAATCACTCCAAGTGACTTTTGAGGTTGATTTGAAATTGAGGCATTTCATTTTTAATGTGACATTTTGCAGAAAACAAATCAGCAAGGTTTCCCAAGAAATCAATCTATGAATTGTGTTTTCCCATGGTTTCCCGCTATCAAAACCATCAACAGCAGTGATTACATGTGATTACATTGATTCATGTTATTACATATTACTACAATTACTTTATGAAATCCATCATGGAATTTTATATTGTGTGTATTGTGGTGATGATCAGTTCCGTCATGTTATCATTCATCTATGATATCATTATAATTATTCATTCCACCATGATATGATTATTCCCCACCTGTCAGGTGAGGGTTGTTGGATTTTATGTCCCCGCCGAACCTCAACTGCAAGCTCTCGATCGCAGTGGTCCCCGCCGGACCCGCACAGCAACCTTTGGTTTAAAGTGATCCCCGCTAGACCCGAACAGTAACCTCTGGTTTAAAGGGATCCCTGCCGTACCTCAACTGCAAGCTCGTGATCGTAGTGGTCCCCGCAGGACCCGAACAGCAACCTCGTGATCAAAGTGACCCCCGCCGGACCTCAACTGCAAGCTCGTGATCGCAGTGGTCCCCGCCGGACCCGAACAGCAACTTCTGGATTAAAGTGATAGAATCTCATAGAATGCCAGAAGGAATGCCAGAAAGAATGTCAGAATGCCAGATAGAAAGTCAAAGTATATGCCGCAAAAAATGTCAGATATATTCAGACATTGTCAGATAGAATGTCAGAACAAATAGGCTATATATAATTACTTCCAGATGGTATGTCAGTATGTCAGAAGATATGTCAGTATGTCAGTGTGTTCAAAGTGGGGATCACTCGAAGAAAGTATTTTTTATCAATCACCAATGATCAGAAGTACTATCCTGAAACAGGTCGCCCCGTACCAGACCACCGGCCCCCACCGCCCATGACCCGGAGCCCAGGTGGTTACGACTTCCTGAAGCACCAGGCCGAGAGTAGCTGAGGGTTGTCCTGCACTTTTGTTCATACAAAATGGATTACCATGAATGTAGAGTGTATATATGATATAATATACATCATATTGTAAAATAGCAGTGGATGTATATATATACATGATCTGTGATAAATGATATATGGTATATTATATTTGAGACACGACATGTGATGTATGATAAATTATAATTGACATATGATAATGATACTTGTTGCATGATAAATGATCAATGATATATGATATGTGATAAATAATTCATGATGTATGTTACAATGTATGTTATCTGATTTACGACATCTGATAAAATGATATATGATATGAAATTTATGGTAAGTGATATATAAAACATAATATGTTATTTATGATAAGTTATTTTTGACATTTGATAAATGACAAATGATATTTGATATTTGATAGAAGGTATTTGATTTTTAGTGGAAAAGGCATATGATATCTTTTAAATGGAATTAAAATACATGTATGCTGTATATGTATATATGTTTTACATTTGTAAGTATTAGTAAAGTAAAGTAATGTAATGTAATGTGGTGTAATGTAATGTGATGTAATGTGATGTAACGCAAATTAATGTATTATGTTATGTAATATGTAATATGTAAAATGTAATATGAAACATGTAACATGTAATATGTAATGTCATGTATTGTATTGTATTGTCTTGTAATGTAATGTAATGTAATGTAATGGTATGTATGTAAGTGGAATGTGATGTGATGTGATGCAATGTAACGTAATGTGATGTGATATGTAATGTAGTATGTAATATGTAATATGTAATATGTAATATGTAATATGTAATGTCTATATAATGTGTAATGTAATGTAGTGAAATGTATGTATAAAAATGTGGTATATGATATTTGTTTCATGATCTATGATATTTATTTTTAGATGTTATTTAATTAAAACATATTCATATTTGGACTATTTGGATTAGATCAATCAACTGATGGGGGTGTAGTGATATGTCATGGGATACATTTAAATATATATGTATATATCCCCTAGGTACTGGAATATAACATACCACCAACAAAGGAACCCAAAATGAATAGTTTTAGATCATTCTTCCAAACCAAGGTTTGTTTCAGGATAGCCCTATACTAAGGATGGTATTCTATAATGTTGTATGTGTTTTTTTTTAAACAAACAACCATCTCATGGAGAATCCTGAGTTTCGCTGGGTCGCAGCCACAGCATCCACCAGGTGACGCTGAAGGAGAAGCTATTGCCGGGACCCTGTGGCGAGGTGAATGGTTCTTTTCTGGGTTGATTTTGAGTGATTCCTATAGGGGAACTGCAATATGTGGCATCGAATTCGGCGTTTAAAGGATATTTGAAAAACATTTTAGGTATATTTGAGCTTAGACATCGAAATATGGGTATGGTTTGCCTGCAAGAGATGGGGATGTACCGAAGTTGCATCAACTGTTTAGGTGACCAATAGAAATAGAAATATGCAAACACAATCAACAATTTGTAGATTTGATATAGAGATAATTACAGAAACAACCTATTTTTACCTATTTGTATTATCACCATGCCCGAAAACTGGGATGTCACAGCCGAATGTGGGATGCAGAGCCGCATGTCAAACTCAGAATGGAAGTGTGGCGGGGATGAAACATAGCTGCAGCTACGGTCGAAATCTAGAATCGACTGCCAGTTGATGACATACTGTATAGGTTTCCTAAAATAGGGGTACCCCCAAATCATCCATTTATAGATGACATTTTCCATTATAAACCAACCATTTTGGGGTACCCCCATTCTAGGAAATCCAATGTATATTATTGTATATTTGAATATTATATAGTTGATACAAATTTGGGTATGGATCAGAGTGACCAATCCCCCAATACGGGTCATCCTCGTTTTCACCGTATGGAAAACGCCAGTCATCACTTGTTGCTTCACCACATGGTGGACCAAATCACCAAATCACCAAATCACGAAATGAAGGTTTCCCTAAATAGGGGATCCTCAAAATGGATGGTTTATAATGGAAAAACCTTGTTTCAAATGGATGATTTAGGGGTACCCCTACCCAGGCGCCTGGTCGTGCAGAGGTGGACAAGAATCGGAAGGGTTCACACGCATCAAACATGTGTGAGTTCACCATCAAACATACGTTGATTTATGGGAACAAATGGAGGTTTCCTAAGTCATGGGGTACCCCAAATCATCCAAAATTAAACCATGTTAGTATTGAAACCCATGGTGACGACTGGGGATCTCCCATTTCAGGAAACCCCCATTCAGAGGAATATTTTTGAACAAACCGGAAGACATCGGGGAAAAAAACATATGGCTGTTGATTGATGACAATGATAATGATATTTCACGATTTATTTTTTCGCTGTTGACATTTGGCTGTTGACATTTGTGAAGAGACATTGGTACATAATGCCACCTGTCGTGGCTGTTTTCCAATAGGTGTTTTCTCCCCATCCATGGACTGACCGCTTACATCATTGAATTGTACAACGTTGTTTGCATGTTCAAGCATACACGTTGTCAGCTTGTTCATATTTGGGTAGTCTTAACCCATGGTTGGTTGCGGATTGGTTTCAATGGAGTTGCTACTTACTTTCACTAAGATATATCTATATTCAACAGGGGCATGTAAGCTTTCTAGGACATGAGGAAGGGGAATCTTCTGAACAGGTTGTGAACAATGCCTAACTCGATCACCACCAAACAACAGTATTGCATGTTCTTGGGAACCTTGACCTTGCATAGATGTTTCACCCCGGATATATATCTGGATTTTTGTGATATCCAACCGCGATGGTACATGGCTTTGTTTGAATATAGGGGGCCGCAAAATCTAGCAGTTTTATGATGTTTCTCCTTGTGAAAATGGTCATAGAATCTAGATTCTATTGTTGGTTCATTGGTTCATGGTGTGTACCCCAAAATACCCCAAGTCTTGCATTGCATAAGCCCAATTTTACAATAATTATTTCATTGATGCTAAAATTTAGCCCATGAACTCAGCTTTGCAACCCAACAGCAGTGTTCCGGGGTTCCAGGGTTGGCTGCCGTTCCAGTTTGTTTGGCAATATATAATAGGTGCATCAGCCCAGCTGTTGTTGGTTTAATATCGTTGAATACTCCATACTCACAGTGTTTTCCACCATCATAAACCAGCACAAACCCAACAGAAACTGGTCAAAAAAAGGTTAAACACATCATAAACCATGATAAACCATATATCAGGTGAAAACCATATTAAAACCATATTAAACCATATTAAACCATGATCCACGGGGAAAAACATCCTGGTCCCCTGGTAGGCGCGGCTAACGCGCATCACCAAACGCCACAATGACTTCAAGTCGCTGGAGGCGAAGGATTTTCCAATGGGGAAACTGATGGGCTTTAATGGGTAGATGATGCTTCAATGATATCTGCTTAATGGCTTGAACCCCTCTGAAAAATATGAACGTCACTTGGGCTTCTTATTCCCAATATATGGAAAAATAAAAAATGTTTCAAACCATGGCTAATGATAAGAACCAATGATGGTTATCCTATGGAATCATGATGTTTTCAATGATGGTTAAACAACCGTGACTCACGGTGAACAATGGTTTTTCACGACCTCACGTAACCTCACTAGAAATGATTGGTATGGATTGGGGCGTCATCCCTAAATGGCCTAAGTTCAGAGTGGTGAGTTGTCGTAATTTATCCAGAAGGTTTGCTCCAAGCCAGTAAGTATACGTAGGTAAATGATGGTAAATGATAGCCACAAAGGGGTGAACATGGGTCATTTTGCATCTCTATTGGCCCAGTTGAACTATATCTGGGGTCTTGGGAGCAACCTATCAGAAACAAGATCCATGGATAAATCCGTGGATTTACGGAGAAATCCAGGATCGATTGTAGCCAGAAAGAGGTACATAATGCCAACAACGGCTAGATCTAGAGTAATCTAGAGATTGATTACTGTAGAATGTTCAAGGGATAAACAAGCATTGATGAAGCTCCAAGCATCTAGAGGTACATAACTCATAATAGAAGTTTAGCATTTAATTGGTGCATCATCCCAGAATTGTCCACATCTAGAGATTGACTAGACAATATTTCAGCAACGCTGAGGCGCTAATCACAAGTGGAAATAACGTTATCATATACTGCGTTTTTTTTGAGTCACTATATAACTAGAAAAAAACAATCTGTACCCGACTAATTGCTAATCCTTATCTGTTGGTTAATGATTTATTTTATAAGTAATACTGTAACCAATTACTAATTACTAATTAAAAATATTATCATTGCTATGAAAGGTTAGAATCCATGGTTGCTGAGCATCATCCATGATTTAATCAGCCCACGTGGGGGCAATACAAGCCCAATAGAGCTAGGTGGTAATGTTATAGCTGGCATCCGAGTTTGGGACGGGACTCGCCGATTAAACAAGAAAAAAACACACATGAATACTAAAATTGAAAACTCAATCAATTAATCAGTTTGTCGTACTCTTAGTCGTACTAAAGAATGTTGCATTGCTGACTCATTTGCTCTTGACGACTACGCGTATACCATGGAACCAGCTCCAGACGAGGACTGTCCTGTGCAAATGGCGGATCGTTTTATGAGCAGATTTGTTTCCCCGAGACTATGATGACGATACATGTATATATATATATATACATGCGGATATCAACTTACAGATAGTGTGTATGTATGTGTATATATATATATATATATGTAGATATTTATATATAATTATAGGTATATGTTCATCCACCCATCCACCCATCCATCCATTCATGGATGCATGCATACCCAACCACACACACACAACCGTACACAAACATTCACAGTCATACACACTAATACACTCTCATACACAATCACATGCAAACATGTATATATATATATACACATGTAATTGTGTATGTATACCGAAACAATCCGACACATATATGTATGTCCATGTATTCTTATATTTATACATGATATATATATATATACACATAGATATGTAGTTTTGGTGATATGAGTATGAGGTTTGTTCAAATATGTCCGCCACACGACACGGGCTACTGCAGATTGCAGTTGCCTTGATAACCAGGGACCAGTCACTTTCCCTTCAGAAGGCGATGCTGAATTGACTGTCTAAGACATACAGCACCACGTGAACAATCAAACACAAATCCGACTTGAATGGGGTGTTTATGCCACTAATTGTGGATTTAATGGGATGTTATGGGACTATTTTATAACTAACCAACTATCATTCATCCAATTCCCCTATTAAACATCTGGTTCCCCATGGTTTCATAGGGATTCACTGATTCACACGGATTTTAGGAGACAGTACGCAGATAGACATCCAGAATAACAGACACAGAACAATCTACCCGTGGAACCACATGAAACAAAACGAGGCATATTACCATTCATGTATATATATATAACTATATGTATTTATTCACATATATATAATTATATATATATTTATGTACCTACATACATATACATTATATATATAATTACTCCCACACAGATGTTGTTTTTTTCGAAGAAACAGCTCCCAGCTGAGAGGCAAAAGCTGTCGATGGTTTGATCGTTGTGGCAGAGGATGCAGACCTCTGTGCCGAGGTGACCATGGCCCAATGGCGCCGATCCGAAAGATTGGGCGGTCTTGGGGAATGGCCCTATCCCACCCAAAACTTGGTTGATTTAATGGGATTTTATAGTGATTCAATGGGATATTCATGGGATAATTCAACATTTTTTAGAGGATAATTCAACATTTACGAACATTTATCAACATTTAGGGTGATTTAATGGTGATTCAATGGTGATTCAATGGGATTTCTTAGGATATATGATGATATACCCTCTGGTAAACATACAAAAAGCGAACTGGAATGGCTTATTTTTAGTTGATTTACCGAACTTAAAATAGTGATTTTCCATCGCTATGTTAGTTTACCAGAGGGTAGAGGGATAAATTTAGTACAATGGTTTACAAGCCATTGGGTACTCCTCACGTCTCCGTACCATGGGATGGTGATAGGCGATTGATAATGATAGTGATAATGCTAATCATGATGATAATAATTATTTTCTCTTGTTCTTCATAGCCAGATTGACTAGGGTAATCATGATGATAATGATAAACATAATGATCATGCCAATCAACATCACAATCGATAATCATCATGGTGATTATAACCATAATCATCGTCTTCATTAAACAAATTAAAATGATCATAATATTTTTGAGTGTAATAATTGTGATTGCAGTCACATTGACAAGCTTGACCATCATGTTAATGATTTGTTAATGGTAATGATAATGTCCTCGATGGTCTTAATGATCATTATAGGGACCCGGGCAATGATTACCATCATGACAATGAGAATGATAATGTTCTGGATGAGAATAATGATCATGATCATCGTAATGATAATGGTAATTACACTGATATCGATAATCATGATGCCCGTGATAATCTTGATTCAGATGATGATCATGATGAGAATGTCCATGATCATTGCTGTTACCGTCATCACCACTATAATCACAATGATAAATGATAGTCGTCATAATGGTCATAATGTTCTTGATGATCATAATGAAATTGATCATACTGGTAATCATATGGTAACCATCATGCTTAAGCTACACATACAGCTATGTTCTTGGTTAGTTTTACGATCATGAGAATCACACTAGTGATGATTACCAACATGTTAATGATAATCATGGTGTTCTTGGTAATAATAATAATCATTATCATCATCGTAATTAGCATTATGATCACAATGATAATGATATTCATATTGATATCGATACATGTTGTTGCTAACGGGTGCCAAACCGTACGTGTAGTTACACACATTTTCAACATGGGGTGGGGTGGGGTGGGGATGTTAACGTTCGTTAGCAGTTGAACACGCCACGCATGCTACGCTGAGCATGTGGTGAGGTGGAGATGTGTACGTTCGGTTGAAGTTGAACACGCCACTGCTGCTACGCTGATCATGGGGTGGGGTGGGGTGGGGTGGGGATGTTAACGTTCGTTAGCATTTGAACACGCCACGCATGCTACGCTGAGCATGTGGTGGGGTGGAGATGTGAACGTTCGGTTGAAGTTGAACACGCCACTGCTGCTACGCTGATCATGGGGTGGGGATGGGGTGGGGTGGGGTGGGGATGTCAACGTATATCGTGTGTTCTCGTTACCTGTTTTGAGGAGTGCATCATAATAATTTATAATGGTTGTCATACTTCTGTTGATAGTGTCTTTCACCACGGTAACGATAAAGTTCATCCCAATGGTGATAAAAATCACCCTCTAATTTCATATGTTGGTCATTATTGGATATGCTTGGTATGATAGCGATCTTTCATATCGTGAGGATAATAACTCATCAAATCACTAGTCAGTGAGGTCTACATGCACAATGATCAATGAAAGTGGCAAGGCAAAAAAGGTCCGAAATTTGTGCTGTAAGGGTTGCAAAATCCAAGAAAAATGACCTTTTTTGGGAACATTTTTTTCCTGATCAGAAGGCCACGAAACACTGAAAGGGTTCACATTTTTTTCAGCATGTTGATGCGCCTACACGCGTGATTCCGCACCCGGCGGGATGTTGTTGATAATGATCAAAAGTTAATGAAGATCATGATGATCAGGTCAATTATAACGATTATGATGATGATAATGACAATGACCTTGATACTATTAATCAACATGGTCATCATCATCGTGATGATGGTAATCATGACAATGAAACTCATCAGCATAATGATAATGATAATCCTTTTTTGCCAGGATTTTACTATAATCGTAAAGAGAATCAACATGATAATCATAATGATTATGACAATCAGCATGACAATCGATAATGACGACCATCATGATGATTATAACCATAATCACCATCATCATTAAGCAAATAATAATTATAATTATAATCATAACCATCTTGAGTATATTTTATATATCCATATTCATGCATATTTTCCATATTAATGATAATCATCATTGTTTTTCTCTAAAGAACAAATCATCACGTAACGGGGGGATTCTCATGCTCCCAGGACGTCTCGACATCTGCAGAATTCGGTGAAATCATCGAGAAATTTTTGATCCATTTCCCATGTGGGTCGTTGGTTTAGAGAGTGGGATTTCCCACCAAAAATTGAGAATCGGATTGAAGCACTGTAAATGGTGAGTTCATGGTATAGATGACCCATGACAATGGATGATCATGATGATTTACCAAACTTAAACATGGTGGGTTTGCATAGCTGTGTTAAATAATTCGAGGGTAAACCACACACACATCACTGTTGAAAGTGAAATGAGAACTTTCTCAAGATACTACTGATTAATCCGCATGTTCGTTGGGTCAATCACATTTGTTCAAAGACACCACGATATACCCTCGGGTAAACTAACATAGATGTGGCCAAACAATTCTTCCCCCAAACAAATCATCTACAAACAGTGGTTTCTCTACATTTGCGTAAACGTTTACAGGAGGGTCAACATATACATGTATATATATATATACATATGTTAGTTTGCAGCAGGGTATATTATTGTTATTATTATCATTATCATTATTATTATTATATTTTTCTTCTTATCATTATTATTTATTATCATTATCATTATTAGTGCTATTATTATTATAACTATTGTTATTATTGTTATTATTATATGTATTTATATATATATATACAATATTATACAATTATATAAACATATACACATATGTTTTATCACTGTGTATGGCTTACATCCAAACCTTTATTTCCAGGTCTTAGAGCTGGGATTGCCGCGTCTCAGCTTCGGGGGACGCGTGTGTGTGCCGCTTGGCGATGGTTGGTTTACCCCAAGAGTTCGATGGTGAATACCAAACATATACTAAATCAGACTAAAATCAGACTAAATCAGACTGAACTTGTGGTTCGTTCTGAACCTTCAAGTTTGACTATGGCCCATACCGTGGCTTCCCTAATAAATCATCCAAGGTTTGTTATTATCAACGGGAAAACCGGTGGTTTGGGGTCATTAAATTTTGTGAGTTCGCCGCCAAAGCCTCTGGTGTCTCTAGATTTGATCCAACGAACCTTTGGGCCTCACCGATGAAATGCCAGAATGAATGCCAGAAAACATGTCAGAATCTATATCAAAGCAGATGTCAGGTATGCCCGAATATATGTCTGATTGTTAATGTCAGATGGAAGCTGTCAGAATATTTGCCACAGTAAAAATCACTCGAAGAATGTAACTTACACAACAAATGATTGGAATTGGGGAAAACACGATTATGGTGAATTGGCTGGTGGTTGCAGACGTTTTTTTTGTTCTTCAACCATAGAAATGGGATGACACGAGTTGAAACCACCATTCACTTGCAGTAAGGGTTTGGACAATCTCACAAGATAATCTTCAAGTTGGTGACTGATCACAATATTACGGCGATATTCTGTCGGATATAATGGGATTTAAATCCTACAAGACGGTGCCATTACTGGGATGGGATGGGATGGGATGGGACAATAGTGGGGAGATACTTGGGAGATCTTGGGAGTATAAAGGGGATAGAACTCACAATATGATTAGAATTTCACCAACAACTAAATCCGGGTCATTTATATCGACGCCACCACGACATTATGTAAAATGGTGGAATTTTCAGATTGGTGACTAGTTAAAATATATAAGTTGACCAAGATTGTATTTGCGCGTCTTTGTATAATCTGTGCCTTTCTATACGGGAAGAGCGCGAGCGAGATAGAGAGAGAGAGAGCGAGAGAAGGGGAAATGTTTTGAGATATTGTGAGATATTATGAGATATTTTGAAATATAATGAACAACTTTTGAGATATTAAGACATATGTTGGGGTATCGTTTGATAGTATAAGATATCATGAATATTGAAAGATCGTATGATATAGTATGATACAGTATGATAAAGTATGATCTAGTACGATATAGTGTGAGATTTGTGGGCAAACATATGCAGTATCATATGCATCTACAGACATTGGAGAAACACCATCCTGGTCCTTACAAAACCACGCAGGCCCATGCCTTTGAATTTCACCAGTATGGGGCTATACATACAGTACAAGACATTGTTCTTCTATATATGATACATGTATATATCTATCTATATAAATATATATATATATATACGTATGCATATATATATATATATGTATGTGTATATATATATATATATATAAACAATATATATATGTCTTAGTTTCATGATACCAATGAATGATAAATCGACCCTTTGAGTCTTGCAATCCATTGAAACCATGTTCCGTTTTCCGAAAAAAAAAACTACGCACCTTCCTGATAGATCTGGAAGATCCACCATGAATGTACATAATTAACTAATTATTATATCTTGGTTTACTGCTTGACCCGAGGTTCGGGCACCACCTGCAGTCCTCCCGGCATGGCTGAGCTGGCTGAAAAAGGTTGAACTCAATGCTGGGCCCTTTCGTAAGATATACTTTGCAAGGACAAAACATGACAAAACTATGAAACTAGCAGACCCCGACCTTCAATTTAGACAGGCAGGATGAGTATTCACACCATAATCTTCGTACTTTTCACTTTTTTGGGTTTGGTTGAGGGTCTGGTGGTAGGTATTTGTGAGGCTATTGAATCCATTGAAGGTGCTGCCCAGGTGGGAATGAAGTAACCAAGAAAGTAGGTCATGTCCTCGGTGATTGGTGGTGATTGATGGTTAAGTCTTGGGTGCAGACCTGGCTGCTTGGAAAGCCATGGGAAAAAATGCTGCACTAAGATCTAAGGATCTCATTTTCTGTTGGGTCACCCAGGAATTGACGCGGATGATATTCATCTATATTTATCTATTGAAAGAGGAGACTGGCCAGTTCAACACCAACCCAACTGCAGAATGTCTACCAGAACCCCCCAGAAAGAATCGGTTCATATTGGTTCTAAACCAACAGAATCCTCTCTCTTAACCTCGCAATGTTCCCGTTGTGTGATCCCGGCCAGGCCACTTGCGGCGTTGCAGGGCGCCTGGTGCCTTTTCGAAATTGGTGAAGAAGTCCCCTGGGGGTTGCCACATTTCTGCTGGTTGTTCTCCTTCCACAGACTGACGCGTTTTAAGGATTTTCTGAACCTGTAGGACCTACATTTGAGAGTTTCTGCCCATTCTTGAAGGTAAAACGGCAAGAAAAAAGCACATTCCTGGACCAAATTTCATTGCTTGTGATAGGCTTTGTGGTTAAGTTCCTGATGCTTTTGGTGGGCAAAATCCATGGAATTCAGATGATGAAAGTGTCTCAGGAGAGCGGGAAATTTCGTGGATGTGCGTCTCACGCAACTATTCACCCGCGAGTTTCAGGCGCAGAAATGCAGAATTCCGAATCATGAGTGTGTAAAAGCTCTGATTAACATTGAACTCGCCATGAAAAAACATTGGTTTAAGTCAAAATCGGATGCAAGAAAAAACGCAGGAAAAGTTAAACCCTGTATGATCGTATTTATATATATATAGATTACATGTTCAATTCCTGATTGCTACGTGTTCTGCCTTTTCGGACGCATATTAGCTGTTTTGCTTCAGACAGCGACTTCATGTGCAGACGTTTTTCATGATTTTGCAATTCTTTGCAAAAGACTTCAGCTAGATACTCATACCTGAACAGGCAACTTTACCCGACCCAAAAAGGCAACTTTTGCCAACCTTGGCTTCATTGTGCTTTAAGGAACCACGTTCTTTTGTGGCACGGCATTGTTCTATGGAAAGGGCAATTTTGTCCCTAAAGGTCAGAAAAGTGTGTTCTTTGGTAAATGGTACAATTTTTCAACAGTCAGAAGATTTGGGTGTATATTGTATGTATGTATTTTTGAGAATCTGACTGGCTCAGTTCGGCACGGATGAACATGTTTGTGCAGGCCCTCCCACTGCGGACTCACCCCTTTATGGTTTTCTGGCTCAGTTCGGGGGCGGTGCAGACGGGCCGCTGGTGACTTGCGTTCCATTCTCTAGAATTGTTTCACAGGTGCGATCACCCATTGTCTTCATTTGTGAGTTTTTCAAATTGCTTTATTATTGTGGGTGTTGATTTTTCAACATCTAGATGTTGTATATCGATAGAAAAAAAAACTATTCAAAAATATCTAGAGATATTTCTAGAGATAGGTTTTTATTTCTGGAGATATATTTTTTAATATCTAGATATGTTTCCATCTTTACATCAGTCAGGTCGCAGATGCAAACCTCTGTGAGGGTTTCATCCTGTGCGGCAGCAAGGCGGGGTACCCAACCTTGGTACCGATTGTGGGTAGATATTCATTATATAATGTCGGAATCATGAAACTCCATATATATATATATATATATGGATCTATACAAACTGTAGTTCCAGTTTGCATATATATATATATACGTATATTATTGTTGTTTTTTATTATTATTACAAAGATGTATGTGAGGAGTTTCATGAATCCGACATTATATACATATTACATCTATAAACAGTTTTGGAGGGGTTGGGTTGAATCTCTCTTGGTTGTCTATACGTATATTATACACTTGATATGTTATGTATGTATGTGTATATATATATAAGATATATATGTATACATACATACATACATACATACCTACCTACCTACCTACCTACCTACCTACCTACATACATACATACATACATACATACAGACACACACACACACATACATACATACATACATACATACATACATACATACATACATACATACATACATCATATATAATCATATACACATAAACTGATTGTCAACTGTGGTGCAGTTAAGGATTGACATTCAACGGCATATCATGATGGCTATTCCCCCACGCTGCAGCGGCTAGGTCCTTGGCATGGTCAGCTGGAGGGTTGGGATGTTGATGGCTAGGTCCACTTAGTGGTTGACGTGTGCATGTTGATGTGCTCCCAAGTTAAGAATGTGTAAACATGAATATCACAAGCTATTGCAGTACATCCAGTCGTAATCATCACGATCATGGTCTGCTTAAGTAGGCTTTCATAGGTCAGCGCCTATCAATTTTTGGGGCACTTGAAGCTGCAACTGCAACCAAAAGGTACCCGTTTTCATCCAATATCACCATAAAATGAGGCTATTCATAGAGTATCGCCCCCAGATCATTGGCACATGCTGTTAGTTGGAAGATTAGTTTCTACTAAAAATGGTTTATCTTCAATGTCTATGTTAATTTTCCAGAGGGTGTGTGTATATATATAATGATTATGTCAATCAAAAATGCTCTGGGGTCGTTAGCTATTGAGATTCCCAGTTCATGCAGCAAACCACCAGGTATACCATAGATAACTTCTGGGTTAACCTTAGATAATTTGATATATATATATATATATAGTACTTTAGTTTTTTGCTATACATGGGCAGGTATCCTAACCACATATAGACTATAAATAGATCTATATAGATATATATATATATATATGATACATGTAAAGTGCAGGGTATCTAAGATTCGCTATTTCTTGGGGTGATGGGGAAAAACCGACCGTTCTTTTTGCGCTTCCATTGTTGGATTTCTCGCTTTTCGAGGTGGGTGAAGCAGCCGGGTGCCCCAGGATTTTGGACTACCAACCTAGATCGCCTACGGGCCTTGGGGATATCTCAGGATCTAAAGTAGACAAAATTGGGTGCAAAAGGCGAACATAGTCCATATCAGTCATGTCATTTGAATTCATTTGGTTTATTTGACAAACAACAAGTAATTAAGACATATGGATTGAGACATGGAAACAGACTGGTGGCATAGTCATAAACAATCCATATAGATATCCCATCTCAATCGAATAAGAAATGCTTTAAATTCCACCAGATCCACCGGGTGCCATTGACTCAGGAACCGCAAGAAGCCGCGGGCGAGGACTCGTATCTGGGAGACAAAACAAATCAACAAAACATCATTGAGAAGGGGTGTGGGGGCACTAAACAGCATTGGGATGACTCTCTCTCTCTCTATCTGTATCTATGCACATACTGTATAGTATATATATATACACACGATATGTGTATATATATATATTATGTAATATTATATATATACACAGTGTATATATATATATATTTATTTATTTATTGTATTATATTCATACATATATATATATATTTACATGGGTCACCAGCATGCCATGTTAGTTCATCTATTTTGGATCAAAATGGCATCTCCATGCATCTCGTTGATGTGCCATGCCTGCCACACCTCCAGCTACCTTAATGTGCTGATGACCTGAGGAAACCATGTGACAGGTTTACCAGGTACTAATCCCATCCCTCAATTTTAAACACCCCCAATTATGGTTCCAATATGTCCCAATTATGTGGGAAATTCCTTACTAAACCATGATTTCAATACGGGGATTCTTTTTATTTACGGGGAAGGGATGTTGGTTGGCTTAAATCCTGAAGTCAGAAGCATTGCGAAATTAGGTGATCCCACTGTCTCAGATATTCCCAATGACCTAGGCTGTGAAACCTTGATTGTTCAACAGTTACATGTGGGATCTACAACAAGTTCTACTGGGGATCTCACCACAGCCCTTCATTTGTGAGAATCCAGATTAAGTAACCACCCTGAAACCCTTCCTCAGTAGTCTAACTGGTCTTTGTGGAATTCGATCTTTCTTGCTATTACTTTCCCTGTCTTGGTGGAGCGGTATGACCGTTTTTAAACATGTTTCAACAATATTGTGACACAGTTTAATAGATCATGGCTATACAAGATGATAAGGATGTAGAGCTTTAATGAGCGTTATTTGAACAACAAAACATGACCTCTAGCCAGTAAACTGATGAAATTCGACCTGGTAATCTTGGAAGGTGCTTTTCGCATAGTCTAAGTGAAGATGTTGGAATGCAATGTTGTTTCACACTGGAGTATATATATATATATACATATACAGTATATATATACAATATAAATACACATATATATATATATATATACATATATACATATATATACATATATACAATATAAATACATATATATATATATATATACATATATACATATATACATATATACATATATATATATATACATATATATATATACATATACATATATACATATATATATATATATATACATATACATATATATATATATACATACATATATATATATATATATATATCCCTCTATGCTGGAAGACCATGAATCTCATCAAGACATTGGCGCCGAGGCCCACCAAAAAGCAGCGCAGAAGCTGAGTTCAGGGCCGACAAAAAAGGTCCATTTCTCCAGCGTTGGCGTTCGCTTTTTCTAACGTCTCCAAAAGTCGGTGGAGTGCAGGTGGAGGGTGATGGTGTTCGGAAAATGCTGGGAATGTTGTAATGTTTCCCACAGCTTGTCATGATCGGAACATAGTGAGATGTTCTTTGATGTGGATTCCAAGTGTTTGGGATCCAAAAAGCAGAGAATGCAGCTTGGACCCACAGCCATATATAACTCAGCAACCAGGCCCATAGAAATATGTTGCTTGCCTCTTGATGAGGTATATGATGTTTTAAAATGTGTTGAAAAATACTTGAGATGCACCAACCGTGAGGGTATCATGTCGCGAAAGAAACACCAGCACTGACTGTGGCTGAACATTCTCCACATAGGATGCTACCGCGATGCGGTTCGATGCACCATGCGCTGCGTTGCCCTTTGGCTCAGCTGGTAGGCGACATGATGAGCCCAAAAACTTGGATTGGCAGTTCATAGCAGTTCCTAAACACTTCGAAAACAGTTGACCACCCCATCAAGAATCAAGGGCATCGATATTCCACCAATGATGAGCTTTCAAACAAATAGAAATGCTAGAACAACGAAAAACACTGGCCTTGATGGAATCAGTGTAAAAAAAAAGTGTGGTACACTCCCACTCTGAAAAGCCATTTTTAGCTGTAACATGTCCAGGTCTTTACCAGGTCATGTGGCAGACTGTGGTAGTCATGATCTGACCGCGACCGCTCCCTGAGCAAGGCTACCGGGTGAAGCTTGACTCTCTGAAGTATGGCCATGTAGGTTTAGCCCAACTAGCCCTTTCAAGTAGGTCCCATTGATGTGTATTTATTATACGCAATATAGATAAATCTGTCGATTTACAAGCATATGACAATTTGTCATATACTTATATATATATATGTCTATATTTTGAACCCAGACGGACTCTGTTTTTGATGGTTTATTTTTTTCAGTAGGTCAACACCTCCACAAGACGGTCAAGAAACACGAGACATGCCCCAAAATGGCCTTCAAATTCTGGGGGAGATGATGATTATCCATGAAGTTTGGGGGGTCCGGCTGATCAGACAACCCCAGCAATCATCCACCGACATTGTCATCCAAGAATCATCCACAAACAGCAAGTTGCATCTAGTTGCATCTATTGGATCAGGTTGGAAGATGGATGATTCTTGAAGCAACACAAGTCATTCAACAAACAAACACCATGTTTGTTCGTGGATGATCACGGTTGCTCTAACCCATTACAGGTAAACCATAGCCAAAAGGGGTGAATTCCATACAGGATGGGCCCCCCCCAGTGATGTGAACGTTGGTTTATAAACCCCATGAAAACCATAGTTATCTGGTTCGTTATATCTACCATAAACCATATTTTTACCATTTGTTTTCATGTTTTTTTTAACCATATCTTCACCATAAACCATAGTGAATTCTGTTTTTGTTGCCATATTTTACCTTTTGATCCACCCATGTTCCGGGCCAAAACGTTGCAACAAGGCCATGGGCGAGGAGTCCAACCAAGATGACATGAGCCCCACAGGTGGCCATGGGCAAACTTCGCTTTGCTGAGTAATGTTAGACCATGAAAATTACCATCAATTGGAGATGAATTACCATGAATTACCATGAATTACCATGAATTACCATGAATTACCAAATATAAACTTTAAAACTATATTAAACTAACCAATGATTAGGATTAGTTACAAGCGCTCGGGTTAAGTCGTATCAGCTTCTAAAAGTCGTATCGGGAGGCCGTGCGCCTGGAAAAAGTTCAAGTTTGGGGGCAAACGCTGGTTGCTGCTTGCCTGCTGCTTCTTCCCTGCTTCTTGCTTGCTGCTTGCCTGCTGCTGCTGCTTCCTCCTGCTGCTGCTGCTTCCTCCTCGTGCTGCTGCTTCCTTCTGCTGCTGCTGCTGCTGCCGCTGGTGCGAACATTTTGCCGAAAAAGAAAATAACAGTCTCGGTCGCCTTGTTTGGCGCTGGCGGGAGGTACGGACGGGAGACACCAGCAGAGAGAGGGAATGTTTCTGGCTGGTGGCACATTGCGATACTTTTTGACCTCGATTTGCTGGTGATGGCAATAATCCACCACGACTGGGGAACTGGGAATTTCCGCCGGTGGCTCCATAGATACCCCAAGGATTGCGTGCCGTTTGTATGCGTTTTTCATCGTTTTTCCAATGGGAAACTCGACCAAGAAGCTGGGATGAACAGCTAATAACACACTTAATTTTCTGAATTTTTTATATGTTTTTGGTGGGTATCGAATGGCGATTTTGACCCATTACCTTCAAATTAACATAGACCCTACCCTTCATGGCAGATTCTCAGTGCAAAGTTTTTTTTTTTTCTGGGATTGTATTCATCGCTATTCATCCCATCTCATGATACGGTGGATGGAAGAAATTTTGCACCAGTTGATAGGTGGCAAAATCCCATTATTTATAGGGTTTCAACATGTTTCAACCATCCTTTTGGTGGTGCAGGATTTCGCAACCATCCACAGTAGTTACATTCCAACTTGAGATGGTAAAACCCCATAACCCCATCGCAACGCCCTTCGCGGTTTTTGGACAGGTCGTTCGGATTTCACTCCGCGGCCCCGGCGGCAGCCAATGTTGCTCATCCATTTGGACATCAACAAGTTCAGGGGCCCAGACGGAAAACGGGGAGAAGGGCACTTTTTTTCTGAGGATATACTGAGGATTTGTGCATCCTTGTGCAGGGTACATCCCCACATCATTGGTGATAAACATCGCCATTTAGTGTGTGTGTGTTGTATATATATATACATACATATAACTATATATATATTATATACACATACAATATATATATATACACACACGCTTATCTGGCTTATCTCCTGATTTAATGTTGATGGAAAAATCCAGATTTGGTCGGTGAAATCCTCCTGGTTCCAACTTGAATTCTTGCAATCTGGTCAATAGTCGGTGTTGAACATGGTTTTCCAAGTTTCCAACAATTCAACTCTTTTGCCTATTAAACTATATGTTTTGATTAAAAAACATGTTTAAACATATAATATAGTTGAACATGGAACATCCCAATAGTTCAATCGGTTGCCCTATGTCGACCAGGACGATCATCCAATCGGATAGCATCCAAATGAAATCCATCGAAGAGGCGGTCGCGGAAGGTCAAGGGGGAAATCTTAGAGTTATTTTTCTTGTCAAGTGAATATGTATTGTAAATACATGTACACATCATACATATATATATATATACATATATATATATATACATATACATATATATATACATATATATATATATACATATATATATATACATATATATATATACATATATATATAGTGAATAACCAAAGTGATTCGAAATTAAGTCTTAGGTTTCGTTTTGAGCATGGACGCAGTGGGAGTGCCAGTCGAAAAAGCACCAGTTGAGGTCACCTAAAACCTACAGCAGTTCCAACTTGGGCCACCAAGCCCATTCTCGATCAATGAGCGGTAAATGATAGCGATATGTAGCGATAAATACCCTGATCTTTCAGGCGAACTTGTCGGCTGAATGTGTCATGTCTTATCCAAGAAGTTCCTACAAGATATACTGAATATCTGGCTGGTTGCTGTTCTGCTTGGTTTAATTATAGTTCAATGCTTCACGTCTTGCCGGGAGATTGAAACCAGGATTCAGCTGAGGTCAAGCCAATCTTGGTCATGGAAGTGTTCACTAGAATGAGGCATTAGGGCATACATATGTATATATCCCCTAGGTACTGGAATATAACATACCACCAACAAAGGAACCGAACATGAATCGTTTTAGATGAGTATACATGTACAATATATGACTGGTTGGTGGTTTGGAAGATGGCTGGATGATTTTTCCATATATTGGGAATGTCATCGTTCCAACTGACGAACTCATATTTTCTAGAGGGGTGGCTCAACCACCAACCAGATGATATATGGGTACATTAAAACTATCTCACTGCGACGTCCCGAATGATGCATAGAAGGGAAGGGGTTATCCGCAAATAGTCTCATTTCAAGTTCAAGTGTCACAATTCAGCCCAGATATGTATACACAGATACAATATATATATACAATATATATATATATACTGTATATACATCTCGCATCAATGTTTTTTTGATTCATTTTTATCCTGCAAGGAGCTCCTGCAAGGAGCTGAGTTTTTACATTTATTTGTTATTTTCCTAGGTCGCTTAAATCTCAATTATGTGTGATTGAACCCCAGCTTTGGTGAATGTTTCCGTTTCATCCTGGATTTATTTTTCACGCTTCAGGGCATCCGAGAAGGGATCGCTGAGCTCTTCTGGGGAACCCTTCGGAAGGACCCAGACACTGCCTGTTGATCGGATGTTGAAAGACCCATGTTGCTTGTGATATCAGTGAGATCTTCCAAGCTTACTTTGTTGAACGTCGAAGAACCAAAACATGAGCTGGATTATGCCTATGTTCAAATCCTTCATGTTATAGCTACCTTACGGCTCAATTCGGGAACAGGGTTACAGATGAAACCAACAGGCCCTTGAGCATACCACAAACCATTTTCAAGTGATGAGTCACTGGATTGGTTTAAGGGGAAAAACGCAACGCCCTATGTTTCATGGGAAAATCCACAGTTTCCTGTAGATTGTCCCTTAAACCAATCCAGTGAGTGAGTTCATGAAACGAATCCTTTCTTTTTGTTGGATGTTTGGGCTGTGCTGCAAAGGTCACAATCATCAGCCCCGTAGGATGAAAATGGCAAAGTGGTGGGCTGGGACTGGTGCAAAAATCGCCCCTCGTGCGGAAGCCCAGGCGATGGTATAACCCAAGCGCCCAAAGTTACAGAGCGGCATTCCCCCAATGGGTAATGATATCCAACAAAGCAGCTAGTAAAAGCCCATACAACCATCATGTATGGTTTGAATCGTTCGATTTGTTGATGTAAATTCAAAGCTGGTATTTTTTAAGATCCCCCGTAGTTCTGTGGTGATTGCCCAGCCATGTTATAGGAGGACAACACTTTCTAAACTGGAACTACGTCATGTTTTGGAATGATTCCCCCAATCCTATGATATGGTGGCCCAGCCGAGTGATAGCTTAACTTAACTTACCTCTCTTGGGGTTTATAAGCCTGCCTACTCATGGATTATGTAGGGTTAGTTCTCACACACACACACGTATTACTAGGTTGGTTTATACATGTTCATAGCCAATATGACAGGGGTGAACTGGCTAGATATATTTGCAGTTGGATAGATGAACCTAAACTAAACCAACAAACATACTGGCAATCAGCTCCATAGCGTGTTGGAACATCCTATAACTATCCCCCACATCATTCAATTTTGGTTGTCACCAAAGTCACCCAAGTCGTCCATTGCTGCAAAGTCGTCACCATTTGTTGATGGTTTTCCCATTGACATGGCCACTGCGTCCACCTCAGGTGTAGCCCGCCCGAAATCACAGTGACCTGTCCCAAGTTATGAGAGTTACTGTACTGTATAGGGGAGTGGGTCAAAACATGAATTATTGGCAATTTTAGTGGGATGAACATCCATGAATTGGCAATTTTAGTGGGATGAATATCCATTTATTGGCTATTTTGGGTTCACTAGGTACTTGTACCAGGGTTTTGACCCATAGCCATACGGCGTTACCATACCCCAAATTAAGACGGTGACCGTGCCAATTAAGGCTTGGAAGATAAGTTTCTCATGAATTTTCGAGGAATGTCAGGGTCTATATTACTTTGGGGGAGGGTATATCGAGGTTGTATGGTTATATGATATGAGGCCTATATGGCTTTGTCCCAAAATGGCCATTGCGTAGGAGAAATGACGATCTGAACCATCATTGTTGGGGCACCTTATTTTCCGACGAACCCATCATATAGGCCATATGGGGGTTCATGGGAATAGAACTAGCAACATATCCATGGGAAATTGACCAACAACTATGGTAATACAACAGGGATGGGGATAGGGATCTGGGTTTGTTTGAACATAGGCTACGTCCCAACGGTCCCCAAAATCATCCAAAATCCCATGATTGGAGGTCTTCCCGATTTTCAGACACACCAACAGTAGGGGGGTAATTGTGGTTACAGTGGTGGGGGTTTTATACGTTAAATGTGGATCCAAACGACCGATGACATCGTGACGTGAAGATACTGTACGTGAATGACAGGAATTGGATTGGCGGAATCATCTCGCCATGTTTTTGGTTTGGTGAATAATTCTAATTTATCCATTTATATATATATATATGTATAAATATGTATGTTCAATGTTTTTGGTGATTTGGGTGAGACCAATGTTTTGATAAACGGATTGTAACATATTGTAACATATTATACAACGAACCATGTTATTTTGATGCCACTCCGCCTGAATCTTTGAGCAAATAAGACTTGCAACACATGGGTGTCTTCTGCTCGGTCTACATTCCAGGCATCGCAAGTGGCAACCCATCAGCCATGTTGAACCCGTATATATCATTATATATCCACAAAAATCATCAAAAGTATGATCCTGTATCTGTATATATATATATATATTACATATAATTATATTACATATATATATATATATATTACATATTATACATACACCAGAATATGAACAACATATAAAAACCATATATTCAGAAGTCCTACTTCTGGATTCCTGAGGATTGCCCCCCAGATGACCTTTACACGTACTTGTCGTTTTGCAAGAAGGCTGCGGTTCCTGTTTTCTGATTTTTCCCCAAAAACGGCCAGGGTGGATTTTGCCCCATAGAATTGGCGATCACATCAACTCAATGGTGTTTTATATGGCTTCGTAATCAATGCATGGCATGATTGGTAAAGTTGGATTGTGAGTAGGTCAACCGACGGGCTCATGCTAGGGATATTCGTATGCGATTGGATTTATAAAGCAACTTGTTACAACTGGGGAGCTTCATCTCGTACGGGTCTCGTCTTGTGGAAGTTGGTCTAAGCTGGTTGATTTTTACTGTTTGAAACCACTTTGTCCCACAGTTGAGTTGAGCCACAGACTTGTCACACAGGTTAACCATACTTAACACATTGGCCAAGATCAGGAGTGTCGCCAGGAAATGTAGGGCATAGAAGCTTGGCCTTGGACAGTCAAGTCGTATCAAGTCGTGTGATGTAGGAAGGGGCGAGTTTTTTTCAGGGCCATCAAGATACGTTTCACGTAAGCGTTTCATTTGGATTTAGAAGTACTCTTTCTGATTATCATTATTGATTCATACATATTCATGATTCATACATATTCATGATTCATACATGGTCCTAGGATTTCATGGGACAAAATTACACGCCTGGTAAGGCCGCACCAAGTAAGAAAACCATCCCACCAAGTGGGGTGCCCCCGTCATTGACCTGGCACAGATGCACAGTGAAAAAGATCAGCAGAAGCTGAGCATTCGAACCTTCCGCTTGGTCAGAAGCCAAGAGTGCAACAAATGCCAAAGTAGGCCATCCCGGACTGTCCAAGTCAACGTCGAAACCCATAAATCCATCGATTTTGGAAGTTGGCAGGTCCAAAACATTGGCTTTTGCCAAGAGCTATGCTGTTTTCTTTTCGTGTTTTTTTTTGGCATCAACAAAGCAAGACAGGAGACGCTCGACAGCTCCTGTTGGGACAGGATACCACATCCATCAAGATCCTGGGAGTTAAAAACAAAAGCAAGCTGCTACTGGTATGTTTCCGTTAAGTGCAGAGTACCGATGCTTGATTTATTGTCACATGATATACTACATTCGAAAGGCATATATATATAATAATATATATATATATATATGTGTACTAGCATATATATATATATGTACTAGTATATATATATACATAAATCATTCAATGATGCATATTACATATGATACGCATAGTGATATTGACAAAACATGCAACAATAGTATCACAACACACAGTCGCCCCAAAATGAGGTCGAAGATGATGAAGTGAAGGGTGAAATGATCAAGGCTGGACATCATTTGAGAGTGTACCTTCAAAAAATCTGGGATCATGTAAAAATAAGTAATCAAAACAATTAAGTGAACATTTGAAGTGTTTGATGATTGTGTTTGATACCGGACACAACAATTGACTTTATTTATCTATTTGCAAATGTTCATAATTCTTCAGGCACTTGTCTTCGCTGGGCCCAGCTGGGCGCTGAAATCCTGTCACCAAAAGGATGGAACAGCTTCAATTTACCATTGGATATCATTGGTTTCATGAATTTTGGGCCCAAAAGACGCAACTTATTTTGGAGCGGTTGAAACCAGAAAATTGTAGTACACCTTCGGAATATCGTTTCTGAGAGACTGCTCTATTGCGACAAGACCAGCAGACCTAATACCTGGGTTTAAACAAATCAAAGTATCTCAAGATATTTCAAGGGGTGACATGATTGAACTGTTTACCAACGATCTAGTGATTGAATTGCATATTCAGACATCATCTCAATAATTCTCGTTGTTCAACCATTTCACATGCTCCATGTAAGGACAAATTACCAAGATTTATGCCCATTCTCACCCTGAAATGTTGGTAAATGTCTCTACCAGCAGCACGGCTGGCATATGGGGATGATGTGTATCCATTTCATTCAAGGTGATGTTCCTTAATCCCTTCTCCCTACTAAATAGGTAGCCCTAATTTGGTTTACTAGATCTGGTTGGTGGTTTCAAACATTTTTTTCCATATATTGGGAATAATCATCCCAACTGACTTTCATATATTTCAGATGGGTAGGTATACCACCAACCAAAGATGTATTTGTGGGGTCCCACATGGGAGCATCAGGGGGGGGTCATTTTCCCAACGCTAGGTCTTGGACTTGGCTTTGAAGAAACTCCAGCTGCCCGCAGAGGTGGCCGCCGCGCCGCACCTGGAGATCCCATGCGGGATATGATATGGGCATCAAAGATAGGGATTTGCTGAGGAATCTACGGGGAATAATATGGGGAATAACATGGATTGTTGAATCTTCCCAAATCCACAACTTGGGGAATCTTGCTGGGGAACGTGGATGTTGTTTTGGGGGAACATCTTAAGCACAGACCAGATTATTTGTGGATTACAGCCCCTGAATTTAATGGAACATGGAAACATGGGGTTCCCAAAATGATTTTGCACAGGGTATGGCCCCAGCTGGTTTGCATCTTTAATTTAGATAAATTTAGGCGGGTGCAATTGTAAGGGGATAGATAATTCACATGATAGAGATCAATTATAGTGGATATGGATCAATCCCCAGATGCGCTAATTTGATTGAAGAGATACTATGGGCTAAGAATCCATGCGGACTTCCGCAAATTTGAGTTACTGCGGATTGATTTCTTAGATATGGATATAACATGTTGTGGGATATATGTTTGGATTCATATAGTATGGTGTGGATAAATTGAATTGAATGGGTCAAATTGAATCCACATGTGAATGATCATTTTCAAATTTTATATCCACAGGTATCCCTCTCAAAACATATGGATCAAATTATTTCAATAGCCAACACGTGTTTGTGTTTATGGTAAATATATGATGGAGATAGAAACAACCAGGAATTGAATCCTTTTCAATGGAAGGAATTGAAGTATTTTATTTAATGGCAAGATTGCAGTATTTTATTCAATTGAAGTATCATGGGATTGCTGGATCCATGATTGAGAAAGTCGTAAATCTTCAGCAACCTGGCTTTGGGGGTGGATCATGGACCCAGATTAAACAATATGATTGGCACAGGTCCAAAACTGGGCGGGAAAAACGGCAAAACACTGGATCCTCCGAATGGGTAGATCGCCTGTTTCTCAGAGACTACTGGAGATCCAAATGTGTTGCATAGGAAGGCTATGGGAACTGAAACAAACACGTGAGGATGATAACCTTATCGAACAGAAATCTGTGGATGTGTGTCTGAAAATGGGCACCTTTTTTTTGTTTTTGCATTTTTGGTAGCTGAGAATATTCAGTTCTTTAACCAGTGAACTTGGACTGTAAATGAAGGCTAGTCAGGGGAATCATTCTTCCAAACCTGCCTTGGGCTCCAGTTTCACACTTCGCATCATTTCTCCAGATGGTAATATGTCTCATAGTCCCAAACCGTGATTAGTATGGAAACTATTCTATATACTAACATTTTTGCATGCTATTTCTTGTCTACATATACTAACATGCATCACTGCACAGATATCACTGCATGGGTGACAAAATGGATGTTTCCTAGACTTGGGCTACTCCTAAATCAACCATTTTAATAGGACTTTCAATGAAATAAACCATCCAGCTGTTGTACCCCCATGACTATGGCATGACTATGGAAACCTGCGATTTTTTTCGCCACCGCGACGACTATGGAAGTCCGCCAGGTGCGTTTTTCGCCGGAAGCGGAAGCTGTCGGCTTGAAAGGCTCCACCATTATGTGCCTTGACTTGGCATCAGATCATCACATCAAGAGGCCCTGTTGGTGAAAATAACGATAGGATAGGTGATTATCCGATTACCACTTGGCAGGTTCCATAAATAGGGATATCCCAATAGCTGGATGGTTTTTCTGGTGGAAAATCGGAAAATCAAAGCCTATTCAATGGTGATAATCCCCAAAATGGGGTGATTAACCATAGTTACTGAACGGGATAATGATAGATCCCAATGATTAACATGATGGATTTTAATTAATCATTTCCCGATCGGGAATATTATTCGAAAAAAACTCATAATTAGGTGGGATACTTATCTGGTTGGTGGTTTGGAACATTTTTTATTTTTACATATATTGGGAATAATAATCCCAACAGACTTTCATATATTTCAGAGGGGTGGAAACCACCAACAAGACTATATAATTAGTTGAATCAACCAATAATTGGAGTTATCATTAGTAATAATGGTTGATTTATTAGTTGATACTTATTATTATTACCCTCTGGTAAACCGAGATAACTATCGAAATCACCGTTTTTACTGGGTAAATCAACTATAAATGGCCATTTTCAATAGCTATGTTTGTTTACCAGAGGGTATGTTAATCAACCAATTTTTGGGTGGTATATATGCGTATTTATATATATATAATAATCATTTACGTACATACATACATACATACATGCATGCATACATACATCTGGGTAAATTATAACGACCTCACTGCGACCTCACTGGAATCATGGTTAATAAGGGGAATCATCCCCAAATGGCCTTAATTCAGGTTGGTGAAATATTATAATTTACCCATACATACATACATACATACATACCTACATACCTACATACCTACATACCTACATACCTACATACATACCTACATACCTACATACCTATATACCTACATACCTATATACCTACACACGTACATACCTACATACCTACATACCTACATACCTACATACATACCTACATACCTACATACCTACATACCTACATACCTATATACCTACATACCTACATACCTACATACCTACATACGTACATACTTACATACCTACATACCTACATACCTACATACCTACATACCTACATACCTACATACCTACATACCTACATACCTACATACCTACATACCTACATACGTACATACTTACATACCTACATACCTACATACCTACATACCTACATACCTACATACCTATATACCTACATACCTATATACCTACACACGTACATACCTACATACCTACATACCTACATACCTACATACATACCTACATACCTACATACCTACATACCTACATACCTATATACCTACATACCTACATACCTACATACCTACATACGTACATACTTACATACCTACATACCTACATACCTACATACCTACATACCTACATACCTACATACCTACATACCTACATACCTACATACGTACATACGTACATACGTACATACGTACATACGTATATATATATATATAAATATGGTCAAATTATAGTGACCTCAATGTGACCTCACTGGAATCGTGGTTAGTAAGGGGAATCATCACCAGATGGTCTTATTTCATCTTATTTCAGGTCAGGGAAATATTATAATATACTATAATTTACCCAGATTATATATATATATATTATATTATACATATATGTATATACATAATATTCCGTTTTTAAAAATGAGGGTAGAGATCTAGTGATATGTAGACATTGATTTGCACATCTGATAAATGTGCATACAAAACTAACTAGCGTCTTTGACATATACCAAGGAACCCAGCAATCCAATCACCTCCTGACAACTTGTGGTAGGATGCAACTTGGTGAGTTTTTGGATGTGGTTGGACACCTCCTTAAAATCACAAACAAGTCACGAGGAATTTCCATGGGACAAATGCACTCCGAATCAAACATGGAAATCGGGGGGTTCCCTGGAGTTTTTTTCGGAAAACCAATGGAGATAGAGTATCCCATTAATTAGCTCACCATGGTGCTGGAATATGAATCCCAACATTTGCCCAACATAAATCACCCAGTTTAACGTAGGTAAATATACCAGCACCATGGTGAGCATTAATGGGAATGGAGATCTTCATGGATTTTACCATTGCCATGATTATTTTTTGGGATGAGACCAGCGGCCAGCCGATGGGCTAACTGCGGAAACCTTGGAGGTTTCCGTAAATGGAACTACCCCAGTAGCTGGATGTTTTTTTTTTGAGGGGGAAAATCCATCTATAAATGGATGAGGACTGGGGGTAGCCGTATGACTTAGGAAACCCCCATATTCCCAATTGATGGATTTTGCTTTTGATTCGGCTTTTGATGAGTTCATATTCTTGGATGGCTTGACCACCATGATGAGCAACTAGTTTGCAGCCCCTGACATGCGAGTTGTAGAGTGTTCCGAAGATTTAAGGCCTGTGACCCACGTGCCAGCCATTTATATCTATTTGGTGGTATCTGAAGTAGAGCCTTCATCCATCAATGCTGGCTTGTTTTTGGAGGATTAGATAGGTTGCAAAAATTCTAAAACAAATAGCGACTTGCAGCAAGATGCACATACATAGGGATATTGATGCAGTATTCCAAAAGGTCACAACGAGGTCAGCACCAGAAGCAATGGAAATCTGGACCATTGGGGACCCCTTTAATCTTCTCTCCTTCTATCGAATAAAGGTTGTTGCTGAGTACACATATAATATACATATTATGTATAAGTTTTTTTCACATCGTTATTTTATACACAATACATATAAATATAAGTATATATATATGTATGATATACATCACAATCACATATATACATATATACTTGTGTTATATAAGTAATGATTTCTATAATTCTTATGTACTCATTAATTTTAATCTATTCCTCAGTCATCAGTGGGGTCCCAGTGACATCTGCCGCCCGCTTCTTGGCGCGCCACAGGATGTTCCCTGCCGTGTTTCATCTCGTGGCTGTTTCTCGGCCGTCCTAGGCAGCAAGTGATCCATAGCAGTGATCGTTGGGGTATCATTTGATCAATGGGAATTTCAGGATCCTAAAATGGAGGTACTGACTCTACCATATAAGGCGGGCATATTTTCTAGGGATATTCCCTGAAATTTAGGCCTTATATAGGCCTCTTATATGGTAGGTACCTCCAATTTAGGTTCCTGAAATGGCGATTGTATTGGGGTATCATGATGTACCTGGTATGGGTGATGTAAATCCATAGCTACATACCAGTGATCATTCATTGATGTACCTGGTATGTACCTAAATTTCATCGGTAAATCATCCTAGCCTCATTGTAGTCACTAATTAGGTAACAATGATCTTGGAAAAGTTGGCCATTTACCACAGCAAAATAACAATATTAATTATATCCTCAGTTATCTATGGGATTCAATGTGTGATGTTGGGGTTATTCTTGGGGCTTATGAACATGTGTAAACTGCAGGTAACTTGGATGCACATCCAATGTCGTAGTTTGAACGATTTTTTTGAAGGTCGCTAGGTGATGTTTGATGATATTCAATGTGTTGCTATCAATGATATTCTTAGTGGTACATAATTGATCATAATTGCATAATACACAAAACATTTTTGTTTGCAGAAAAGTCAAAGATCAGCCATGGTGTCGCACCCCCCCCTTGAGACTTGGAGATGGTTGAATTTACCATCCATGTGGTTATCACGCGTATGGTGGTCACGTGGTTTTCAGATGTTTCTCCGCCAAAATGAGGTATACCGACATATACCACCAAATGGCTAATTTCTATAGGGAAGATGATGTTTTTTTTTCCATTGCCGATAGCCAAATGTGGCATATGGTTTGGCCCATGCAGAAGCGAAATTGGCCCAGGATTCCCTACCAAAGCCAGGTAAACTGAGCGAGTTTGTTGGAGGCATATGGCATAGAGTCTTAGAGTTTGGGATGCCTGCATATATGTAGTGAACATATCACATATGCAGCATATGCAAATGAAAATTCAAAAATACAAATATTGGTTCTTAATTTATTATATATAGTATATATGTACATAATATACATGTATATACATATGAAGTAAGCGTTGGAATTGCAAACTTAGTTGAACCACATAAATTCGTGGCAATTTTGGCATCAAGCAATGATCAAATCGTCGATAACGTACTAACATACGCAGTGTCCCCGCCCCACCCAAGATCACCAGTTCATATGTTTATATACATATTGATACATACATATACGTACATATACACGGTACATATACATATTCATACACATGAATTTATATATATATATATTATATATATATATATTATATATATATTATATATATATATGAAATAACTAGTGTACTAGTGTACATATATATATATAATTATATAGCTAGTATGTATATATATATATATACTAGCTATATAATTTTATATACAGACAGATGGCTAGTATACATATAGCTATATCGATACATATAGCTATATATATATAGCTATATGTATATATATATATATTATATCATATATATATATATATTATAGATCGTACAGATACATCATGATAGCCCTCATCGTTTCATCGAGCGGAAAGTTTCTTCGATCCAAGGCTCTGCAGCGTGCAAAACGGAAGTTCGCGCAGCCTGGCGGAAGAATTTCTTAACGGTGTAACGGTTAACCGTTGAACCACTAAAAAACATGGGAATATCATATGATATAGCTGATAAATGATGATAGAATGGTTAGTTAATGATATTTAATGATAGTTGATGGTGATTTAACCGTGAATGCAGAGTTAAGCATCATTGATGGGGGTTTAGCCCTCAATAATATGCGGATATAGTATGATACAGTTGATATATGATGAGGAGAACCCTGTTGATTGATGATATAATTTAATGGTTAGAATTGTTGGGATCTAATCCGATAATTGGTTATTGTATGGGGATCTGACCACCAAATGTGGATCTTAGCCAACATGTATATAAGGATATTTGATCTGATATGGCTGTACATGACTGTTTAATTGCTGGTTTCTTTTGGGACTTAACCATCATTTATAGGGCTTTTTAAGGGCCCATAAGGGGTATCAACTGTCAAAAATCCAGGGAAGTATGATATGATATAACTTGTTAATGGTTGTGACCGATGATTACTGTGGTTTTTTTCTACCCTTTACATGGGGAAAATCTCCTCATCCTTTACATCTGGGGATTCCTGTTCTGTTCGTCCGTTGACTCTGCTGTGCCAGGAAATTGGGGCGTGACACCGTGATTTCTACAGTTGCGAAGATATGGTGGATTTTTTCTCGAATGAAAGATCCCCAAATAAGTTTCAATACCAAAATAGTCTAATTTTTGATGATTTGGGGTAACCATCATTTTAGGAAACCTACATCTGTCCATTTCACCCAGTGACTACAAGCTCAGCATCCGCTGGAGCATCCTATGGCCAAGCAGGCCAGATCGGCCAGTTACATGACAATCAGGGTGGGTTGAGCTGCGCGAAAGTGGTATCACAAATGCCAAAAGGATAAAAGGTATATATAGCCATATCCTGGATGATATGCATATATTATGCATATGTGCATTTTACAAATAATTGATGAAATCCAATGGTTAGGTACTATTCCAAGGTAAAGCCACGCCGGCCATTGGCCAAGTGGCGCCACATCTGTGGACGAAAGCTCCATGGTGAAGTATCGCATAATCATCAAAGTGAACCCCGACCATCATCATAGATAAAAGGATGATCATTAAAGTTAAGCATAAACCATGAACCATGACAACAATCATCATAATTTCCCATATAATAAACCACCAAAGGATCATATCATACCCCTTTGGAACCTTTGGCCCATCTGAGGATTCTTTTTCGATCCTTTGGCGTTGATCACGAGAACATCAAGCAGGATCGAGATGGGCAACTTCCGGCCACCGGGCCACCGGGCCACGAGGCAATCAAAATGGATGCCGCAAATATACTATATGGAAATCGCCAGCCAGAAATCTGCCTGAAATGCTGTATATATATATATCGTTGTATGCACATGTATATAATATTATATGATCACATTATTGTCATTATATATATATATATATATATCATTGTTATTCCATATATGATGATATTATGATGATGTATCATTATCATCTACTGTACCTGGTTTCATGTTGTTTTACATAAATGGCAGAAAACCGATTTTGGTGTTCTCTGCTGAGAGGGCCATTGTTTTGACCTCATAGCCAGCGAAAATGGATGCTTTGCAAAGAGAATCATTCCCACACTCGGGTCCAGTTCAGGAATTTGGAGTTTCCTTTGTTTTGCGGACTGTGTATGTATATATTTAATATATTTATTATATTTATAGTATATATATTGTATATATATATATAATAGTTATATATATATATTATAATATATTAATACAACTTGTTATTTGCCAATCCTTTAGCGGTCCATACTCAGCGGATCCATTGAATCCATGATCCGTGTCCGTGTCCGGTTTCATTGGGTCAATGATAGCGGCGTTTTTGAGGCAGACTGCAGCACAATTGATATTAACTCAGGGAAACTAATATCACAGACGTTGAAATTGCCATGTTATCATAGTTGAATTGTTCTGGATTTTGGGGACATTTGAATAACCAACCATTTTAAAAACATATATAGCAATTTGTTGTAATGACCTCTGTTTCACCGTTTTAGTCGTGGCGATTTGTCTTCTCGAAAAATTCAGGAGTGGAACGCTTTCTGCGAGATGCGACATCCTTTGTATTCCAGGTTTCTGGATGTGCGCAGCCCTAGCATCGCGTGGGAACACGGCTCACTGAATTTTGATAGATTCTATGGTGAATTACTTGGCGCTGAATACTTTGATGATTTCCAACATGATGTGTAAAACCAGTTTGAAACCCTCAGACCTCCGCGTCCACGATTGGTGTCTTTGGGTAGGGAAACAAACGGGGTCAGACCCCTGTCAAGTGCATAGTTTATACAGGACGTACATTACATTGCATAATGTGTATATTCACATAAGATCATTTAAGTACATATAGATAAGTACCCACAGATAAATATACACATATATATATATATCATATATAAGGTCATACAAAGTATACATACAATTATATATATATATACATAAATCCTTTGCCAGGATATATATATAATTATATGTTGGGTATAAGATATATATATATATAAATAGGATATAAGATATATATATATATATATAATGCATATTATATATACACTATGGAAACAACTATTGAGATCACAAAATCCCTGCCACCCCGCTCCCCCGCTCCGCCGCTTCCAGGGCATTGGCCCCATGGACGGCTCGGTGAGCCGCATCCCCGACCGCCGCATCGATGCCATGCACACGCTCTACCGCGATGCCCAGGCGCCGAAGGGGCCCCGGGTGATGTGGTAAACCTACCAAAAACGATGGAAACATCAAAAATCACCATTTTTAATGGGAAAATCAACTATAAATGGGCGATGTTCAATAGCTATGTTAGTTTACCGGAGGGTATATATATATATATATCATAGGCAGTTCGCCACCAAGGAAATTAAATATACATGATGAAACTATTTGATGAAACCATGGGGAAGTGATGTAATATGATGGGAAGTATGATCGTTTGGATGATGGATTGGAATATCATATGGATTTTAACCAACAAAAATGGCTGTATAATGGAGATACAATGGGAGTATAGTCGGCAATATCTCTGGATAAATTACGACCACACGTCTCATTGGTTGTAATTTATCCAATGATGACTATGGGGATTGAACAATCATCAACATAGTTGCTTTGAACTGATTTGTTTAAGATATAGCTTTCTTGATCATCAAACGAGCATATTATTGGCATGTTAGTTTTAATATGTACAATGACTATCATGATTTCAGCGGGATTCTATAGACTAGTCGCAATTTCCCATGGTTTTTTTTTGGGGGGTCGGTTCAATTCCCTGCCCTGGGCAGGCAAACGGTTCGAAAAACTGGCCAGTCTCATCCATCAAGTTGGTGCCATACATTGGGAGATAAAGATATATGGATTTAGGTCGAAAACGAGGATTGGAGGCAGATGGATGTTGTATTAGATATATAATCCATAGTGAGACCTATATATATAATATATATATATATAATCCATATATAATCCATATATGAAGTTCTATGGCATTAAATTAAATTAAATTAGATGATGATGATGTTGTATTCCAGAGACTTGGACCTGGTTATTAGATTATTATTGTAGGCAGAACATGTTATTTCTTCACCTTGGGTGTTTATTCCCGGCGTGAAATGGGGACCTGTTTTTTTTTTTTTATGGGTTCAACACAGGCTGACTAGGTGGGTCGAACTTGAGGGAACAATCTCAATTTGGGGGCAACAAATTTCATAGGGGCCCAGTGGACCAGCAAAAGGCTTGTCTTTGGGGGGATTTTTTTGTCATTTATTGCCTGATTGTTTTGTGTTTCTCATAACCACGGAATTCTAATCCCCATACCAATGTACATGATTGTAACCTCTTTCATGGTTCCTTAATCTGCTTATTTGCTGGCATCCACAGTTCTGGAGTAGTTTTTTATAATTCTCCAACTTTGACCCATACTTACATCAGTGCGAAGCATCCATTTTTGCTGGAACGTTTAGCAATACACTCAGATCATAAGTCATTGAGGATCTAGATGAAGAGTTTCAATTCTACAAGGAGCTCAAGAAACAACCAAGTTTATTTGGATAGGACGGGTATTTACATGCAATTACAGGTATGCTGGGTATACTTACATGGTTAGTAAACCATTTCTTGTGAAGTGAAATCCCGACATGTTCGCTTTGGACACACCTTGTCCAGTTCGACATTCCCCAAATCTCAGCCCCCTGATGGCGTCATAGGTCTTGACCTATCTCCAGATGCTCTCGATTCCAATTCCCATTCAATTTTAGGGGATTACATTGTATTACACACTGTACATCATTTTGGCTGCTCAACTCAACTCAACAAAACCAATAGGAAAAACCAATAGGAATAAGTTTAAATCCTAGAATCTGCTGTTAAATCCCCTAAACTTCGCCCTATTGTGGGCGCCACAGCTGCCGTTCTCAGGGTCCTTTGCTGGTGATTGATCATCTTGTGGAGTCGCTGGGACAGACGGCTGGGGCTGGAGCGACTCGGGATTTGGTCGAGTTCTGCGCAACAAAAAAGCCATCTTTGTTGGTTAGATATGCTTAGATCATGTTAGATCCATAAAATATCATTTAATAATTATATATATATGTATATATATTATATGTATATGTATAACTATTCAATTATTCCCATTCATCATCCAAAAGTTCATACTTCCCATCATTTTATATCATTTCCCTATGGTTTCATCAAATATTCCCATTATGTATATTTCATTTACTTGGTGGCGAACTGCCCATCGTAAGTGGGTTAGTTCACCCCAGGTTCTTCAGGATGCTAAGAAGGACTAGTCACTAGTCCAGTTATACGGGTGAACTAAGCCACGGATCCTAACTGGGATGAGCCATTAGTACAGATATATATATCACACACGCTTATCGTGATTTGGGCAACAAAGAATTACATATGGAGAGAGTATAGGGCTTTATATACTGAACAGAAAGATGAACATTTGGTGAAAACACATCGGACAATATATGATATTGCCTAATCAACAATGAAGTAATTCTTTTCATCAACGATAACATAGGGGAAAACTCCTTCTGTTTACCGACAAACAAAACATGTCTCATGTTTCATCTTTTCGGTACATGATCCTTCTCAATGATCATCGTTTCATACATCGATTTTTCTCAGAGAACGTGCGGCTGGCGGTCAATGCCACAGCGGCACAGCGCCCTTGGTCGATACTTTCTCACATGTGTTCTGTGGGTTGCGATTGACGTTGTCTTTGTGTGTTTCTTTCTTGTTCTTGTTGTTTTGGTTCATGTTCATGTTTAATATGAACTGTTTCTCATCATCGTCGCTTTCCGCAATATGACCATTCGTACCAAAAATGTCCAAATCATATGATTCAATGGATTGGTTTAAGGGAAAATTTACAGGAAACCCCCATATTTAATGGTAAAAACATGTAAAAGCCATAGTTTCCTGTAGATTTTCCCTTAAACCAATCCATTGAATGATGGTCATATGACTGTTCGAATCACCACTTACCAAGGTCGTTCCAAACAGGTCAGCAAAATGTTTTTTTACCGTAAAAAAGAACATGTCCTCCGCCCAAGCCTGCCACTTACTAGGACTTTAACACTATTTATACTCTACATTACTGATCATTACTGTATATGTATACTATACCCTATATATGTATATATATATATGTATAATATAGTGTATAATTACTCTTACTTCGCATCTCTTCTCATACTGACTGAGGGCGCAGAGAGCCAAAGACTGGGACCGCTGGGCGCGGGAACGCCCGACTCCGCAGGCCCCAGGGGATCCCCAGTCGTCATCATGGCTGGCAAATTTTAGACCCATAGCCATGACAAGCTCAACACCTGCACGTTGCCAAGAACATTTATTTTGCACCAGACTCAAATTAGCGCATACCACCGCTACTTTATGTTATTTTCTATTGGATCACTCCAATGCCAAGTTGTTTACCAGCACTTTTTGTGCGACAAACATGGAGCTCCCAATATTGGGGTCAACAAATCTTGACCTGTCGATGTGCGAGATCATCCTTGGTGGTTGGAGGGATGGGCCGCTTAAAGCGTCCCTGGATCTCCACAATGACATGGTGGGTTTTGTCGAAACGAAACATGGGTTATAACATGTTATAACCATATATTCATAGGTATGTTCTAAGCATTCCATGGATATTTTTTAGCGATTTGATAGTGATATGATATAGCCTATAACAGTAGGGACTTAACTATCAAGCCATGAGGTGTTGATCAGTTCCCCAAAATGAATAGATTCAATACTAAACCAGGGTTTCCAAGGGCTATGACACATTCTGGCGAAGGGACTCATATGGAAACTGATGATAAACCACAGATCCATGTACAATCCGGAAATCAAGCTCGGCAAGTCGGCAATTAGATGATTTTCCCATGAGCACTTCTGTTGAAGTTTAGTTCTTGGATTTTCCAGCCATGTTTCATCACCGGAGGGTACAGGTCCCAGGTGGTCTTTCCATGGTCGCCAAAAAACCTGCAGGAGGATACCCGTGATGGCAGGGACTATATCCTCAGGGTCATGGCCCTATGGGATTCCTATGGGCCAATCCCAAAAAGGTACCCCCCATGGCTACGATTCTTGGGTGAACAAAAGGGGGTATGGTGAGTGAACTTGGGGCTTCTTGGTGAACAAGATGCTCCACTTAAAATCGTCAGACGGGTCATAAGCAGGATGGCTGCCATGGCTTTAAGATGTGACGTAGCGGCGCCAAGTGTCACATCCGAGAGGTAGACACATGGCGATAGTGTATGAGGTTGGTATCATAACCATCGGTTGGTTGAGGGATTGCTTGTTGCATTGTTCATGGAACCCATCCCTACTGAGAGTGGTGATGGCTTGCACTGATGATTTTGCGCGGATTGTACGATTGTGTGACTACTGCAGTTGACCAACATAATGTCATTTGTCATGGTCAATGGCTTGATTTTGATGTGATGTAGTGTAACAAATATTTCAGGAATGGTCATCATACTTTTACTATATTTGAATTTATTTGGTAAGGACACCAGCTTGCCATATATACACACTGAGTTCAGATGACCAAGTCATGATCCTTTCCTCGTTGCTTTGAAAACATGCCATCCGTCCCGGATGAATTCTCCCATCGCTGAGGGATTTGGTTGGAGAGTCACTAGGTGGTTGATTTTAACCAGTGCTGTACAAAAACATTGCCTCAAGTGACTCAAGTTGCTGTATCCCATCGGAAAATGTTGGTTCTATAAGATGTAGATGCAAGTAGTATGCTTGTGACTCACAATGACTGCCTGGGGGTGTTCCACTGATCAGTGGCTATGCTAATAGTTAATAGTTCTAGGAGCCGATTTTCCAGCTTCTGGGAGTTTTTTTTTTCCCGAGGTTAGCCAGAGACATCACCCCAAGTGTACGCAAAAATCAACCATTTATAACAGGGGTTGGTAACTGTCCCATTTTGGGTATATTGGACATCACCTTATAGTAGCCATTATAGACCATATACCTAATGGTTGGGTGATGTTCAATGGGGACATTTAATGACCCATGTATAAAGATGATGATCCCAAATATTCCCACATTATATACCAATGGTCCCATCACTATCCCGCAAGGTGCTGAAAGACCAGCAGGGTGCTCGCGTTTCCGATGGACTGGACGAGGAAGCTCTGGGAAAAGGAGGATACCGTGGTAATACCTCAAATTTGTTGGGAAATGATTGGGAAATTTGTTGGGAACATGATGGAAAATGGTATTATGATGTTAATAACAAATATCCCAATACCTCAAATGGCAATTTGTTATTGGGAAAATGTTAGGAACATGATGGAAACATGATGGACCATGATGGTAAATGATAAAGCATCATTTTGTCATTGGTTTTCAAACCCAATTCCCGTGATAAAAGGTTTCAGCCCCAGCCACAAGCTTATTGGTAAGAGATCTGACATCATATGATGTGCAGGAGGCAGAAGGGTTCGAGTCAAGCACTTTAGGACAGACCATGGCATGTCTGTACATGTCTAAACAATTCTATATTTTGTATTTAGCTATGACGCCAAGAAGCTGAGTGCATGATCATTGTACATCATGTAGTGGTTGCCTCGGTTGCCTTTATATATATTTTTTACCTTGACAGCACCTGACTGAAAGCTAGCTGTGTTTCACGCTGTGTGTAGTTTGACTAATCTCTGGAAACCTGGAAACCGGCCAGGGTCAAACCTTCGTCACGACTGGGTCCCGGCCAGGTGAGAGAGTGGATGATGTCCTGCCATGCCTGTTTGGTTCCAGGTAAACCCTGCAGTACCAGGTTTTGGGACCATGGCCTGTTGTGTTTTTGTTGGATGTTGGTTTGCCAAAAATGAGTGTTTCAGTACTAAAACAGTCTAATTTTGGATCATTTGGATCATTTGGGGGTACCCCCCATGACATTTCGGACACCTCCATATCTCAGGTTTTGGGGGGCATATGCTGTCACACCGTCGCCGTGCCGGAGAAAAACCAGCAGAGACCAGCGTATCAGTGTAGCAGAAAAAAGGTGGTTTCCATAGTCATAGGGGGGTATCCCAAAATGGTTTATAAAGGAAAAGCCATGAAAATCCTATTAAAATTGATGATTTAGGGGTACCCCTATTTCAGGAAATCTCCATATTCTGACTTGATTGTACTTGTGGCATGTGATTTGGTGCCGTTTGATGACATGCAAGTGGTGTTGTTGGCGTTGCGAGTTGCAGCGCCCCAAAATGCCACCAGATTCTTTTTGTTGTGGGGTACCATTTTCTATGGTGGTTTCAAGTATGTTTCTTGTGAAAAACCCTAAAATGTCCTAAAATAATCATTCAAGTTGACATTTTGTTTTCAGATGGGTTGAAGCCACCCAAGAATCATAGGATCCTCAATTCGACCTGAGTCAGCAGTCAGCAGTCTCACTTTGCTTCCCAGAGAAATCAGCTGTTCACATGGCGCATTTGGAGGCAGGGATCGGTCAAGTCGAGTGCCGATGACCCCCCCCCTGCGAGGTATGTGAAGAGCTTGAAATGATTCTCAAGTCTTCATCATTTGATACTAAGAGTGGGAAAGTTTGTGGGTGGTACCCCATTTTGTCTTGCCTGATCTTTTCTTTCCGAATAGTGCACCTTCATTTTATTGTGGTGTTGCAATGGTCCGTCTCTGGTGTGTGTGTGTGTCTGTCTGTGTGTGTGGGTGGGGGCTGTAAAGGACAAGCAGAAAGGGGTCATAAAATGAGCAAGTTCGGCCATGCTTCAGAGCTAAGATGTGTTCTGAACTTTCGGTCTTTTGGATTTGTTCAGATCACTGTGAGTTGTGAAAATACCTTGTGTCCTCATTTGATGGGACGTTTGTTTGCTTGCCCATGTTTGATACGCTTTGATGAACTTCCTCCCTCAAGCTTTGTTTCAGGAGTCATTTCAGCCGCCTACAAGAATGATGTGTGTGTGTGTGTTCATGAACTGTACATATTGTAGCAATTAGTAGCTTAGCTAGAATTGTAGCTTTTTGCCCTATAGATTATCTTAGTTTGACCGTTCTGCTTTGAAGACTAGACTGGGCTGGTATAATAGAGACGCATTGGCACATTCAGCGACGGAAAGTTTCCTGTCCCACATCCTCCATAGCATCTGCGGAGACTTCTGCTGAAACGTCGCCCAAAATGCTGAAACTTCGATTAAACTATTAAACTGGTTGTTGGGTCCGGTTTCGAATGGTTTTGAGATGCCCCTGTTTTGGAAACTCCATATCAAACCATATCAAATTGGGGCTATGACACTTGATGGCGTCACCGTGTTTGTGGTTGGCAGGGCAGGAGAGTTTGGAGGACCTTTGGATTGGGAACACATGGTGGGTTCAGCTGTGAGTTTCATGGGTCAAACCATGAACTTGAGGAATATACTTGAGTTATTGCTACAGTAATAATTTTTGTGTTTGTCTCACCACTTTATTCCAATTACAGTATATATATAATATGAGTTCATGAATTCTTTGAGTTGACATCAATTTGTGCTTTTTTGTGCTTTCACTGTTTTTTTTTATGCATTGCTTCGACATTGGTCCTATTGCTTCGAAATTTCCATGGCAACCAGATGATGGTCCCCAACGAAGAATACTTCTAGGGATAGCAAGCAAATCTCTGAATCTCTGCAGCGAGTAATGGGGTACTGGTAATAGGCTACATAATGCAGCATGATATATTCCAATGTTGTGATTTGATTATATATACGTATGTATATGTATATATATGTATGTATATATATATGGTTAAAGGTCTGCATTGGGCGTTCGTTTTTGCGTCTGTTTTTCGGGGCCAAAATCCTCCAACATATGCTTTGCGCAGCAATATTTTTCAAACATGACATTCCTTGAATAAAGTGGCATCATTTTGTACAGTCCCCTTGTGTAAATAAGGAGTTGCAGCACTTCTTTGAAAGGAATATAAGGTTATTATTACAGAGACTTACAGTTTAAAGAGTTAAAGGAATCTATGCAAGGAGGACAGCATGATTTGAGAATGGAATCCTTTGAGTATCTATTTTAAATCACTGTGGTATTGAAAAGTTGGTGCAAGTATGGGCAAAGTTTCCTTCGCGAGGGGGTGAACCATTTGATTGAAAAGCATGTAATAATACAAAGAAGCATTACTATGAATTGGAGCCCTTGGGTGTATGTAGTAGCTTTTGAAAGAACCAGGTCATGGTTGTAGTATGCAATATGATAAAGTAATATTACAGGTATATTATGTACGGTGTATTATATTAAAGTATTATAAATAAAGGTATATTCAGGGTATACAAATGTTATATGAAACCATATATTAAAAGTATATTAAATATTGTTAAATGGTATTGTCAAGGTGTATTAGATGGCTTTTCAAAGGTATATGGAAGGTATTAATTATAAAACATGTTTTCATGGTCAATAAAATGGTATATTGAAAGTATATTGAAAAAACATAGTGTATTCATGGTATGTTAAATGATACACTTAAGGTATATGATATGGTCTGTCAAACGTATTTCAAAAGGAATATCAACAGATTTTAAAGATATATTAAAGGTAGGTTAAAGATATGTTAAAGGTATATGTACATATATATATATATATGTGTTCAAGGTATTCTCATGTTTTATTATATAAGTGATACGCTAAAGGTATATTAACTGGTATATTAAGGTATATGTGTTGAAGGTATCTAAAGTTATTTTCAAGGTCAAGTAAATGGTATATCAAAGGATTCTAGGTATATCAAATGACATACTAAAGGTCTATTAAACTGTATATTAAAGGTATAGTATAGATGTATTAGATGGTATTTAAAAAGTTATATCAAAGGTATATTATATACATGATATACTAAAGGTATAGTAGAGGCAAAAACATTGCCAATAAACTTGTATTTGTGTAAAGGTGTGCTAAAGGTTTATTATATGGCATATAAAACATTGAAGGTGTATTACATTGTATTTAAATTGCATATTAAAGATATCTTGAAGATACTTTCATAGTCAATAGAACGGTATATTAAGGGTATATTGAAGCTATAGTAAAGGTATAGTCATTGTATTTTTAAAATGGTCGATCAACGCATTATTCTTGATTGCTTTGTCTTTGTTACCTCTGCTTCATCAAAAAAACAGAAAGCCATGGTCATACAGTCTTACAAGAGAAATGAGAGGAAGGCTGAGCTTCATTAAAGCATGTATTGCATCCTTCCACACATGATAGTTTTCTTGCAAGACTAGTGTTTCTTATTTGAGGGAGTATCATGTCTTCACGGCATACTGTAAACTGTGAGCAGCATTTTCCTATAACAACATTGTTCTTCAAGTCAAATGCTTTGAAAACTTGTGTCTTCCCATCTTGCCAATGTTTATTTCTGCATCTCCAAATCTGGAAGGGTGGTATGTTGTTGTCTTTGAGCAAGCAATCTCATGGAAAAACATGTTTATTCATCAGCAAGTATCATTTCGCCTAGTCTTTTTTTGTTTTTTCAAGATGTGCTAGTATGACAAACAAAAACCACATGGAGACATATTGTTTTTGATCTCAAGTCATGTGAAAAACAACAAAAAACCTAGGTGAACTGATACTTTCTGATGAACAACCAACTTGTTCCATGAGTTTTCTTGTTTTTGTTGACTTCCAAAATCAAAAAACAAACACCGTTTCGAGGAAACCAAAAAAAACACAAAAAAAAACGAGTATTTTTTTAAAAAATAAAGCAACTTTTCTACCTGAAACCATCTTTTCTGTTTCAGAAGATTGTTTTGTTAGATTTTATCAGAGTTGTTCTCCTCCGCCTCCTCCTCCTCCTCCTCCTCCGCCTCCTCTGCCAGTTTCTCCTCGACCATAATGTCTGCATCAACTTCCACCTCCACTTCCGCCTTGCCAACTCTTCGCCAAGCTCTTCGCCAACTTCCCAGCTCAGTGCGCACTGCTGGACCTCAACCTGGGACCTTCCCAGCTCAGTGCGCACCGCTGGACCTCAACCTGGGACCTTCCCAGCTCAGTGCGCACCGCTGGACCTCAACCTGGGACCTTCCGAGCTCAGTGCGCACCGCTGGGCCTCAACCTGGGACCTTCCGAGCTCAGCGCGCGCCGCTACGGCCAGATAGAATGCCAGAAGATATGCCAGATAGAATGTCAGATCGAATGCCAGAAGATATGCCAGATAAAATGCCATAAGATATGCCAGATAGAGTGCCAGAAGATATGCCAGATAGAATGTTAGAAGATATGCCAGATAGAATGCCAGAAGATAAGCCAGATAGAACGCCAGATAGAATGTCAGAAAGAATGCCAGAAGATATGCCAGATAGAGTGCCAGGAGATATGCCAGAAGATATGCCAGGTAGAATGCCAGAAGATATGCCAGATAGAATGTCAGATAGAATGCCAGAAGGTATGCCAGATAAAGTGCCAGAATGTTTGCCAGATAGAACGCCAGAAGACTTGCCAGATAGAATGCCAGATAGAATGTCAGAAGATATGCCAGAAGATATGTCAGATAGAGTGCCAGGAGATATGCCAGAAGATATGCCAGGTAGAATGCCAGAAGATATGCCAGATAGAACGCCAGAAGATATGCCAGATAAAATGCCGGAAGATATGCCAGATAGAATGCCAGAAGGTATGCCGGATAGAATGTCAGATAGAATGCCAGAAGGTATGCCAGATAAAGTGCCAGAATGTTTGCCAGAATATATGCCAGCTGCCATAAGATTTGCCAGATAGAGTGCCAGATAGAATGTCAGAGGATATGCCAGAAGATATGCCAGATAGAGTGCCAGAAGATATGCCAGAACATATTGCAGAAGATATGCCAGGTAGAATGCCAGAAGATATGCCAGATAGAATGCCAGAAGGTATGCCGGATAAAATGCCAGAAGATATGTCAGATAGAATGCCGGAAGATTTGCCAGTAACAAAACGTATAGATGTCATGGTGGGGATAACTCGAAGTAAAGTAGTTTGTTTTTTGCTTTTACTACAGTCCTTGCTCTAGTTAGTTAATTT